AATCAATGATTACGCTTTCAGAAAGTCCTCGTGGAGAGACGTACAAGTACGTCGTCCAACACGGCAGTCCTGGTTCCAGCAGCCGGCTTCCTCTCCAATGGACTTCACATGGCGGGTACACAATATTGAATAGATAGTCAATGAGTCGGACTGAGGAGGCGCCTAACATTTCCCGACCGCCCCCAATACCTCTGTCGCGGATGCCCCTTGGGACGGTTGTACGAGGAGAAATCATCCAAGACAACCCAGCTCTCTGTACCATGTGTCACGATGGTGCCAGGAGTGACTGTACTGAACTAGACTAAAAGCCGGGCTAATGGGGGGGCGACATGAAGTGTGGTGTGAAGGATCCGCATCTTGGGAAGGGCCACGAGCTCAACTCGAGGCCATTCTCGGTCAGCCGAGTGCCATTGATCAGGGCCTATCTACCGTTTGGGGCAAGTTGTCTCGCATTTGAAGCCAGCCTAGCTTTTCAGGCAAAGTCTTGTTCGTTTCCCAAGGGCAGCTTGAAGAATCGGGCGGAGAAGTATGAAGTCAAAGTGATATTTCTTATTATTCCCGAGTAATTGTTTTAACCCGATTGTGGTTACTGTTTTCCTGTATTACCAATTTTTCTTTTCTTTTTTAACCCTTTATTTCCAGCATTTTGGGTGCGCCTGCCTTGTCCTCAGCCCAGCATCGCATCCTTGCCTTTGTTCCCCTTGCTCGACAATGACCAAGGCTTTCCACGCCGGACGAGGCGGCGGCGCACGAGACGCAGAGGATTTCCCGGCCCACCGAATTCCCAAGTATCGAATTTTAGATCGGTTGGGTTTCCAGGTACGAATCGGTCTGGGGACGACCCAGCGAGGGTTACCCGTCCTGGCTGCAGACCAGACTAGCACGGCGTGGGGGTTTGGGGGCACAGAGAGTGGGATGTCGTCCCAGGAGATTTTTTTTTTTTTGAGCGACGCACATTTAAGCCACACACAGCCGGCGGTGCAGGGATGAAATGGCAAGGAGAGAGGGCTATGAGGAGGGATCGGCCCGCCCTCTTTGACGTTTCGCTTTGAAATTTCTGCGTGAATCCGGCTGACAGCGCGGTCAAGGGGAGATGGAAGAAGAAGAAGCAGAAGAAGGTACCAACGGGGTTCGGATCGCCGCGATTAGGAAGCAGCTTCTCTTCATAGGAGACTAGTTTGCGCGCCTTTTCGAATCAAACAAGCGAGGCGCATACGGCCACCGAGGCAGTGTGACAACTGACCGAGTTTCCTGAGTAGCCGGCATTGAGCAAGGGTGACCCAAACTTCTCTCTCTCTCTCTTTCGCTCTCTTTCTCTCTCTTTCTCTCTCAAGCCCAGACCCAAGCCTGTGCCATAAAGCCCGCTCCGTGCAACGGATGATGGAGAGAAGGTGCAAGACGAAAGTCACCTGCTGCCCAAACTCGTGTTTGGCTTGGAGCAGCGGACGGTGATATTAAACGGGAGAATCAATCTCCTTCTGACAGGCATTCTGTCGAGGAGGCGATTAGAATGGTATAAAGGCACGCGACCTCGGCTTCGAGTGTCAACGGGAAGCGGAAGCAACCATCCTCGCGGTTGGCAGCCTGCACTCTCCACCCCCACACCTCAACCCCGGACACACCGAAGTCCTTCAGGGTTCGGAGAACGCCCACCATGGTCTAGCATCCTCCTTTCGTATTAGTATGGAATCATACTAATACCGAGGCACAAGGCAACCCATCTGCCCTGCATGCGTCCCCCAACCACGGGTTTTGTCAACTTGGTATTACGTTGACGGACTTTGGAAACCGGGGCCTCCGCACACATCCCAAGGGTGGTGGCCACCCTCATCAAGCACCTGCCGCTTCGAGGAGATGAAAAGAAAAAGAGCGTTGATCGATTCAAGCCTACGCTTCAGCGAGATCGCCACTCCGCCATGAATTGAGGTCGAGTTGGGCCAGCGTGGCTTCACATCCTTGCCAAAGGAACAACACCATCAAGCCTGTTGATTGGCGAGGTTCCCAGCCTGCGATGCAAGTGGGTGGACAAGAGGTGGAAACTGGTGCCCGAGAAAGTGCTTTTTCCATAATAGCTCAAGTATAGAACATGCTTCCAAGGACCGAGAAGAGATCGACACATATATTGGAGTCGAAGGATCAGGACACAGCAGGCAGGCGGGCACCAGGATTGCGGAGATGGGCGATTCAAGGGAGACCAGACAAGACCTCAAGTATTATTGCCTGAGAGGATGGCTTTGTTTCAAAGCCTGTCGTTAAAAATTTATCATCATGGCAGCACTTTCAGCCAGCCCTCTATCCAGCATTCTTGTTCTTTGGGTATACCCCGTCTTTCCCGGTTCCAAGGTTCTTCATGGCATGGTCGTGGCAACCGATCCCGACCCAATAACAGCCGGATACCGAAATTTGACCCGTGGGCCTGGACCGAGTGCTGATTGTCGAACAGGTTGTATGAGTTGATTTCAGTATGGTTGGGCTCGATCTGGGCCTGGGATTGTTCAGTCCGAAGACTTGCGTCAAGTGCGTCCTTTTCTCGCTTATCTATAACGATGATAGAGCTTGACAGGTTCCCGCCGCTACTATTGCTAAGGCCGAGAAAATGATGACTCCCCAAAAGCGCCTGTTCATGACCGCTGATCACGGGTATCTTGGATCTAGGAAGCCCTCTACCAAATAAAGACGAAACCGAGAAACTTGATAATCAGAGCGACCGACGTTTCGACACTCCCTAGATACAAACCCTCACTGTTCTTGTGAACTTCCAGAGAAGGGGTTTTGAAGATAGCCTGTCTCATGTTATGCCTTAGGTCTCAACTATCCTCTACTGCTATCTCACTGCTATCACGCGGGATGTCCTGTCTCGCCAGCTCGTCGAAAGGCTGTTCTTATAGAGGGAGTCTCCCTTTCCACTGACGCCCTCCTGGTGGATCGAAGAAGCCTGAGTGTTGGTCTAGAGGTGAGGTTTTGGCACAGAAGATCAGAGTACACCCGGCCACTTGTAAATAAGGCTGCCTCGCACGATCCTAGCACAGCACAGCGCCGTTGCCCCCAGAGAAGTTTGTTTCCAAGTATCTGAATTCACTTCTCTTTCTACCAGATCAAGGCCCTAGCGTGATTAACGAGAGAGAGAGCCACGTAATCTCGAAGTTTGGGATCCATCAAAATGCTTTTTACGGCCAGAACCCTTGGTGGCCGTATACCGCGGGCGGTGCCAGGGTTCCATCGATAGGTCGACTTCGACTGGACCTAGCCATTGCGACGTGATTGAAGAAGACACCAGGGGTGTATCATCCTAATTTCTATAAAGGAAGAAGAGAATGACAACAACCGCGGGCTTGGCTGTGGAGTGGTTCTACTGCAAAGTAGGAGCTTCCGCCTGGGATCAATGGCCAGCAATTCGGCGAGCTCTTCTTCCTCGTTAGCGGAGAAACCCGGCGTCTTTTATGCCAGGAAAGTCCCGTCATGTTGCTGTTGCCGGATTCCGAGGGACACCGGGAGCAAGCGATGTCGGATCCGGTTGGAGAAGGGCTCCGCTACCCCACCTCGCGGGGAGGGGAGCAAGCGGAGATTGAGCACCGGCATCGGCTCCAGGACAGCCAAGAGAGAATGCCTAAGACTTTTGAACGGAATAGTACGACAGAGATAGTTTCCTAGTAGAATGTTGCGACTCTTCAGGTTAGGTGCTAAAGAGGCTGTCAGCTCTGTCCTCAATTGGGGTCCTGGTGAGTTCAAGACAGAAAAGAACAAGGGGCACGAGCGGCACGAGGGCTAGTCCCCCTTGAAGGCGTTTAACTTTACACCACTAGGTTTACCAGCAAACCGGGAGATGAAAGGGGGTTACTCATTCCCGAGTTATGGTTGTTCAAGCCTAGGACTGTTGCTCATATGCATGAGAGAAAATCTTCGAGTTATCGAGCCCGAAGACACCAAAACCACCCAAGGAATTGAGGAGGTCTAGAGGCATGAAGTAGTTGCATCATCTTCAGTAGCACAAGATTACAGGCGATGCAACGCCCTCTTAATCCTTATTGCTTGAGTTGTAACGTCAATGGATCTAGGTCACCTGCATGAAGGGGGTGGGTTATTATCTCTCAGAAGGCCTTTTACAATGAGTCTAGACCAGTCCGTCGACGGTAACCGTTGATGGCACAAGCACCCCGATTGTGTCGGTTCAGGTACTTGCATTGGCGACAGTCAGCAACGGTGATGGGGTTTCCTTAGCAAGGAGGCTAAGTAATAAAGGGTTATTGTTGTGGCGGCTGCTCCTGTCCTGTTTTCCCCTCCTTTGTCTTACGTCAATGGGTTGACAGGGATGACAAGGGTCCTTCTGGAAAGTTGTTCGCACTTTTCGAGGACTCGACTAATAATTAGCAGCCATTCAAGATGATAGACCCGGGCTCTAATTTTCATGGTCGCATGACCGCCCTGTTCTAGAGCAGTGTTTGAGCAGCCTTGAATTTCACCTTTTCCTCAATTGCCATTCCCCGCCCTTTGACGCCAGAAAGAGATACTAGGACAATGACGAGGCTGGTGTTGGGCGAAGAGCGAAAGTCGGCCTCTGGCCAGAATTAGACTGGGTGGGGCCGTTTGGTCTGCGCGTGACGAGATTGAGCACTGAATTGAAAACGGGAAAAAAGAACCTAAAAAAAAACCGGCACGCCAGCCCAGGCCAAGGGTCAATGGCGCCCCATGCAAGAGGTCAGAGGTAAAGAGGTCATGTACCTTTCTGCCAAAGCCATGACCCCATCCATCCCCCTTCACCCCATCTGCCTCCCTGCCACGGATCCTCTTGCCTACCAACTCCTTTTGCACAATGTAATTTTTCACTGGGAAAACGCTGCTCATACAATATTCGTCTTGCATCTCTTTTTCGTCTTTTTATACCCCCTTCTCTCGCTATCCCGCACAGCACTTCTCCTCGGGCACCCTCAGTCTTCCGACTCGAACCGTTGGCCAGCCTTTTTCTGCTCGGCAACCCACGAACCACCCGAACTGTCCGCAAAATGGCCCCCTCCAAGTCGGCGCGGAACGCGCACGAAGAAAAAGTCGAAGGCAAGGACAAGGAAAAGCCTAGCGTTCCCAACGGGACGCAATCCGGGACAAAGATGCGACGGGGTGCTAGCCAGGCCAGTCACGCCCGTGACCAAGCTGCGGTTGCCGCTGCTCCCCAACCGCCGCCCGTGGTTGTTCAAGAGACTGCTGGCGTGAGTCAAACCAACTGACGTCTTCTACTTCACTCTCTGCCTTCCATGGGAGGATATGCGCTGACCCTGAGCCCACGTCTCACTTTTTCTAGATCCAGTGGCAGACGATTGAACGCAAAGCACTCCACAAGTACCGCCGCGAATACAGCCTCGACACCCCTCTGTCCTTCTCCACCTCGTACCATCACATAATTTTCGCGCGACCGGGCGGCATCGGAATCTACTCGCCTACCATGGCGCGCCGGCGAAAGCAGAATCGCCAAACAAAGGAGCAACTGGCTGCTGCTGTTCGAAAACACTTCAACGGCGTTGGTGTTCAAGAAAACGATGTCATTGTCGACTTGATCCACGCCGTCCACAACCAGGGCAACAAGACCCTCAAACACAAGCTCGACGACCAGCCCCTTGCTGTAGAGCTAGAGAGGTGACGGAGGCGGAATAACTATTAGCATCACTTGGATTGGTTTACGGTACAATGGATTCGCAGGGCTATACCAGGGACATGACGGGCAAGGGTTTTTTTCTCATTTCCTTTTTTCACGACTCGAGCAATTGTGAGCATATAGGCTCAAGAGGCATCGCGGCGTTTTACGGCGTTTTTTCCGATCCCAATTTCCTTCTCGAAGCCATTGTTGTTGCAGCTCCTCGGCTCCACAAGGGTATAATGCGTGTGTGGGTGTTGCGTGCCCGCTCTCGGCGCACGTCGTCATACCCTCGGGTAGGTAGCCAGGGCACATTTACCGGTCACACATTGTCTCCCGTTGGAGCGCCTTTGTTCACTGGCATCGCATTACCAAGCTGCGGAAAGAATCGCAGTTTACAACATATAGAATTGAAGCATTTTCTACCCACATATCCCGTGCGACCGCTTTTCAAGCGATTTTTAGTGCGGGCCGATGTGCGTATGGTGTACGCCGTTCCCAATTATGGCAACCCCTGACCTGATCTCTGTATATGGTGTGGCCTTGGTGATCCTCTGCTTTGGCGCATCGCGTGCTCGAGAAGCCAGCATTGTATGTCGCCTCGGCGCTCAATTCGACGGTGCAAGGCGGTTGGCGGCCACCAGTTCAGCGGGCTTGTAGGGGCTTGGCCGATGTCGAGTGCTCGCGTTACTGGTACGTAGTAGACTTGAGAGGTGATCATATGCATCCGGTGGCTGCTCGACGCCAACCTAACAGATCTGGAAGCAGGTGCAGCCTACCTCTGTCCTGCCCTCGCTCGCAGCCAGCTTAGGTGGGGGACCTAGACCTCTACAGCGTAGGATTGAAATCGGACGTGGGCTAATAACAAAGAGTGTAGAGGGAATGAAGAGTCTCCCGCTATTCACTTGTGATGCGAACATCAATTGCGCGCCCGGGATTTTGGGGGCCCGGCGCAGAACGCTCTCATCCCTTGGCTTTTTTTTCCCCTCTCGAAATTCTTCACGGAGATATCCCGGCTTCCATCTGCGGCTTTCATGGGTTAGGCACGGCTTTGTCAGACGAGAAATTCGAATTGGCTAGTTCGTTGCTGGAGCTGGTCCAAGAAAAGTGGGTCTTCACGTGACGAAGCTTCGAGAAACTTCAATGTCGACAAGCTACCATGATCAGAGCACCATGCAAATGCAGAAGAATTTTGTATGTCTAATCTTTTTGAATGGTTCTCGAAGGGCCATCTTCATGCCCGTTTTGAGTCTCTGAGCGCTCCTCTGCAAATGAATTCCCCTCAATCACGATGAATTCTAGCGTTATAACCAAGGCTGTGCTTCCCAGGCGGTTGCTGTCCCAGGGTCAAGTTTGCCAAGCGTCCAAGGTGAAAAATGCGTCCGCCAAACGGGGACGATCCAAGGGTTTGCGACAAGCAGTCCGGCGCGCTCTCGGCCACGCTTGACCGTTTCCAAGGCCCATCCTGCGCGACGTGTAAGCTTCCTCTGTATCTCTCGTATTTCTTTTTCTTTTCTTTTTGCTGCTGACCTGTCGGTGCTGACCATTTGATGGCTAGGCTTTCCATGCCACCAACTCCCTATCTTCGGCCAAGGACCCTTATAAAGTCCTGGGCGTCGAGAAGAGCGCCAGCGCCTCCGAGATCAAAAAGGCCTACTACGGCCTAGCCAAGAAGTTTCACCCCGATACGAACAAAGACGCGACCGCGAAAGATCGTTTTTCCGAGATTCAATCCGCGTACGAGGTGTTATCCGATCCGAAGAAGAAGGAGCAGTATGACCAGTTCGGCGCTGCGGGTTTCAACCCCCATGGTGGCCCAAGCCCCGGCGGCGATCCCTTTGGAGGAGGCAATCCTTTCGCCGGGTTCGGTGGGCAAGGAGGCTTCGGGGGCGGATTCAACTTTGACGACCTCTTTTCTGCATTTGGTGGGGGCCGCGCAGGCCCTTTGGAGGGTAGGGGCGCCCGGAACCCGTTCCAGCAGGAAATCCTGGTTGGCGATAATATCGAGGTACAAGCGAGCATATCCTTCATGGAAGCTGCCCAAGGTGCCAGGAAGAAGGTCACCATCTCGCCATACGTTACTTGCGGCACCTGCTCGGGCAATGGCTTGAAGACTGGCACCCAGCGCTCATCTTGCAAGGTGTGCGGGGGCAGCGGCACTAGGGTCCACTTCACGCAGGGCGGTTTCCAGATGGCGTCGACTTGCGGTGCCTGTGGAGGCTCTGGCTCGTCGATTCCTCGAGGTTCGAGTGCAAGAGCTGCGCCGGCGATGGCGTCGTGAGGCAGAGACAGACAATCAATGTGGATATTCCTGCCGGCGTGGAAGATGGCATGCGCTTGCGCATTGATGGTGCCGGTGATGCACCGCCTACGGGCCAGGTTGCGGACGGCGGCGTGCGCGCCAAGAGGGGGACCTCTATGTTTTCATCCGGGTGGCTTCAGACCCCAAGTTCCGCCGAGCCGGCTCCGATATCCTCTACACGGCATCTATACCTCTTACCACGGCGATTCTTGGTGGAGAAGCCGCCATTCCCACCCTTACCGGCGAGGTCAAGGTCAAGGTTGCCACGGGTACCAACACGGGCGACAAGATTACCTTGTCCGGCATGGGCATGAAGAAGTTGAACGCGCGTGGTGGATTCGGCGACCTAAAGGTCGAATATCGCGTCAATATGCCCAAGTACTTGTCCGGAAACCAACGCGTATTGGCCGAAATGCTTGCCGACGAGATGAAGGATGGCACCGCAAAGAGGATCATGAATGTCTCCGCAAAGTAAGTTTTACAACTTTTACACTCTTCCCGCATCCTTGCCCCAGATTCCTAACCATTTTTGCTAGAATTTCCGATGACCCTGCGGCGCACAAGAACGAAGGATGGATGAAGTCTATCTGGCATACTTTGACGAATCACCCCGCTCACCAGGGCAAGCCTGCGGATTCCGAAAACAGCGATGCTAGCGGAAAAGAGTCTTCCGGTGCCGCAAAGGATACGACCAAGGACAATGACGGTAACAAGAAGGAGTCCGGATCAGGCTCTGCGTAGGTCTTTTATTTATTCTGAGAAAAGCGTTGCCCTTGTGCGTCACAAGATGGTGGAGCTACTACGCAGTATGCATTTGACGGCGCTCGTTGGCATCAGAGCATAGAGGGTGTTGATGGGACGACAGCAGGCGGGCCAAGATTTTTCTGGCCATATATCACCCCCATCCATCGCCTTCCTCCTTTTACCTACCTCTTTCGCCCTTTATTTTCCCCTCCCCTGGTTTGAAGCTCAAACGCGGCGTTCAGGGAGAATATCATCGCCGCCGGCCACCGTGGCCGTCGGGTCTTTCAAGCGTCATGGTTCTTCCTGGCTCTTTGGAAGTGCCGCTGTCTTCGCATTTGTCTGGCATCTCCTGTTTCTTTTTGCGTTCTACCTTGTTCTGGTATTACTTGTTCCAGTTCCTGTTTTGTATAACACACTCTGTACTACATATACTAGATGCTTCTCAGAGGCTCGACCTCTTGAGTGACAACCCTACTCTCGACACGGCTATACATTTTAGAGGCACGGACAGCCATCTCTCCCCAACATATCAAAAAGTAATAGAAATCAATCACATCAATCTAGACCAACTTGTCAAGTAGGCTATTCGGTAGCAGCGCGTGTGTCGTGTGTCGGAGAATTGCCGGGTGGCTGCATGATGGGCCGGCGTGGCAAGGGATCCGCCCTTCAAAAGCAACCATATCCGGGTAGGCAGGTGCGCGCTCACTCACATCCGCGGCTCGCCGGGGCCGGATTCGATGACGCACCAAAAAAGAAAAAAGTTGATGTGGGACAAGGAGACAGCTCTCAGACATGGCAGGCCCCACATCATTGCCCCCGTCGGTCTCCTCTGAGTCAAGCCATCCACCCACCGGTTCGAACTACATTTGACGGAGATGATTGAGTTCATGCTGATGGAACTCTTATGTAGATGAATAAAAAGAAGATAGAGCAGGGCTTGGTAAAGACAGGACAGGACAGGACTGAGCGAAGCCGATGGAGCAAAAAAGTAAATTGACAACTGTGCGATTCGAACGCACGCCTCTTGCGAGACCAGAATACTCCTGTAGAACAGGCAAGATTAGATCTTGAGTCTGGCGCCTTAGACCGCTCGGCCAAGTTGCCTGGGTGCGATTGACAAATTCCGCTAGTAATTCCCCATAAACAGCTTACCCCACCTTTGCAAGTCGAGAAGGCGGGGTCAAGAGACAGAGTTTGGCGTTGCTCAAGGTGCAAGTATCTTTTTGACTACGGGATTCGTCAAGTGCATCTCCAAAAGTGCCCTCTTCCAGTTGAAGTCCAAAAGTAATTAATCCTGGACTGGCCGAAAGGGAGGTGAGATATGCACCCGCACGGCGCTCTCCCTCGTCAGACCCTGGTACATGCATGGAGGTGTCACTGGATTGAGGCTTTGGTTGGACATTGCCCGAAGGCTCCCTTCCGCTGGGCGGCTAATTCTGGCGGGTACTTGACTACATCAGCAATGGGGGAATGGCGAGTGATGAAGAACTTTGAAATGATTGATGGCACCTTTATTAACCCTTTCAAACCTTGAGAAGCTAGCACTGGACTCGACGGCGGCGGGTACAAGGGTACTTACTTTGTTGCTCAAGCCTGCGCGACGCTCGTGGCTTGGGCAAATCCCACCAGCTCGTCACACCCCACCAGAGCTGGATCTTTCATCCACTTGGGAAGTATCTAGTAGAGCTGTGGGTTGGCGGCTAGGCTTCTACGAGCTGCTCCCTCCGTCCCACTGACCCGACCATCCCCCTCGCTCCTCCGTTTCGGGATATACATTGTTCCATCTTTCGATACGCGCCGTTTCCATTAGACGAAAACTACCCTAACTCGGTCTGCCGAGCCATTTTTACGCCGTGATATCATCAATCAGGCTGACAGCTTCTGTTAATCGCTCCCCACCTTTGTTTTTTTCGTTTTGTTCTCTTACCCTACCTTTCTCCTTGACCCGCAAGAGCACATTTCTTTCCCCATCATCACCGAAGCGCTTAGTGCAGCTCATCTTACGGGGGTTCTGTCGTTCGGATCAGCATCAAAGCCTGGTCAGACCCCGCTTAAACATCCACACCCGTTCCAATCCCGCCACACACCTACCCCCACACCACACTTGAAGAGGAACGAGAGCTTCCCACGAAACCCGACAGCGCAGAGGAGTGCGTGCGACCTCATTTCTATGTGATACTACCGATTCGACGTTATCTCGGAATCACAGGCCACGTATGATTCTTTACCGTCCGACGAAAATTGTGTAAACTCCGCGATATCACCTCACTTCCCTTTATCCCCCCGCCCCCACCCCATCTCGCCCTCGACCTGTCTCCTCGACTGGCCTGATCCTCCGACCGCCACCATCTCCTGCACCCGCCCGCCCGACCTCGAGGCGTATGCGACCCCGGCCGCCACCCCTAACTCGCCTGCCTCTAGGGTCTTGATCTCACCTCAGATACCCGTCCGCGACTCCCTCCCCGCCCCACAGATCGACCTCCTCCGGCCCCCTCAAGCAAAGATGCCTCAGTCGGCCATGATATCGGTGCCTCTCAAGGCTACCAACGAAATAGATTGGGTTGCGCCGCTGAAGAACTACATTCAAAACACATATGGGGACGACCCCGAACGCTATGCGGAAGAATGCGTGACCCTGAATCGCTTAAGACAGGATATGAGGGGCGCTGGAAAGGATAGTACGACTGGCCGGGACATGCTGTATAGGTACTACGGCCAGCTCGAGCTTCTCGACTTGCGCTTCCCCATCGACGAGAAGCACATAAAAATCTCCTTCACTTGGTAAGCTTAGCTCCGACTAGTTCCGACCGGCTCCGCGCAACGGAGTGCTGCCCCGGCTGCTTGAGCAGCCGCGGGGAGCCTGCTCTTCATACACTAACGTTACGCTCTACCTAGGTTTGATGCCTTCACCCACAAGGCAACTTCGCAATACTCCTCGCCTTTGAAAAGGCCTCGATCATCTTTAACATCTCGGCCGTCCTCTCTTGTCATGCAGCGGCCCAGAACCGGCATGAGGAAGCCGGACTGAAGATGGCCTATCACTCGTTCCAGGCTTCGGCGGGCATGTTTACGTATATCAACGAGAACTTCCTTCATGCTCCTTCCGCCGATCTGAGCAGAGATACCGTGAAAACGCTGATTCAGGTCATGCTCGCCCAAGCGACTGAGGTCTTCCTCGAAAAGCAGATCATGGATCAGAAAAAGGTTGGGCTTCTCGCCAAGCTCTCGAGCCAGGCGGCATACCTCTACACAGAAGCGATAGAGGGCGCACAGGAGAATGTCAACAAGGGAATATTTGATAAGTCTTGGTTGCAGGTTGTCCAGGTAAGTTCTGAACGGGTGCCCGAGCCCGATATGCAAACACAAACGGTCATATTCTACCCAACTCAGTCCCTCGCTAATGTCCGGCCCTCGGGTGGGCGTCTTTTTGCCTAGGTCAAGTCGAATCTACTGGGTTCCATGGCCCAGCTCTTCCAAGCACAAGCGGACGACGACGCGAATAACCACGGAATAGCCGTTGGTCGTCTCCAGGTTGCCGAACGCCTAGCGAAAGAGGCGACCCGAATCGCGAATGCAATCCCTTCCTCGCTTCCGATCAGCACAAACTTCAATAACGACTCTGGCCCCAGTCTTGCGGAAAACTCGAAGCGACAGCATACTTCTGTGACGGAGAAGCTGCGCGAGCTTTCCAAAGACAACGACTTCATCTACCATCAGCCGGTCCCGTCCGAAGCCACCCTTGCGCCTGTCCCAAAGCTCTCGGCCGCCAAACCTATCCCCGTAACCGAGCTGTACGCAGGCCAGGACATACAACGAATAACGGGACCCGATCTGTTCTCTAAGATTGTGCCGATGAATGTGACGGAGTCGGCGAGTCTTTACGACGAAGAGAAGGCGAAGCTTGTCCGGGCCGAGACCGAGAGGGTTGATATCGCCAATGGCGAAATGGCGGCAAGTCTCGACTACCTGCGGCTGCCCAACGCGCTCCAGGTTCTCAAGGGCGGCCTTGACCAAGACGTAGGGCCCGATGACGAGTTTAGGACTTGGTGCGAGGATGTCAGCGGGCAGGAAGACCCGTCCGTGATACTTGAATCACTAGAGGGGCAGAAGGCCGGGCTCTTTAGGGCACTTGAAAGTTGCAAAAAGGAGCTTGACATGGAGGAGAGCGTGTGCGAGAAGATGCGGTCTAAATACGAAGCGGAATGGACGCAGCAGCCAAGTTCTGCCCTGACCACCACCTTACGGGGGACATTCGAAGCTACCGCGAGGCGCTCGATGAGGCGTCCCGAACCGACTCTCAGCTGGCGTCGAAGCTACGGCAGAACGAGGCCGAGTTTAGCGAGATGCGCGCCGCCTCGCAGCGTGGCGAGGTCGACCAGCTGTTCCAGCGAGCCCTAGGTAAGGCTCGCGGTAGGTCGAGCAACACGGCGAGCCCGTTGGAGGAGCCAAACTTGCTAGATGCAGACTTTGACAGTGGTGGACCGAGTGTCATGGAACAGATCGACAGGGTTGAGGACGTTTTGAAGAAGCTCAATCTTCTCAAGCGCGAGCGCAATCAAGTGCTTAAAGATCTCAAAGAAAAGGTGAGTCTGACACTGGCTGCTCTATCTCTCTCCTTGTTCTCTTTTTAGCAAAAGAAGGAAAACGAAAAGGAGAAGGGGAAAGAAATGGGCTAGGAGCTTTGCGCGGAATGCGTGTGTGCTGTGCGCTAACCTGTGGGTATCCCGGGAACTTAGGTGCACAACGACGACATTTCTCAGATCTTGATCCTCAACAAGAAGTCGATCCAGAACTACGAGACGCAACTATTCCAGGCCGAACTAGAAAAGTTTAGGCCGCACCAGAACCGGCTCCTCGCTGCGAACCATAAACAGTCGGCATTGATGAAGGAGTTATCAACGACTTTTAATGCCCTACTTCAGGACAAGAGGGTAAGATCGGAACAGAACAAGTATGAGGGTGCGCAGCGGCAAAGGGCATCGGTGGTGAACCGATATAAGAGAGCGTATCAAGAATTTTTGGATCTGGTGGCGGGTCTCCATAGCGCCAAGAATTGGTACTCGGAGATGAAGGAGACGATTGACAGTTTGGAGAAGAACGTGCAGTCTTTTGTGAACAACCGGCGATCAGAAGGCGCGCAGCTCCTCGGCCAGATTGAAAAGGAAAAGTCCATCAACAAGTCGTCCCAAGCGGAGCTGGAACGGGAGCGGCTCCGGGAACTGATGGACCGCATGTCAGTTAACAACCAGGGAGGGTCGCCGCAGCCGCCCCAGGAGAATCGCCGGGCGCCGCCGGCACCACTCTTTCCCAAGGCAGCGCCCCTCGCTACTCGGACCAGACGTATGCGAGCCAGTACCCTCTACCCACGTCTCCGCCCGCGCATCAGTCAACGTACGGAAACTATGGAGCGCAGCAGCGGCAGTCCGGGTACGGCGGGCAATTTGGCCAACCGGCTGCATATAATCCAAGCCAATACGGTATGAACCCCGGGCCGGCGTCTCCGCCTCCGACTCAGACCTCGTTTGGGCACCCCAACATGCGCGGCCCTGCCTCGCCTCCTCCTACGCAGACCTCATTCGGTCAGACGCATCCTGCGTACGTTGGCTACGGGCAACAGGGAGGTCAGCCTGCGGCGCCACAGGCACAGCCGGGACGGCCGCTATCGCAGATTCCTCCCGGGTTTGTCCCGCCTCCGCCACCACCAGGGCCGCCGCCGCTGGGGCCGCAGCAGACGATTCATTACGGTTCGCAGGAATATCAGGTCCAGAACCAGCAGCAAGGGGGCCGGGAGCGGGGGTAACCAGCAATCTCAAGATCCCTGGGCGGGACTAAGCGCCTGGAAGTAAACTTACGCGCGGGTGGTGCCAAAGGTGGAATCGGGTGGCTGCTGAAGCTAAGAGTGAAGAATGGCAAGCTCTTTGGAGCCTTTATTCCCTGAAAATACCTGACAGAGAGTCCTTTGCTGCCGGAGTAGACACCTTTGTTTCCATCGATCCTAGACCGCCTCCCTCTCCCTCGCCTTTTTCAAGCTGTATCTCATTGTCTCTTGCCATTGCCTTTGTTAGGCTATATGCCCGTTGGCAATTGGGAGATAGGAAGAAGCAAGAGTTGACGGTCGATAGAGAGAGATGTGTAGACTGGCTACGGGCGACTTAGGCAAGGAAGATGCGGGCGTGGCGAGGGTGACAAGGCTTAGGTAGAGTGGACAAAAACCAGATATCATGATTTGAATATTATCATCAGCGCGCTGTTGTCTTGCTTCTTTTTCTTTCCATCTTTACTTTTGGTTTTACCATAAGATGTGTGAAGATGGTGAGATGGTTGGCGAAACCCTCCTAGATGCTTCTTTTATTCTTAAAAGGTTTCCAGAGAGGCGACTGTTGTCCCCTTCAAGGGAATGGGAACTGATCTAGCCCTCAAAAAGACCTTACAACTGTAGTGTCGATCATGACCGAGACGGTGGCTTATTAGTGCCGGTTTACAAGTTCTCGGGATATATTGACTCATGAATGTTGGGGCCCGGATCTAGTCATGAAGGAAAGTGCGGGCTCTTGCGCAGCACGATTGGGCAAACGGGGATAGGATAATAGGTCATAGGTGCTGGCCCTGCATGCATCAAGATCAATTGACGCGTGGGGGAGGTTACGGATCATCAATCGTCGATGAAAGTGCAGGCCGTTCGAATGGCGGTGGGATCGATTGGGGAAGACAAGGTCACAGTTTAAAGGGTACCTCTACTCCTTGTAGAGCTCGGTTGATTTGGGTGGCCGAGCTCCAGAGGTCGTGGCGGGGAGGAACCGACGCGCAAGTCAACATGTTGCGACCTCGGAGGGGACAGGTTCCAATGTTGGCCGCCGTGCCCGCGAGTAGACTTTGAAAAGTACAACATGAGATTGAAATTGATATTTGGAAAAGAAAAGAAAAATATATAAAAAATAAGCAGGTAGATTATTAGATGATTTGGATAAGAGTAAGAGGGCTCTCGAGGTCAACCAAAATAGCAAGAGAGCCTCATGGTATTGAAGACATCCACCTCCTGGCGATCTTAGATACTCGGCAGATATAAAATGCGAAGCGAGCGGCCTTGATGCTTCCCAGAGTTGCAGTCTCGGGTGGGTTTGGTGGCTGGCAGTGGGCACCTCGGTACAGCGAGGCCGACGTTGGTGCGCTTCGCGAGCACTGAGGGCGAGGTGAGTGGTTGGCTTGTAAGCCGGGCCGGGGGCTGGGGCTGGAAGTTCACTGATCAATTGTTGGGTTGGGGAGAGCTGCGGTGCGGGCCAGGCCTGGCCAGGCCAGAGAGCAATACAAGTACTTTGTAGCAATGCTGGGACGCGGAAACCCCACAAACTGGATTCGATCCAATGGCTGAGGGGGCTTTTCCGTGTTGGGCGGTCGTGCAGCGCTGCAATGGATTCCAATCATGATCCACCTGATGTGGCAAATGCGGACCACTCACGGCTACGACATTACCATTAGTGCCCCACTGACCGGGACCATGCCTCCTAAGAAGCCCCGCCGTAGAGCATTGAACCCCCAAGAAACTACTATCATATTCAATACAATGGATTACGCTCAATGGCTCGGCGAAACACAAAGAACACAAGCGCTGGAGGTACTAACTACCCCAGAGCTTGGGATTGCCATCGGAAGCTGGAGAGCCCTTCAGTCGCATTGAGCACTTGCTGAGTGCCGGTGCGTCTTTTTCTTCACGGTTGGGAGGTGAGGTGCACTTGACCTCAACCCCGGTCGCGCGCCCCCGGACCCGGTCCTTGATTCTTGTCAACATACCTCGGGTGGTGTGTGTGGTCTTATTCCCAAGCCCCATTGCCTGTCTCCTAGCACCACGTCCTCGTACGAGTTGGGCAGCCTTGTTCGATGACGAGAGTAATATCTGCCAATTCTCTGGCCGGATCCCCTTTTTCATTAGCTGACCGGGTAAGCTCTTCTAATCTCTCTCTACCCGGACCAACACCGCTGGCTGTTCTTGGGGCGTGGCCTTGGAGCTTCGGGCGACGGGGAGGCGGAAGCTGGGGTATTTTTGCTTGGCTTGCTAGGTTCATTGTGGCACATGTTCTTGTGGAAGAACGACGAAAAAAATATGGGCCGGTGTATTTTCCACGCTTCACCTCTTTTTGATCTTTTGTGAAGTCGCCCACTCCCGGTGTTCCATTACCCCGAGCTTTTTTCTGGGTCCTCAGATGGATCAGACAACGATCCAGTCAATTGATCGACTTAACGAGCCCCGGCACCCACAGCACCCAGCACCCCTCACCCCCTCCCTCCTTCCCTCACCCCCTTAGCAAGCACATAAACATCCGTGGTCCAAATCCAAGTCTCTTTTTGTCTTTCTCTTTTTTTCTCTTTCTTTTTGGGAATTGACTTTTCTGCTCTCTTTTCATTCTCTGAAAACGACGATAGCTTGCCTTGTTTCCATCTTGGAAGAAGTGAATCCTCCAGACCACCTTGAGCCTCGAATACTGTTCGTTCTTGAATTGAGCTCCCCTCCGTTCCCACTTGGGCGAGCAAGACGTAATACTCTAGGTCGGAAAAGAAGAAAAAAGAAACCGCCAAACATGACGTTAACAGGGGTCGATGTTGCTGAGCACAACTCGGCTGAGTCGTGTTGGGTGATTGTTCACGGCAAGGCCTACGACGTCACCGAATTTCTACCAGGTACGGCTTCTTCTCCCCTTTCGCAATTTTGGGCTATTGGGCTACACTACTTGCCGAAGCTCGCCGGGCTCGACCGAACCTCCCTATCCGCCCTTACGAGACGAAGGTGAAGAAGAAGAAAAGAAAAAGTCGATATTTCCATAGCGTTGGATTTCCTGCAAGTGGGAGCACAGAGGAGCCGCCGGAGGTTGAGGGGTTGAGAAGAGAAAAAGGCGGATGGAGGAATGGAGAAGAAATAGATTCAACTAACACTGGCCGTAGAGCACCCTGGTGGCATGAAGATTATCCTCAAGTACGCTGTAAGAATGGAACCCCCTCCCGGGAGTCCCGACGAGCTCGTCTTAGTCCATCCTCCGAGAGTCACAAACCCAAGCTAAACCTTGCGCGTTTTCCCGCGTCTCTAGGGCAAAGATGCGACAGACGAATTCGATCCCATCCACCCTCCGGACACGCTCGACAAGTTCCTCGACAAGTCGAAACACCTCGGCCCCGTCGACATGTCTACCGTCAAGGTGGAACAGAAGAAGGAGAGTCCCGAAGAAAAGACGCGGCAGGAGATGATTGCCCTCAAGCCCCCGCTGTCGCAATGCTACAACCTGCTAGATTTCGAGGCCGTAGCCAAGCGTGTCATGAAGAAGACGGCGTGGGCCTACTATTCTAGCGCCGCCGATGACGAGATTGTACGCCTTACCCAAACCCCTTCAGCCCTTGCCCTCACCTTTGCCCTTACCCCCTCCCCAAAGTCTTTTACAAACTAACGGCGTGTCTCTCTCCTCCGTAGACTATGCGAGAAAACCACGCCGCCTTCCAGAGGATATGGTTCCGGCCCAAGATCCTCGTCGACGTCGAAAAGGTCGACTTCAGCACCACCATGCTGGGCACCAAGGTCGACATGCCCTTCTACGTCACCGCCACCGCCCTCGGCAAGCTCGGCCACCCCGAGGGCGAGGTGCTGCTGACCCGCGCGTCCAAGAAGCACAACGTCGTCCAGATGATCCCCACCCTCGCCTCGTGCTCCTTTGACGAGATCATGGACGCGGCGGAAGGCGACCAGGTGCAGTGGCTCCAGCTGTACGTGAACAAGGACCGCGAGATCACGAAGCGCATCGTGCAGCACGCCGAGAAGCGCGGGTGCAAGGCCCTCTTCATCACCGTGGACGCCCCGCAGCTCGGCCGGCGCGAAAGGACATGCGCGTCAAGTTCACCGACGAAGGGTCCAACGTGCAGAACGGCGAGGAGACGGACAACTCGCAGGGCGCGGCGCGGGCCATCTCCTCCTTCATCGACCCGGCGCTCTCGTGGAAGGACATCCCTTGGTTCCAGGGCATCACCAAGATGCCCATCCTGCTCAAGGGCGTGCAGCGGGTCGAGGACGTGCTCAAGGCCATCGAGGCCGGCGTGCAGGGCGTCGTGCTGTCCAACCACGGCGGCCGGCAGCTCGAGTTCGCGCGCTCGGCCATCGAGGTCCTCGCCGAGACGATGCCGGTGCTCAAGCAAATGGGGCTCGAGGACAAGATTGAGATTTACGTGGACGGCGGCGTCCGGCGCGGCACCGATATCCTCAAGGCCCTGTGCATGGGAGCCAAGGGCGTGGGCATCGGCCGGCCGTTTCTCTACGCCATGTCGGCGTACGGGCCCGAGGGCGTGGATCGGGCCATGGCGCTGCTCCGCGACGAGCTGGAGATGAATATGCGCTTGATCGGGTGCACGTCGGTCGCGGAGCTCAACCCTTCGCTCATTGATGTGCGGAGCCTGACGAGTCACGGGAACGGCGTGCCGACGGATGTGCTGTCCAAGAGCGTCTACGATAGGTTGCAGTCGCCGGCGCAAAGACCGAAGCCTAAGCTCTAAGCGACCCTGGGATTCCTAGGCTAGTGGGAGGGAAGGAAGGAAGGAAGGAAGGAAAGAATAAGGAAAGGGGAGCCAAGGGGCATTGATGATGGAGCATTATAGTGGGGGAGGAGAGAGACGGCATGCAAAGGTGCGCCAAAACAGCCTTCTATATTGTTTTAATTCTTTTTTTTCTCTTTTGGAGTCTGCTTCATTGGCCTTTAAAGACGCCGCGCTCAATCCACCTTTCTGGACACCGCTTTGTGATGGTGGTAGATGGCCCAGATTTTATAATTTAGGATCTAGAGATGGATACATCCAGGATGTGAAAAGAGAGCAAACAAGGCGGTGAATCATTGTGCCAATCTACACATCCATGGATCTATTGTGAGGTGTGTTGGGTATTATGTGTACATGTACCATGTGGCCATGTCAACCCGTGTAACTTATTGTAGTTTCCCATTTTCCAGGGCAGCCTCCGATCGATCTTTAGATCCATGGATGTATATTAAACCGTGGCACACGGGGTGACGGGTTTGACACATGTAAGCGATAGAACCCGGTTTTCTTTATCCGTCTTCCTTGCTCCCATATCGCCCCGGGTCTTGGAAGTCGAAGAGAGGGAGATGACGAGGATGGATAGAAAAGTGGATTGGAAGCTCAATGGTTTTGGCTGAAAGAGATGGACTCGTCGCTGGCTTGAAGTCGGCCATGATCTGCACTGCATATATCAAATAGATGGCTTAGCTCAATATTCCTTCCTTCTTTACCGCCCTCTCTCCTTTCCCTTGATGTTGCCTTGACTTATCGAGCGAGAGAACGTGACTTATGGAAAGAGTGCGCCGGATAAGAATCGTTTCTTGGGGGCTGGGGGGGAGATACGCCACGAATAGTAGATTTACGGAGTCCGTTTGATACGTGTTAGCGCGTGCAGAAAAGGGCTGCATCATGGACGGCGCTCAGGATGATTCGGAGTTGGTCTGCGCGCGCGCTCGCGCATGCATGCATTGGGAAGTGGGAGTGTCATATGTGAGTGTTGTATGCGTGTTCAAATGTTTTATGTGAGCGCAACACACACACACACACACACATACACATACACACACTATACGTGCGTTTGTGCATCTCTGCATGTCTCATCCAAGTTCCCCAGTTCCTATCGGTGATGTAAACCGGATATTGGGACTTGATTGGGTGCGTCTAGGACTGGCTCGACAAGAGTTTGTTTGATATGTGCGTAATCCCGTTGAAGGCCAATGGCAGTGGCCAAACGCCAGCGGCGGAGTGTTGATATCTTGACTTTCAACTTCTTCTTCCTCTGCCTTTTTGGCTGAAGACCTATCTGGCAATGGTGAGTACTAGATGTCGGTAAGTGGAAAAAGGAGCCTTGGGGACATGAGGGTTCCTGAGGACGTCACGTAGCTCTCTTATGAAAGGAGACGGCGGGCAGAAGAAGTAGCATATCATCATGGATCAGTGTGCACTACATCTAGCGAAGAACGCAGAGTATACGATCCATTTCATTGATTCATTGGTAGCGGGTACATTAATCCGTTGGAGGTACATGGTGGTTAGCTAGACCTACTCATTCTCACTTGGTCATCCATGGGTATTTTCACATCTCCATTTCACATTGAGGACAAAACCTTGGACTGGCAGGTCCATCAATTATCTAGTCACTGGATCTGAAATTTCGATATAACGGATCTATCCATCCATGGATGGATCTATGGACCCAGCCTGGAACATTAAATCTATTACATGTAACATCGACGGGCGCATGCGGCTCTCCAACGCACTGCGGGCACTCCATCTCTAGCCTGGGAAAATCAATCATTCAATGGATCGATTGATTAATCCTCCACATAGTAGACCAAGCCAAACCTAGGTAGATATCCATCCATTGACCCATTATTTCAATTTTACTGCATCTCTTCATGGCTGATGAATCGGTTGATACCGGATGGATCGAGTCCCAGTCCCTCCACTAGCACCGGTTGATATTGATATGATGCAGCCTTGAGCCACCCCCAAGCCCAGGTCCGTCCTAGGTCCATCCCAGGTGCGTCTGGTCTCTCCCCCACTCCATGAACCCTCTGCCCCTCTATCCCCAGACCGCCGCAAAGCCCTTGGTGGGGTACGACAGCCGACTGGAGAGTTGGAGGATCAAATTGATCGGTTGATGGATTGGATGCCGGGCTTGGCTTGGTCTGCTGAACCCCAAAAACGTCATCTTGCACCAAACCCAACCCACTAGCAGGACCGAGGAACCGATCCCCAGGGATCAATTGCATGCCGGCGACAGAACTGGAACTGGATTGGCGTAAGAGATGGTCCTCTTGGGGTTGACTCGACCAACAACGTGAGGGTCCTTTGACTCGGCTCTTGCCGAAGTAAGAAAGAAGCAACAATGGATGCTCCAAGTTGTGGAAAAGGCAGTGAATCTGTGCTGACAGGCTCTGTAGATGTTGTCTTGTGACCATTCTTTGCCAGCTTCTGTTGTCTTCTCCCTTGATAGTTCACACACACACATCCACACACACATCAATTGCTTATCGCCATCTCTCGTCTTGCTTTCTTTTTATTTACTTCCTCCAAGCACTGCTTCCCCTCTCCTCTCCTCCCCTCACTCAAGTTTCACCCCTCCCCACATCCTCTGCTTGTGACCTGCTGGCTGATACACCTTTCTGGACCAGTCTCGTCTTTCACCTCCCCTTCCCAGGCTATCATTTCCCCTCCCCTCCTTGATCCGATCTCTTCTCTTCTCGCCTCTCCCCTTCTCCCCCTTTGCGTTGGTTCTACCCTTTCAGCATCAGCATCAGCATCATCATGTTTCTACTGCTTGACTACACTTAGTCATCTCTTCCCTTTTTCTTGCCTTTTCTCTTCCTTTCCCATCTCTCTCTCTCCCTCTCTCTCTCTTTGTGGCCCCCTCTTGCTCTCATGGACTAGCAAAATCCACATTTCGCATTTCGCATTTCGCCTTTCGCCATCATCAATCGACATCAGCAAGCCACCAGATTCGGGGTTTCAGCGCAGTCGTCTACTGACGTGCTTCAATCTAAATTGATCCAATCCCTCCACTTTCCCCACACATTTTCTCAAACAACACCGCTAAAATAGCCCCATTCCACAACTCCCGGCCTCTATCTCGCTCTCGCTCTCTCCCTTTATCTCTCTTCATAGCGCCGACTCCCGCCTCTTTCTATCAATTTACTCACCGTCCGTTTGACTGCACCCCGCGGCACATATCACACGTGGCACGTGGGACGCACAACCGTAGCCTCGTTTCTTTTGGGGCCGGACAACTCGCTTGCTTTGGCTTAACTTCCAGAAGCTTCGCCCTTTCCATCACCTCTTCTTCTCTTCTCTCTCTCTCTCTCTCTCTCTCTCTCTCTCTCTCTCTCTCTCTCTCTCTTACTAACCCGCGCCTGCCCTGTTCTGCCATGCTGAGCGCCATCGCAACACACTTATGATATCCCCATTTGGTCTCTTTCGTTGATCCTACCGCAAAGGGAAAAAGAAAAAGAAATCAGGGGAAGAACGCAGAAAGGAAAAGCTGAGAGGAAAAAGAAATATTTTCACCGTCTGTGAAATTAATATCACTCCGAGAACCGTTCGCCCCGGCCTGGCTCCGGAGAGGCTGCTGACCGACTCGTCGCTGCGCATGAATTCCGCAATTGAGCGGATCGAGGACCCTTGAACCATAATCTTAGCGGCTGGAAGGGGGGCAAACAACAACAGGCGGCATCAAGCCAGGCCGATCCCTGACGCGCACCATCGCGCGTCTTACCCCGCCAAAAACCCCTGCCCACGCGTGCTGCAACCTCCCTCGCAGCCTTAGGACCAACCCAATCAGTCCCATCTCGTGCCCCCACGAGGCCCCAAAATTCCTCCCACTTTATTAGTTCGCCATATCCGGAATCCAGAATCGCCGTCACCGGAAATCATGTCGTCCCTCGAGGCCAAGATCGTCGTTCTCGGCGCCCAGGGGTTGGCAAAACATCCCTCGTCACCCGCTACTGCAAGGGCGAGTTCGACCCGGCTCAGACCACCTCCACTGTCGGTGCTAGTTTCATGACCAAAAGGTTGTCGATGGCGACACCGATACCACTGTCCGCCTCCAGATCTGGGATACCGGTATGCGCCCCCTTCGTGGCCTGGCGGGGCGACCCGAGTTGGACCGGAACCGCGACATTCTTCGCTGTGTCCCCGCCCGACATCATCGCTCGTCCTGCCTCTTCCCACCCCTCCTTTTCCCCCTATTGATTATACCTTGACCCCTTTCTTGCTAACTCTTTGCGCGTGCCTCTGTAGCCGGACAAGAGCGGTTCCGCTCCATCTCCAGACTTTACTACCGTGGAGCCAATGCCTGCATTCTCTGTTACTCCATAACCGACGCCCAGTCCTTTGCCGAAATGGGCATATGGCTCAACGAGCTTCGTCAAAACCTCCCCAACGACGTTGTCCTCCATGTCGTCGGTACCAAAGCCGACATCGTTGCTCGTGACCCCTCCAAACGCGAGGTACCCTTTGAGCGTTGCATCGCCTACGTTGCTGAGAACCTCGCACCAGGCCTCGGCTCCACCCCTCCTCCCTCCGCCTCCGGTCTCGCCCCTTTCCTCTCCGACAACTCGCGCCAGACCAGCACGTTGACCACCCCCGGCGCCGCCACGGGCGAGCCTCGCAGTCCCAGCTCCAAACGTAGCTCCGGCTTCTGGGGGCAAGAGGTAGGCTGGGACGCCTGTCACGAGATCAGTGCCGAAAGTGGCGAGGGCGTCGAGGAGGTCTTCCGCGTTGTCGCCAGCAAGCTTGTCGAGCAAAATAAAAAGATGCAACAGGCCCTGCTCACCGCCACTGCCCAACCCGGGTCCCCAGGCTACGAGGCTGGCATGGACGGTGGTTACTTTGAGTCTCTCAACCCGAGGACCAGCTTTAGGGTTGGCCGCGACCGGAGGAGTTGGCTGTTCCCCCATCCTTCTCGCCCGTCGTATCCGTCGAGCCCAATGAGAGGAATACGCACGAGTATGTCCCGCAGGAGAGGCACGACTCCCGTCCCAAACGAAAGTGCTGTTGAATCAAGAAACAGGTCCGGTTTGCATATCGATTTGCGCCTTATGCATATATCCTCCGGGGTCAGCCAGCCAACTGGGTGTGTATATCCGCTCAGAGCAGGATACACAGCAGATTCTTGGTGTCTGTCTTGCATCAGCCTTCTTGTCTATCATATCTTGCAGGCTCCTTATCCTTTCTTTTTCTTTCCTTGATTTCTCGTTGGCGCGTCTTGTTTTCCCGGTACTCGTAGCCTGCCGGTAGGATAGTCACGGTTCGGCCTGATTTCGTTGTCTATCCCGTCTTTCCGTTTTCTTTCCGTTTGTTTTCTCGCTTTTTCTGCATCCTCAGGAAGCATTCCTAAACAGAGGGGCTCCCTGTTCATCACCGTTATCCTCGTTGCCATTCTCATTGTCATTGTCATCATAGCTATTATTGCGGTTTCTGGGCATAGGTATATCATGTTTCGCTTTTCCCTCCTCTGCTGTCATCTCTCTGCCACACATGCATGTCATGTTCATCAAGGTATCTTGCTTAACTATCTCTGCTGGTTTCTATGTTTCTTTATCTGGGGTACCTCTCTTCAACTCTCTATCTGTCTCTCGTTGTTTTTCTTGGAGCATTATCAGTCACTCAATACTAGGATTTGGGTGGCGCTTGTTTTCATGCTTTTGGGTATCATGTGGGGTCTATCTGCCTTTTTGCATCTTTTGTCTAGAAATGTCACACACTTTTGTATCATCAATAATGCCAGACTAGCAATACACTTTTTGCATCTCTGCTTTCCTCTCTTCTCCTTCACTTTTGGAAGCAATAACCATGATGGAGAAGTTCTTCTCTTAATGATGGCTGATTTCTTTGTCTTTGTGGCTGAGGTTGTTGTGTCCATTCATGCTGGTAGGGAACAAGGGATGAGGGCTATGAAAGACGAGAAGAAGCACAAGGGACCAGGGACCTCGACTGAACTTTGTTTTGGAGAGAAACTTTTGAAAAATAAGATGTACTAGATATAAAAATGCTCATGCTATTTCTTTGGCCTGGGTAAATCATGGCCTACGTAGGACGAGCGCCTTCCCTCTTCCTGTCCAGGACAGACGCAGAGCCCACCACCACCTTACGCCACCTTTTGTTCGCACCATCGCTAGGCTTGGGCGGCGCGGGCACCTCGATGCCCTCGATGACGTGCTCGAGACCAACATAGGTATCGCTAACAACGCGCACCTCCACCTTGCGGCCCGCGTCCTCGGGTCGCAGCTTCATCGTCACTTTTGCCACGGGGCCCGAGGCATTGCGTTGACCGCCGCCGCCGCCGCCACCGCCGCCGGTACCACTACCACCACCACTACCGCCCCCTACTGCTACCGCCACCGCTGCCTCTACCTCCGCGTCCGCCTCCTCTTCCGCGCTCGCTGCCCCCGCGCCCCGCCCTCATTACCGTGTCTCCGCGCACCACCACTGCCTCCGCCGAGGGGCCATCCGATTCTCTTCACGGCTAGAACCTCGTCGTTCACCCTATCCGCCAAAACGACAAACCACCCTTCCGTCTGGGGCTTGGGGTACCTCGGGGCATACGCCCTCGCCTCTCTGTCCATGAGCGCGTTCAGCCGCCTGAGCTGCACCGTCACGCCCGACGTGGTCGGCTCCCCTCCACCGAAACTTTGATGTCTGGCAATCTCGACGCGGCCTTGGAAAATCGCTCGTAGAACCTGTCCGGCACGGACAACTTTCCGGCGAGGTGCTTCGCCTTGCCGTTCGAGATCTGGGACGCAATGTCCTTGAGAGTCGTCTTGTCTTTGGTGTTGTCGGGCACGCCGGGAAGAATGGATGCCGGGGGTCCGCGGGCCACCTCGCCGACTTGATGCATTGTAGGAGCTGCATCATGGCCAAGCAGCTCGAGAGGTGGCCCATCTCCGTGAGGACGTCGATGCCGGCCTGCACGATACGAATCGCCTGGTCCAACACGCTAGTCTGATCGCCGACGTAATCGGTGATGGGTAAGCTGATGCGAGAAAAGTAGGCTTGCAAAAGGAGAAAGGCCTTGACGTGGGGATCCCACATCGGAAGGCCAAACGACGTGCCTTCAAACGGAAGGTTTCTGGACAGCTCCGCATTGATCAGGTCCTCGTTGTGGCGAACGGGGAGCTCGTCGTACTCGGTGGCGCGCGACATCCAAGTAAGAACGTCGGAAAAGGAACCCCCAGCCTTTGCGTGTCGTGCAAAATATCGTATCGTCTTGTGCGAGAGATAGTAGTACGACATGATTTTGCCGAGCGGCGTCGGATCGATGTTGCCGTTGCCATGGACGTCGATACACGATGACTTTTGCAGCTCGCCAAGCGACGAGTCCACCATTTGGATCATGAAGTCGTTGGCGAGTTTTTGCGCTTCAATGGTGTTGTGCTCCTCGGCGGAAATCTCGAGCCCGTAGTAACTCGGGTTCTTGTGCAACCTGCGGAAGAAAAAGGTCCACGTTAGATAGTCAAGAGCGTCTTGCTTGGTGACAATGGTCTCCGCTGAGATCTCGGCGCAAAGATGATCGTCTAGGACCGTGTGCAGGGAAGACTCCACAGGGAAGCCGGTGTGCAGGAAGTGCTTGTAAAAGTCCTTCTTCGAGTCCTGTGTAAATATGCGGGCGACACCTGAATTGTCAAACTGCGGCCGCCCAGCTCGGCCAAGCATCTGCAGCACGTCCGTCAAGTCCATATCCTTATAGCCTTCAATCTTGGCATCGTAGAACTGGGTTCCCTTGACCACGACGAGATGCGCAGGCAAGTTCACGCCCCACGCAAGGGTACTCGTGGCCACAAGAATCTGAATCTTGTTGTTGAGGAACAGCTCCTCTGAAAGCTGCCGGTCGGTTTCGACAAGACCGGCATGATGAAGTCCGATGCCAAACGAGATGGCTTCTTTCAACGCATCGTCCTTGACCCTCGCAAGGTTGAGCTGCAGGTCATCCTCATCCATGTTGAGAAACCTTCTAGGGTTATCCTCCATTCCACAATAGTTGACGAGATCCTTGGCAGTTAAGCGCGTCTGCCTTCGAGAGGGGACAAACACGATTACGGGCTTGTCGGGGCTGTGGTTTTTGATCGCGAGGAACGTTGGGCGATTCATCGACTGCATTAGAGGGCAAAACCCTCGAACTTCGGGGAATCCATCAATGTACAGCTCAAGAGGGACTGGGCGTACGGAATGCCTAAAGTTGAACAAGCCTTCCTTCACACCAAGCCAATTGCCCAGGTCGGTTGCGTTGGCGCAAGCCGTTGACATTCCCAGCAGGCGAACGGGGTTGTTAGTGGACTCGGCGATGTAGTTCATTCCTTAATTCATCCATCATTCGTTAGATCAAAAGCACAGATAAGGAACAGAAGCAAGGGTAGTTGGGAGAGCTTACGAGAAACGATGATTTCAAGGATAGGGCCTCGATCACCAGCAAGTAGATGAATCTCGTCAATGATGACGAGGCTCACCTTTCGCACATAGCCCCTGGTCTGCCAGCTACGAGAGATACCGTCCCACTTTTCGGGGGTAGTAATAATCACATCCGCATCCTGGATCGTCCTCGTGTCTGGCGTGTTGTCACCCGTCAACTCGACAATTTTCATGCCCAAAGGCTTCGCGAGCCGATCACCCCAGTCTTTAACACGCTCGCGCACGAGCGCCTTCATTGGGGCGATGTAGACGACCTTGGACCCGGGCTTCTCCTTGAACGCCCACCACATGGCCAGCTCAGCCGCAACAGTCTTGCCGCTGCCAGTGGGCGAACCGAGCAGCACGTTGGCTGGCGTATGGTAGAGCGTGTGGAAAATCTGCGTCTGCATGGGATTGAAGAACTGGAACCGTCTGGCGTAGATCTCTTCGAGGGCTGGATTTTTAACGCCGAGATGGACAAGGGCCGGAGGTTGAGCAGGTCGGTATAAACACTCTCCGTGTCGGGGCGGATCAGGTGCTGGAAGGAAACGGGGGTCACGCTCTCGGCACCGAGCCAACGATCGGAAACAGCGCGCACGTAGATCTGGGTGGGAAGCGGATCGGAAAGAGGGATGGTGAAGTTGAGTTCATGCTCATCGTGAAGCTTTCTCCTTGTGAGAATGAAGAATTCGTGGTGGTAAATCTCTGAGGTTTCCGAGTTCTCGACCCATATGTAGTAAGATTCTGATGTTCCATGAATCTGGTCGTTCCAGGAAAATCCAGGCTCGATAAATAGCTTGATTCTCAAGACGTCCCGGTTGAGGGCGCAATCTCCGCCTCGACGTGGATAGTCGGAAAGCCTCTGAGTAATTTTGCAATCTTGACCCCAGCGCCCTTGTTGTGTACCAGCTCGCCTACCTCCGCGGGCTCCATATCCTTGAGATCTTGCATCGTGAGTGACTCCCTCGAGTCAAGCTGTTTCAGGACAGTCTTGGGAAGGTCAAATTGGTGGAGGGGGTGCTGGAACGGCCAGATTCTCTTCTCGATGGACTTGGCCATGGTGAGGAGGACGAGGCACTGGTGGCCCCATCGTCTGTTGAGAGCAATCATGAAGAGCGCGCGGCAAATGCGCCCAGATTGCTGCGCAACGTAGTTCAAGTCATTCCCCAAAGCAAAATCTTCGGGCTGGGCCCTGGAGATGTATGTTTGAAGCAGGATGTTGGTCTTGACCTGAGGAGTATCGGCGCCTGCGCGCGTATCGATCGCGCAAGGTACAATATCTTCACGAGCCTTGAGCCTCATCAGCTCATCAGCCTCACTTTCGCGGAACTGTATATTGTCGAATTCACCACTCATGCTAATCATCTTGAGGATGTCCGCCTCGGTCGACTCGGGTTTCATCATGGTATTGAAGATCTGGATCGTGGTGTGTAGGATGTAGTACTGGCTAGCAATGCGGCCAATATCCTTACTCCGCAGCTCCTCGGTCCTCTCGTTGAAGATGATCATCTGGGACTTTTGCAGCTCCCGCGCCGCCTGGATGGCCATGGTTCGACGCCTCTGGACGAGTGTGGTGTCATCTCTAATTTCCGCCCACTCGATGCCGTAGTTCTGGTGACTCCGCTGCATACGCACAAACAAGTACGAGTAGCCGATCCACTGGACGGCCTCCGCTATAGAGGTCACCGTCCCCAGGCTAATCTCGGCGTTCAAGTTGTCGACCAGCTTCGACGAGAACCGGGACTCGATGGGGCGCTGCTCCGTGACGGCAGTAAGGTAGTGCGAGAGCTTGTCCTGGGTGGTGCAGATCATGCCTATACCCGTGTCTTCGAACTGGGGACGTCCAGCACGACCAAAGATCTGAAGCACGTCGAGGATACCGAGGTCGACGAATTTACCATCCTGCGCGCTATAGACCTGGGTGCCCTTGATGACGACGGCAGCGGCCGGCAAATTGACACCCCATGCCAAGGTAGCCGTGCAGCAAAGAACCTTGAGAACGCCCTCGCCAAAGAGACGTTCCATCAAGTTCCTGTCCGACCGCGCCATACCAGCGTGGTGGACGCCCAGACCCTGGGGGACGAGCTCCCTGATATCTCGGGCCTTGGAGCTCCTCACATCCTTCATGGCGCTATCAAACTTGGGATGATAGGAGGGGTCAAAGAGATCGACGCACATGTCGTCGACGGCCTTCTCGCGAAGCATCTTGGCGGTGAAAAGGTATCTCTCCGAGAATGCACAAAGACCATGACTTGGTGGCCCTTTTGGAGCATTTCCCGAACTTTTCAAAGGCAACATTGTCCATGTTCTCCCTAGACACTCTCGAGCCAGCCTTACCCTTGACCCCGATAAAATGAGTCTCAAGGGGCACGGGACGGAAGGAAGCGTCAAAGTAGAAGAGACCTTGGTACTTGTTCACTCGTAGGAAGTCGGCAACATCGACGTAGTTTGGAAGCGTGGCGCTTAGTCCGACAATGCGGATGAGCGACTGCGTACTTTCCACCTGCCTTTGGGTGCGAGCCACAAGAGATTCAAGCACGGCACCTCGTTCGTCGTGCAGCATGTGGACCTCGTCGATGATGAGGAGCCTGACCTTTTGGACAAGCTCGGTGTCGCCCGTACCTTTGCGGGTAACAACATCCCACTTTTCGGGGGTGGTGACAATGATTTGTGTCGAGACAATCTCGGGCTTTGTAAGATGCATATCGCCAGTGTACTCGCGGCACTTGATGCCGAGCCACGCCAGGCGCTTCCCAAGCTTCTCCGTCACTTCGGCTGCCAGGGCTTTCATGGGGGCGACGTAGACAATCTTGAAATCCTGGAGGTCCACGGCAAAGTCCGTCGCCTGCACATCCTCGGAAGGAGTGGGCGAGACATACTGGCCTACGCATTGCAGGATGGTGAGCATCGCAGCATCGGTTTTACCCTACGCATCGCTTAGTTAGCGGGCTCCCAAGACGCGAAATTGTCTAGAATGAAAGACACCAAGGGACCAAAGCTAGAGAGAGGGTGGGAAAACCTACAGCACCCGTGGGGGCGCAAATCAGCATGTTCTCGCTCGTCTTGTACGCCACCGGATACACAAGGCTCTGCATCCGATTCAGGGACTTGTACCCCTTGAAAGTTTTCCTACACAGCCCGTCGAGGTCGGAGATGGCGACGAGCTTTTCGCCCGGGCGGAGGGTGCCCTTACTGCCGGCGGGGATAAAGTACTCCTCGTACTTTTCAAACTCGAGCCTCTCACCTCCAGGCGGAAGGCCGTATTTTTCCCCGTGTAGCTCAACATGCTGCCTCCGACGTTGTGCGTCTTGTACACATGAGGGTACTCGGGCTCGCGGGCATGCGCCGTGGCGAGCGCCCTCGTCTTGTGTGCGAAATCTTGCCGACGTAACGCCTCCTCCCGCTGGGCCCTGGATAGGAGCCGGTTGCTCCCTTGCTCGTGGGTGGGCAGGGACTGTGGTCCGGCGGCGGCGGCGGCAGCGGCGGTTATCTCTGACTTGTGAGCTAATAATTCAATGATGAGCTCAAAATCGTCGAAGCCGATCAGGTCGGCGAGGGTGGACTGCAGCTCCTCCTCCGACTGTTTTGATCCTAACAGGTCTAGAATCTGGGCTTGGAACACCTCCATCACCAGCCCGTTCTTGGACGCAATCCGCTCACACTTGGCCGCAAGCCATCCAAGTCCGTAGGGTGCTGCGGACGACCCCTCATCCCCACCGAGGTCAACCCCTCCATCAAGGTCGTCGCTGCTGTAAACGCCGAGCTCGTCCTCGTCGTCGGAGATGAAATCCCATACGTCCTGTCCCTGTTCGTTTGACGAGGACTCGTCCAAATCGCCATCATCCTCATCGCCGTCAAAATCTGGCGCCAGTGCCCCCGGCGCTGGGAGACGGAGTTTGGCAAGAGCCGCCTTCATAGAGGAGTAGCTCTCTCTCCATTGCGCTTCCGCCTCCGATAATTGTGTCGTTGGCGCCATACCTGGTACCTGATATCTGAAGGAGAACCGACTACGCAAGATAGTGATGATGAGTATTAAAGAAGAAAAAAAAACAGAAAAAGGAAAGAAGAATTTGAAAACCCCCTCCGAGCTATTGATGGGTGAGCAGTTTGTATCTACTCCGCTCACTCGAGTATGTGTGCTGTATCGTGGGGTGGAGCTTGATAATCAAAAGTGGGTGCTGTGATTCCTCAGTTGATGCAATGCGAGCCGTGGCGCTCGATTAAAAGGGCTTGCTGGTATTTAAGACAAGTGCTCTGCTCGAATAGGTCTGGAGCTGCAATCCTGTGCTTCGTCGCCGGATGTGTCATAGAGGCTTGTCCAATGGCTTTTGTGATGCTAGATGAGCCAGGCTTAGACCCAGGATTTGTGGGGTTAAAATCCAGTTGCCAGTCCAGTGCCAGCTTGCGAAGAGTGTACATTGATGTATGATGCTGCATGACAATGGAATGGATTGGATCAATCCAACGTGGACGGCTCAATTGAGGTGTTTAGTATGTTTGGGCCTGGAATGGCAACGCATAACGCACCTTCCTTTCCTCATCCTTCACCCTCAGCTAGCAATTAAGTAGAATTGATCAAACGGATTTGATAGATCCTGCCTAGAGTTGATCGTGGATGCCCGCACACAGCAAAGCAACAGCCGCTACTATTAATACCGCCGTTGAGCTCCCGCCAACAGGAAAATCAAGTCTCCCTTTTCAACTCAAATCATCTCCATCTAGATCATCATTCACGGGTCTTGAGCAAGATGTTGCAAGTTATCACAGAAGAAAGTATTTTATTTCCCCAAAACTATATCTAAGGGGGTCATGAAGGGGTATAGAACCGATGTCAACCTAGAATCTCCATTTGAGAAATCCTTGTCATTAGACCGAGCCGCGCCTGTGAAAATGTCCAACAAAGGGAAGAGAAAAAAAAAAAAAAGAGGACGAGGATGATTAGTACCTGTGTCCTGCGCATATCGTACTGGAAACTCTATACACCTTCGAGGGCTTCATGAAGGAAACAAAGGAAGAAGAACAACATGAGAAAAGGAGCAAGGTCCGCAGGACTGCAATGCCAGGCCGCAAGGACCAGGAATAAAGGAAGAGGGGGAAGTAAACGAACGGGGAGGCCCTAGTATAGTCCGTCCATGGCCTTATCCCCGTTCCGTTATCCCGAACACGGACAAGAAGTGAATATTGAGACAAAGGGGATTAAACAAAGAAGAAGTCGAGTTTCAGTCGACAAGGGAGAGAGAGAGAGAGTGTGTGTGTGTGTGCCTAAGCAAGGAGGAGGCGACGAAAGGGAATTAGGATCCTTCGACAACTACCCTCTCGCTCTTTCGCAAGTCCACGATTTGGCCAGCCTGCATGTACATTGGCGTAGCCATCTTAGTTTGCGCCAACCGTTCGCCCGACGCATTATTGACCACGCGTCCAGGAACCTTGCGAATCGTCGAGGGCACGCCGCCGACACCCATGGGAGTCACGTCCGCCCTCATCCACGGCCTCGTCCTCCCGGGCTGCTGAAGCATGTTTTGCTGCTGCCTCGAGATGCTGATTTGGCGCGCGATAGAAATTTCCACCGCGCTCTTTAGGTTCACGTCCGGCTCGTCGATGGACGGCTTGGTCGTGTGCGTGTACGTGCTCGACGCCGACGACGCCGACCGCATGCGCGACGAGCTGGCGCCGCTGCTGCTACCGGCGCTCGACGGGATGCCCGTCGAAGGCGGCGAAGCCATCTGCCAGACCGGTTCGGCGGGAACCACCCTGGGCTGAGCCGCCATCGAGGCCATGGAAGACGAAGCCGCTTCGGCGCCGCTGCCCGCCGTGGGCGAGTCCAGGATCAGAGCCGACTGGTCCGGCCTGAAGATGGTCGCCTGCTGCGGTTGGATTTGGCTGGTCTGGATGGGCTGCGGGATGCGCGTGCGCGACTGGGATTGGGCTCGCGCGCGGGCCGCGGCCACGGCCGGGCTCTGGGTCGGAGCCTGTTGCTGTTGTTGTTGTTGTACGACCTCTTGAACGGCGGGCCTGGGCACCTTGGATATATTAAGCGGGGCGGGCTGAGCAACGCTGGCAACAGCCTCAACGGGAACCTGGGCCGGCTGGGCGGACCGCGGCGGTTGCTCGCGCGTTTGGGAGACGTCGCGTGCTTGCGCCGGCTCACGACCGCGAGAGCGTTCGCGTTCGCGGACCTGGCGGGCCTGGTCGAGGCGCTGGGCCGCCCGAGTCCGGCTAGCAGATCTGTCCCTCGCCGACATTTCGGGTGGGGCCGCGTTCGCGGGCGCCTTTCTCGGAATTTGCGACATCACCTGCGCATTCACGGGTTGAGAGCTCAGAGGGTTAGGAAGCGCCGAGCGTCCACGGGGGTGACATCTCGAATACGATGGGGATGTCCTGCGACATCTGGGACATTTGTGACCGCGCCCGGCCTTGTCCTTCGGGGGTGGTAGGCCGCCTTGACTCGGCCGCCACAGGTGCCACGGGAGGAGGGAGATTCGGGCGAGGCCCGGGTGGATCCATCAACTCAAACTTGCCCTTCAAGGGAGAAGGAAGAACCGCGGGCGAGGTGTTTGAGCGAGAGAGTGGTGACGGCTTCAGGGTCAAGGTCAAATTTTTATTGTTGTTATTCGAGGATGGCGGGGCGGGGAAGAGGGAGAACGAAGGCGAACTACCATGAGACTGGTAGGAAGGTGGCGCTGGCGGAGCTGGCGGGGCGGCGGTCAAGGTAGGCACAGCGGGTACAGGATTGACCGGAGCAACAATCTCCGCCTTCATGCTGCGGGCAACGGGTCGGCGAGAAGGCTCCAGCGAAACCGTGGCAGCAGACCTCGCAAGCGTCGAAACTGCGACGGGGACAACTTCGCCCCTAGCACGTGCGTTCTCCTCCTCAATGATGGCGTCTTGGATGAGCTGAAGTCTCTTGAGGGTAGCTTGCCGGCGGGCAAAGATGCTGTTGCGCGAGGGCTGCGCGGGCCTATCGGGATGTAGGATGCCGCCAAACATGATGCTATAACGCTCCATCTTCACGTCGGGAATCTCTACGTCCAGGAACCCCTTTTCCGTGGGGATGGGGGGACGGGAGGCCGGTTGAGAGGGATGGGGGCGGAAATGTCCGACTTTTTGATGCCATCGCGAATCGACTTGGAGGACGCCTTGCGAGAGAGCAGAGGCGCCTTAGGGGTCTTGGGGGTCTTTGGTTCTTTGGGGACGGTGCTCGTGGGTGTTTCTATCATGGGCTCCGTCTGGGAGCGTATCATGATAGGCTTGATGCTGGGAGGGGCCTGTTTCGCGGCTGTCGTGTTGCTCCTAGAGACCTCGGCCGCTCGCTTGTCACCACCCGAAGTCTTGGGCCGAGACTCTACCATGGGCGACTCGACAAAGTCAGGCGTGGCTGTCGTGGACTTCTCCTTTTTCGTTCCCCGGCGACCAAAGAGCCTCCACTTGCCCGACTTCTTCACCTGCGTCGTCTCGGGAGGCTCGTCCCAAGGCGCCGCGGCACTACTAGTGGGCGTTCCGCTGAGGCCGGTGGCGAATTGGGGTCGCCAGTAGGCCTGGCTCGCGGAAGAACCGCCGGCTGAAGGCGGGATGCCTGGGCTCCCGAGAGCCATGCCGATCGGGGCGGCGACGATGCCGTCCATGGAATCGGGGGTCTGGGTCCTGACGGGGATGGTAGCTTCGGGTGATCGAGACCGGAGACTACCGGTGGGGGAGGGCAGCTTCCCTCTGATGGGGATGTGGTATGACTTGAACGCCCTCGAAGAGGACTGGGTGTTTATATAGAGGTCGTCCCTTGACATTCGCTTGGCGGCGAGGTTCGACCGCTTACTGGCGGAATATCCCTCCGGGGCGAACATGATGTTGGACGATTCGGTGCCGGGTCCTGCGCTGGTGCTGGGTCGCTCGGCAGAGGGAAGGCTACTGGAGTCGGGGCAATGGCGAGCGGTCTTCGACTTCCTCCTTCTTTGCTGCCGGATGAACGAGATGGCGGTTGAGGCAGCGGACGACGGACGTACGCATCTGAGCTGCCGTCTGCTGGGAAAGGTGAGTATGATGTCGAGACGGACTGGGGAGAAAACGAAGAGGGGGAGTAACAGCGGCGGCGGAGGCCGTGGTGGGAGCGGTCATATGAGAGGGAGAAGAAGAGAAAGAGTCGCTTCTTAGTTTTGTGGGTGTCTGGGGTGAATCTGATACAGGACCTGGCTCTTTGCGTCCGAGGGTGGGGGATTCGGGGCCGTGCTTCGCAGCGGTACCCCGGCTCCTGTCAACGACAGCGGTTGCACCTGCACCCTCCGTTCCTGGCCCAGGCCAAGAATCCTTGGTGGCACCACCAGCACCACCAACATCATCAACACCGTTCCCATTGCTGTTGCTGTTGCTGTTGCTGACGCTGACGCTGGCCTCGCTGGTATTTCCTTGCTGGCCCCGCCTGCCATCGCCCGCATATTCCGCAGGGATTTAGACCGCGATACTAGCCTGAACATGGCGACTGAGTGGTATTCTCGCCCCTCCGATGTAACATGCAAGGAGACGGAAGAAATTTAGACAGCCAGAAAAGGATGAAGAAAGTGGAACAGCAACAAAAAAAAGTGGCAATTCAAACAAAGAGAGAGGGGAAAAGGAACAACAGCGAGCGAGTGTTCGGTTTCTGCGTTTGTCGATTGTTCGGCTGTAACGGTCGAGAAATGAGCAGGGACCTTTCGAGGTTGATTGGTGGGAAGACCCAAATGACGGCGGCAGGTTTCGATACACGCGCGCTCGAGAACCAAGATTGGAAGGAGGATAATAAAAAGAAGAAGAAGGAAAAAGCACAAAATGAGGGAAGAATCCAAGTCCTTGAAGAATGGTTAGGGAAATTGGAATCGTTTCTACCGAGATGTCGCTGGAAATTTGAAGGATTGCGTAGAAAAAGGAAACGAAATGACCGGCGGGAGAAGAAAGTCAAAAAGACAAGCTGGCAAGCAGCCAACAGCACAGCCGAAAGAGGGGAGGCCCTCGAGGCTTGTATATCGACAGGGTCGGAGTTGGAGCTGAGAGAGAGAGAAGAGAAGCAGAGCGAGAGATTGGCTAGCGAGACTCTAAACGCTAACTAGTCACAAAAGAGCGGAGATGGTGAAAGCTCGAAAAGAGAGAAGAAAAGAAAAATAAGAGAAAGAGTTGAGATGAAGAGTTCCTTTTCTTCCTCTGCTAGTTCATGGAGGAGTGGGCTCCCATACAAGTTTTATTCTATGCTCGATCCCATCCCGCTTTTTCCTTCTTCGTCCTTTTCCCTTCTCCTTCCGTGCCACTTCCAGTCCCGGGAATCAGTTCAGCATGGCTATATTATCCACGGAGCAAGTTGGAGATGGAAGAATTTGATAATAGCCTTGCCTGTTCTCTTGACATGTTTCGGGGATCGGGCTATACCAGATAGATGTAGCATGATAACATTCTGGCACGCGAGGAGGTCTTCGGATGAGCTTCGATCCTCCCCTTGCTCGCTGCCGGCCATCTGCTCGTCCTGAGCGGGCAACTGAGGTCACTTTTTCCTTGGCTCTGCGATCGGGGAAGGGGGGCGTGGGGAAAAGGTCAAAGGGGGTGTGGAAAGATCTCTGGATGTGAGCAGTTGCAACACTCCGCGCTACGACTCTGAACAAGTCAAAATAGCCGCACACGGTGAGGATATAGTGGAGAAACAAGAACACTTCGTTCAAATGTTCCTAAATAGGAGAGGAGAAGGGCAGAGAGAAGAGGAAGTGCCAACGGAAAAAAAAAAAAAAAATCAAGAAATAAAATAAACGGAGATGAACAAAAACTGCGCAGAGTCGGCGGGCATGCTCTTCTCGAAAGCAGACTGGCTCCGCGATGAAGGACTCGGGGATGCGCCGCGCAGTGGTGGAGGCTCGTCGGCGGAGTCTAATTTGACGAAGAATGTTGCCTGCCCTGTTTGAGATTGATGAAGCGGGTATTTTGGGATTGATCGCCACCAGGGGTGTGGCAGCCTCTAACGGCAGACCACGCGACTACCGTACGGGGTCGGCCCAGCGCCCACGCCCACAGCCCACGCCCCCATCCCCTTCCCATCCCCCTTTGTCATGGTGAGGTGCGGCATCTTTACACGCCTCCTGCGCCGTGCCTTTCCCGATCGGGCCAAGGGCGAGATCAAGGGGTTTCGTGTGCTTGCATCAGGATCGACGTGGGTGGTAGGATGATGGATAAGAGGGCCCTGAGGGAATAGGGCCCACATCCACTTCCAGGGCCATTACCTCAACGTTGTACGTAGAAAACCCTCACCTCACAGCAACTCGAGTTGTCGAGGGGCAAGTCGACAAGGTCACTGGCCATTGATCGTCGTGCAGCCCGCCGTTGTACCTCCCCATGTTTAAACAACGACGAGAGACATGGATCTCGCAGTGGGCCACGGCCGATGGTGCCGATAGCACAGAGGGGAGAAGAGACGAAGAGACGAGGGGAAGAGGAGGCAAGGAGGGTCCCCAGCGCATGATTTGCGGGAGCGTCCAGCACTTGGCGGAAGCTACATTGTTGCGGGCTTTGCCCTCATCTGACGGATGAGGTCAGCGGGGAGTCTGAGGGAGAATAGCCTCAAATGATGACACAGGGCTCCCGACAAGGCCAGACGGCGAGCTTGACCTGACTGTTTGTAGCTATCCATCCATTATACGAGGGGATGGTAGGGATGTGTGTCCTATCTCTGGTCTTTGAGAACTGATTCGTGTGCACCAGCAATCATCTTCAATGGCTGTCGAAATGAGCGTGGAGGTCCATCACCCCATCCCTCCGTGGCGTCTGCGAAGAGCTGGAATTGGCGGATCGAAAGACTTGAGGTATTAAAACGTACATGTAAATTTTGAAAGAGGATAATAGTGATATCCGCTCCAAAGAGGGCAATTGGACTAATCAGAGCGACAAGAACTTGCGCTTTCATGGATGCTGACGACAGAAGTCCCGTTTCTCGAACCCAACAGGCCAACGGGCCAAGCAAGAGCCAAGCCACTACCCCTGGCCGAAATGATGATTGATCGTATCAGGGTGCCCTCCTCAACCTGATTGGATGCGGCTCGATTCATCCCATTCTCAGGGAACAATCTGGAACTGAGCTTCTCAGACAAGGAACATTTTGAACCTGCTCATCTCACCGCCAGCACACCGCCAGAACACCCGCCAGCCCAAGGAGTCGGCGGGAACCCCTGCCAGGCCTTTGATTATTCACGTGTGCCGAGGTGATATTGCTTTTTGATTTTCGACGAATACCGCCAGGCCCTCCTCAATGGGATGTTTCTCTTGGACAGGGCTAGCGAGATCATCGTGGTAGCATAAGCTGGCGAGCCCTAAACCAACCCTTGATTGGCCACCGGGTGTGGAGGTTGCGCAAGTTCATCAGTTGATCCATCAAGAAGGACGTGAACGCTACGCTAGTTTTGAAGATCGATATGTCTGGCGTGGCGGACCTTTGCTTTTCGCACTCTTTACTAGCGGCCTCCCGAACTCGTCAAGCTCGTGTATCCGCTCAAGTTGATGGATACACAAACGTTCATTTGGTGGATCTGTACACTACATTGATCCATGGATGTATTGTTCAGTGTTGGCTTTGGCAGACTAGTGGTAGACCTGCCCGCCCGCTGCAATGAACCGAATCGCCAAGGGCCCAAGCTTTCAAGCTTCGGGAACCTTTCCGCCACCATCAATGCACGCCACGAACGCCTTCTGGCCGCCATGCAGATGAAAAGAACCGTGAAGAGAAGCAAACGCGACACAGCGACAATGGTTCCTCGAGCTGGCTGGCTAGAGATTCCATCCATGGATTGATGGATCCGCTGATATCGCTGGCTACACACACTTTGGAAGAACCCGACTCGCTCAATTCAAATCACCGAGATCCAGACTTTTCCAAAGGTCCCTCAGAAATTACCATTGTCCGTTAGATGAAAAGCCAATTGATCAATTCCCATCTCCACGGATTACATGGAAGAATCGGATGAGAATCTAGCAAGATCTATTCCACTGACTCTCGTGCTGGGCAGTCACCAGCTCCAATCTGCGAGCCCGCCCTCGCCTTTTGCCCCCACACTTCAACAAGGGATCAATTCATTTATCGACGGGGAAGCGACATGAACACCCATCTAAACTGACAGCCTGAGCTGGACGAATTTCCTGGTTTCGGGAGGGTAGCAACACCCCTTCCTTTAATTCAGTATGACAACACCCTCACTCTAATTTAACTCGCCCTCCATCTCTTTCCTATCTCCTCCTCATCCTTCAAATCAAATGAAATTCATTGCGACTGGTAGACTTGACAGAGCCAGGGCTAGATGTATGGATATCTGCAAACTGCTCAGCCCCCTTTGGGTATTTGATTCATGACCATTCTACTCTGGCAGTGTGAAAGGCCCCATAATACATCAACGCTGGCCAAACAGTACGTCTGAAACATCAGCTCGTTGGGATAAAGAAGAGAGAGGGGCGAAACGAGACGGTAAATAGCCACTCTCTTGATCCATCAATTGATGTCCTTTTCGGCACTGCTCGAACACCCACAAGCCTTATTATCCCTCTCTACATCCACCCACTTCGAGGTTAGTCTCCTTCAACGCTAGCCGTGTCGCCGAGGCAAAATATTCTCAAACAAACTCTAACTCCTTCTGGTGGCCACTTGCGAATGTTGAGTGGGTGGCCCAACCGTCTCGGCGGCAGGATGGGGAGGGTTGCGTTGCGTGCGTGTGGTGCAGCATCCATACACATCCTGGATGGATCTATGTGTGCCCTGCGTCTGTCCATTTAACGAGTGTGGTGCATGTCTGCATCAGGTGTGCTCTTTGCTGGCGGACCTGCGTCTTCTGTTCATGCGCGGGACGGCTAACCATAGTCTGCGGTCCTCTCGATCAATGGTACCGTGACGGGCTTTCTTACGGAACCAAGGAACAAAGGTTCAGTCTTCTAGAAGAGAAAGGCAACCCTTTTCTTTTTCTTTTCCCTTTGGGTGCTGGTTTCTCTCGCCCTTGAGCTACTCGGCTTGACCACCAGATCGGCAGGTCCCCGTGATTGATGTGATTTGATAGATGGCTTCGGCATAAGCTCTACGCTCTATATCCCCATTCCTTCCCTTTCCTCCAATGCCTCAGCTCAAGTCGATCTGTTTAGTAATTTTTGCCAGTCAGCTGATATTTCCTCCCGGTCGAACGATGACCGTGGCCATCTTGGTTATCAAGCTTCACTGTCGGAAGAAGCGGCCACAAAAAGGTCCTTTTATTCTCCTTGCGTGTTGCTCAGCTAGCCGCAAGGGCACACTTGTTTCATTCTAGGAGGTCTCCGCTGCTTTGTGTGTGTATGTGTGTATGTGCGTGTGTATGTGTGCGTGTGCGAGCGTGTGTCTGTGTGTGTATGTGTGTGTCATACACCAATGTATCCTCTGGTGTAAGTGCAAAGGCCGAAGTGGTGGTGTTTCATCACACCTCGCTCAACGCCTAGCGAACAGGAAGAGGACAACCTCGTCTCAGATTTGCAAATCCCTCCTCCCAACACCCCTTCCACCCTTCAAGTCACCCCGCATTCCCCGACCTTCCATCAAATTTGATCAATTGATCAGTGATGGAGAAATCTCGTGTTTCCCTAAACCAGTGAGCCGTTGGGGCCCAAGCACCATCAAGGACCGCCGTGTAGTTCGGGGTTGTTTATCAGCTGCGGGCCTGTCGCCTGTACCAGAGCCTACAACGAAATTCGATCCTAGATCCATTCCATCTGTATTGATTTGATCCAAGGTCTTCCCTTGAACCCGTGTAAGTGGAGTCCCCCGTCCCCCGTCTCCCGATCAATTTACCCGCCTAAAAGAAAAACCAAGAAGAAGAGCAACGAGGCCGCTCCCATGTTCCGGATGCATGCATTCCGCATGGAAGAAACGACTAACAACTGCCTACCTTGCTTCCGTCCGAAAAGAAGAGAAGAAAAGAAAAACATCAGACAAATCCCCAAAAATCCCCGACCCAAATACCAGTGTGGAGACGGATCCAAAAGCACGATAGAATGGACTGGGATCGTTACTTCCGTGATTAGCTCTTCATTTCTCTAACTGTTTCCCTCGCGGCTAAACAAAAGGGAAGGGGTCGTGACTACATGTAGCACTTGGACAAGCCGAATAAAAAAACCGTTCATCTGAACAACCGCCCCAGAGAATCAGGTCTGCCACAGAGTGATGATCGGCGGTTCCCAGGCCTTCCAAGGTCATCTGGAAGCAGCCCAAAAGAAAGAGGCAACCGAGAGAGAGAGAGAGAGAGGTACGGGCCAGGTGGACAGCTCTGACATCGGACTCATGCCAACCCGTAGACCAAGTCAAAGGGGACCATCATCGGCGTATCAATGGCGCAACTCGATTTTTGGTCGATCGTCCTGACTCTGATCCAAATCCCAACTTGCTGTTCCCCTTTGGCTCATGATTCTATCCTCGCGTTGCAAGATGACCTTGCCACTCCCGGATAATCACCCTCGCGAAGAGGTACTCATCAATGATGGCCAACACATCCATAGATCTCTTTGGACCAACAAGGGGCAGTATGCCGGCAAGTCTCCTTCGCGGACCGATCAGACATCCTACTACTGGTAATGCGAAGGATTTCTTGCCCCTTCGCTTAGGCCGCGTATGCATATACGTATGGTGATTCCCGGAGAAGGAGGGAAGAAAAGAAAGGGAGGAGGAAGAAGAAGAAAAGAAGAAGCTGGTGTGGAGGGGAAACCCCGGTGTTGCACATTTTCGAATGTCCAGGTAAGAGTCCGTAGCGATCCCCTCCCTCCTCAGTCTAACCCGTCCCTCAGCCCATCGCCCACCCCGTATTCTACATCATCACCCGCGCATCTCGCCGAGGATTCCACACAGGTAACGGATATCCACGCTACCGCACCTCTTGATACCGGCCGGTTGCAGACAAGGTTCGGGTCGGAGATTTCTTCTAACAGTCGGTTGGCCTCATGGACGTTATAGCGAGCAGGGTGTGCTGAACGTGGTCCACCCACCGGCGCCGGCCGGCGAAACCAAACTTGATATATATGGGACAATGCCAAGTTGTCTCGGTGGGAAACCCTTGGACGGCCTACCGAAGGCACCCACTTCGCCTCCGCCCTAACCTAAAAGTCTGCGCACCATGAGACTGCTGTGTTTCGTCTCGATACACGCATGGCCCTGCAATGGGTAGTATTTCTAATTCTCCAAGGTTTCCCGAGGGGCTATGAAAATCGAGAACGCCGGGGCTTTTTGGCCTTATAGGCCCCAAGTCTCTACAATGCGTCGTGGAGAGTAGAAAAACTTGCCAAATTCCCTCTCCTTGTCACTTTTGGATACCTCGGACACCGAGATGGAGCTTATCAGCTGCTTCTTCCAGTAGACTTTGATCAGGTCCGCCCTCCCTAGACTGGGCGGGAAGAACTCGCATCCTACATCTCTCTAACCTAACCTGCTAGAGATTGTGACTCTCCCACAGCCTAGGCGAGAGCAGATATATAATTTGTGCGTAAGGCGTCGTGCCATGAACGATAGATGCTGGTCCTGAGGTCCTACGCCTCTACTCCTAACGAGACAAGATCTTGACCAGATCATATTCGGGCTTGCCTTTGCCATGCGCAAGGCTGTCATTTCCTTATGGCTTGGCGAAGCTACCAGCTTGCTGCCTAACGGGAGAATCAAGGGCGATAACTAGGTCAAGTTAAACACGACGAGAGGCCAACGAGAACGGTTTACTAGGGTAGTTCCGAGAAGGCCCAGTGCTTCATATGCGTGGAGGGAGAGGGAGCGAAAGTTGACCCACGGCCTAGCTCTCAAGGCCGACTCGCCTCGTTTCTATAAAACGCCGGGAAACTATATATCAGCACGGGGCATCTTGCTCAACGAATAGCGATATTGGAGGCATTGGGAGTAAGCCTTGAAAGCCTAGTTAGTATCCGTTGAGCAAGATAGAGCTGGCGCTTTCCAGGAATGAGACAAAGGCTTAGCTTGCGGGACTAGATTGGATCAGGTCGGCGCAGATACAGCCACACACGCACATGCTTGACAAAGAACTCATGCGTTTGTGTGGCGCGGTAGGTTCAAAAGTAATGGATGAATTTACCCGTTTATTCCATTACTTCGTATTTCCGCTTCCCAAGACTTGGCCCAGGCTCCCTACTTGAATTCACCGATGTTGATCAGGGTGATTCTGCAAGATCCTTGTCTTAGCATAGCTCATGCCATTGTGGCCTGGCCCTTTCTCCGACAAGCAATCCCAAGGTTTCCTTTAACGAACAAAGGTAGTCGACCGCGAGGTTTAGCAACGTATGCAGACAGCAGAATCAGGTCGAGGTACAAGTGATGTAATAGCAAGCTACCCCCACTTGGGAACTACTTGTTTTGTCAAACATTAATGATTGCTGCCTCGAACCAGTTGCGAAGCCCCACTCGCCATCCACTCTGTCCGCATTCGTCACTTATCATTGGGACCTTGAGAATGGCATCAGCTGGTGATGTGCTTCAGTCTAGAATCGAGCAGTGTTCAGTTTCGAGAGCACCCCGCAGCATTCCGCATCTCTCCGCCGTGATAGGTGCTGATGCCTAAGTTCAAGGCAGCTAGGGAACAATTGTTTCACGGATACGACTGATCTCCTTTCTGCTTATTTCGCCTCCTCCGCGCCGTGACACCATAGCCTTTCGTCCATTCGATTAACCTCTTGTATAGTTTGCGGCTTTGTTCAAGCAAGTGCCAGCTCTGGCGGTTGCTTGGCAGTCCCAGTCGGCCCAGGTCGCACGGTACTTCCAACGCGTGCTGTTGCTATGTTCTGTCTGGTGCTGTTATTGCCCGTGCCTCCTCGAGTTTGCGCATAAAAACATTGCCCCTCCTTCCCTGCGGGTCATGCTCAAGGCGGGGAAATCTTTTGAACGTCAAGAGCCAGAACGATTCACCCATCTTCCTTCGCTCTATTCCCTTCCCTCCCCCACCAAGAGCTTTTTTTTTTCAAGAGGAAATAACAGTGTCCCGACGAGATCAAGCTCGTGGTTCTCCTACCCTTTTGTGATCAGTGACCTCGCGTTTTTCCCCTACACCATTCTCCCCTCTCCCACTTCTCTTACTCTATTTTGTAAAGCTTACACCAGCAACCACAACTCGACCATGTCGTGGCAAGGTGAGTGACGGAGCAGGCGCCGATGCCGAGCTAACTCAACCCCACCTCGAATGATTTGAAAGACGACAGCTAACCAGCCGACGATTCGTGACAGCCTATATCGATTCCTCGTGAGACCAGACCCTACCCCGCCTTTACCGCCCCAAATCCTGCGAATATAGCGACAATCTGGCAACCAGAAATTAACGTTGGAGGTTTTTTCTAGTCTCCTGGGCAGCGGACACTTGGACAAGGCCGCCATCCTTTCCGGTGACGGCTCCAGCACTTGGGCTACCGCCGCTGGCTTCCAGGTAAATACGGTCGATTCCCAGCAGCCCGGTTGTTTCTTGCACCTTTTTCAACTCCTCGTCCCACGACAGTTCTAAGCCATGCTCCCCTTGTTCGTGAATGGGACATCACTGACTGCGTTGAAACCTAGGTCTCCCCGAAGAGGGCAAGGCCCTCGCTAAGACACTTGGCGGAGACACCAACGCTGCCTATGCCGAAGGCTTCCACATTGGCACTGAGCGCTACGTCGTTACCAAGGCAGAGGACAGGAGTTTGTATGGTCGAAAGGCAAGTTGGACCTCTTTTCGCCTCCTAGCTAACCCGGAAGGGTGACACTGCAGTCAAGGCAAACTCCCCTGCTAACTCCGCGACTCCTCTAATCTGTAGGGTAAGGAGGGCGCCGTCGTTGTCAAGACTAAGCAGGCTATCGTCATCGGACACTACGGCGAGCAACATGTGGCCGGAAATGCCGCAAACGTCGTCGAGAGGCTTGCCGACTACCTCATTGGCCTCGGCTATTAAGCATTGATCAGGGAAGGGGGCGGTGGGAAGAGGAATATGAGAATGGAAGGTGGCTTGTGAACGAGTAGGGATTTTTAAGGTCCGAAACGTGTCAACCGGACAGCGAGGAGCGGGGAACAAGAGGGGACTTGGTCGACGACCGTCCCGTGGGAGGAATTTGCGAGGTTCGCGGGCGGATATCTCCGCCCCATCCCTTTACTGGCCTGTGTCTTCTATTTTTCAACCCTCAATCTGGTAGCCGCGAGGTGCGTCGCGGCTCCCTCGATGATGTAGGCTGAATTAACCTTTTCAACGTCTATCGTGCACACGAGGCCACGGGCCATCCGCCCATATAGACTCAACCGTCTTGACTTGTGTTCCACAGTAGATATTAATATCTTAACCCGTGGTGACGGGTCCCACCGCCGAGCTCGCAAGCCCCTCTCCACAGATCGTATCGGTCATGGTAGATAGGTTCGAGTTTTAAAGCATCTTGCCTGACCATGAACCACGTCATGTGCGGCATTGTATAGTATTAAGTATATGCGTGATTCCAAGGCGCCCTAATCCAGGGCCCCATTCCGATTTCCACGTCCTTCTCATCAGCCAACTCCTTACATCGACCGGTACATGTAAAGTACAAGGAAAAGCATGTCTAATCTGAACATCCTCTTCGCAGAACGCCGTCCGGGTTAACGAGAAAGGGAAAGAGAGAGCGAGAGAAAACGAATATATATAAAAACATGGACCGTGAGCGTTACGCCGTTTCTACTCCGACAGGATCGTAGGGATTCGAGGTATAGTGGTGGGTCGAGATGGCCCGCAGCGGAGCGGAATCGCCTTTGTTGGCACGAACAAGGGGGCTTGGATATGAACAGTGAATGGTTCGAACTACCCCCTGGTGTCGAAGAAGCCGTCAAAAGCCACGACATCCGAGGCATACTGCCGGGGGAGGGTTTAAACGGGGAGCTCTGCATTCCTCCGCCCAAGACCGATTCGATCGACGGCCAAGCCAACGTAGGGTCCGATGACGGGGATATTCCGCGCGAAGCCGGCAATCGTGCCGAGGAAGTCGCCAAAGAGGACCATGATTCCGTAGAGCTCGACGAAGAAGCCGATGAGGGTCCAGCGCATAAGGATGAGGCCGAGGCCGCCAAAGAAGGCCGCGGTGCCTTTGAGCTTTTGTTTGCGCGCGAAGAAGAGGAGCGTCTTTTGAGGACCGATTATGATTGTGAGGCCGATGAGGAAGAGGATCTGCGGTCGTGCGTGAGTTAGATTTTATGAAAAACGAAAGGGGCGGGGGGTATCGGGTTGGTTCATTCGGCGGGGGAGGAAACTCTCGTACGTTACCCATCGCCAGCCTGATAGTAAAAGCGCATGCCGTTAGTCTCCCAGTCCCTTTGGTGCTTCAAGCGCATAAAAGTGAAGAGGTACTCACATGGCCCGGTCAAAGAAGAGCATCACGCCTCCGATGAGGAAGAAACCTCCTACGTCGACCGTCAGTCTTTGCTCTGTTTGCGGAACGGCCGGAAACCACAGTCGCCAGGTCAAGGCGCATCGAGGACCTTGAACATACCTCCGGAGCAGAATGCGACTCCAATTTCTAGAGTGAAGGGGAAAAAAAAGCGTGCTGTTAGCTATTGCACCTCTCGACAGGTCTCGCACGCGCAATGCGACGCGCGCAAAAGGAAAGATAAGAGATCAGGGAGGTTGAAGCTGCATCGCGTGTGCTTCTAGCCCCTTATCTCCCCAGACATATCGACATACTTTGGGAATCTGATAACCACATGGACGACATCTTGCTGTTTAGGGTTCGACAACGAGTTTTGAAAGGGATTTAGAGAAGGAAAAATAAAGCTTCCGAAATCGAGGCGATTAGCTCGTAGAATTTGAAATGGCGCCAGCAAGTGAGGGTGCGTGCCCGTGCAAACACGAGGGAGCTTGGGGGGCAATCGCGGGGCGGAAGCAGCACAGGGCCAGGTGGTCTTTAGCTTCCAGTGGCTGACGTGGTCGCGACGAAACAAAGAGTAAGGGCAAGGGAAGGGATTGTCGGACAAAGCGTTTGTTTCGTGGAACTCGGATTGGAGAGAAGGAAGATCAGAGAATCAGAGTGCATGTACGAGTATCAGGGGCAGATGGGATTGAAGGTTGAGTCTGGGGAAATTTGTTCCCTTTTTTTCTTCTTTTTTTTTCTACTCTTGTCCCCTTGTCCTTGTTCCCTTCTCTCCCGCTGGCGATGGCCGACCCGACCAGGGATTGTAATTGATCTGGGTCTGGGCGCGTGTTCCGCTGCAGCTGTGCTCCGTAGTGTCAACGTTGAACTCGAGCAATACCGGATTGGGAACATTGAAGGGGTGTCAAAAACCAACTCAGGGGCAGCAGAGGTATCAAAATTGAGACCTGCACACGCACTAGTAATACTCCTGGAAAGGGGAACAGGGCCACAGCAAGAAACACAGCACTGACCCACGGGTACAATCATGATGCTGAAGCGAACCCCCTTTGGTCTCGATTCAGATGCTCGCTCTCCCCAGCCACAGTCCAGGGCTGGCTGTGCCTCGGATTGGCTAGAAGTTGAAGGGTGGGCTGGTGGTTTTGGTGGAGCCAAAGACTGCCACCAAACGAATTAATCTTTTCGTTGAATAAATTTCTTTGAAATTACTTTCCCCAAACAAACCCTTCCACTGCTGTTGGCGCAAAGGCGCAAGACCGGTCGGTCGCCGTCCCTCTTCTCAGAGCAACACCACTGAAATCCTTGGTGCGGTATATCAACCCTGCTTCTCACCAAAAGAAAGAAAGGATTATGGCTCTATAACGAGTAGATGGCAGAGACGGGCCCTCGAACTGACCTGCCTCATCGACCCGCCTGACCTAACCATCACCCTATGGTTTAAGCCCGCTTCCTCGTTGGTGAAGCGATGCTCGAGGCGATTTCTTGCGAATAGGAAAGGACGTTCGGCCGTAATAGCGACTCCTTTTCGTCAACACGGAACTTGGGAGGAATGGAAATGAATAGACTTTTAGCTGCCGCGACGGCTGGGTGCCCTTGCGCATCCAGCAACTGGGATGCTCCTTCAATGCATCTTCGGTATCTTGTCGACCTTCTTTTTCTCGGCAGAGAACAAAGTATGCTGTCACGATTAAGCCGGAGCGTCAGTTGCCATCCTCCACCGAAAGGTGGGGGTGCATAGCTGGGGCTTGATTTTGTTTGGCCGCACATGTCTCGAGTTCAGGCTCTTGCTTAGGGCCTATTTAGGTTCGGGAAGCCGTTGAACTCTCGTAAGGGCACATTGTGCTACTTGTTTAACTTTTTCGTATTATCGATACTATCCCAAACCTTGCATAACCATACAATTGGCGTAAACCGTGGAAAGAATGCCTCGCACCGTTGACTGATTCTAACACCCTAAACTCCGGAGAAAAAGAAGAACCCTTGCCTAGCAAACAAGCACACCAGGCCCTGAGAAACACTTGCCGTAGCCTGTTGGTAGTGAGGTTTATTTGAGAACCGTGTGAGCGCCGCGCGCCTCGAGATATTGCTCAGCCACGACGTGCGAGAACCCTCTAACCAAGTTAAACACCTCTCGGTTGTGATACCGTAGTCTCGATTTCGGGTCGAGATAAGGCGCCGGGAGCCCCGTAACATCACAGTACTTCTTGCCGTAGGCTAGCGAAGGTGCCGACTCGATGTTCGTGTAGGTTGCGCTGGGGGCGTTCGCGGCGCCGTTGGGACGCAGCGACTTCTCCAGCACGAGCTTCGAAAGGCTACGAGACGCTTGTGCGAGATTCGGTTGTAAACCGCCAGATCCGTTTTCCGCCGCCGCGGGAGTCGAGGTGCCGCTGGTGGAGAGGCCGTCATCATTGGCTGGGGTGGCCAGGCCGCTGTTGTCCTGAGGGGTAGCCAGGGCGGAGGCCTCGCGCCTCGAAGCGTCGCCGAGAATGGTCTTGATGTTTTTATTTCGACGCTGATTCGGCCTCCAGCGAGGGTTTCGAAACGTCTTGTGGATGGAATGGATGTCGAGCTCATCGATGAGCTTCTGATGCGCAATCTGCGCCTCTGTCGGACCGGAGGCCATGGCGTCTTCGTATCGGTCGCTGGGTCGATGAGTATCAAGGTACGGGCTTCTGCGATTGCAAGGAATCCTCCCGTCGTATGTTGCGTTGTTACGCCTTTGTTGTTGGGATGTTGTTTGAGTGTGAGGATGGAGTGAATCAAGATCAAAATGTCCAATTCCTGGCGGTGTCTACCAACGTTTGACCAAAGGCGGAATGCTGGGGAGAGCTATTCTGCCATGCTTGACCGCCCTGTTTTGCGACCCATCAATTGATCATACTCGACTGGAGACACTTGAAGCAGCGACCCATCTAATTTATTGGATTAGCGGAGTCAACAAACCTCCCAGCTTAAGTCTTCAACACGCACCAGAGATCGTGTGCGACATCATGGTATGCGAAGTTCTAGCAGAATTCCCCAGACATAAATGAAGAAGGCATCTGCGTACTGATAAATACTTTAGGAGAGCCCCCACGAGCACCAGCAGAATCTCCTGCTGTCCCGTATCATTACCAATGTTGTAGGTTAACCCCACCATCATCGTCCATGACGCGCCTCTCGCTCACCCATGTCTAGGAGAAACTTAACGAAGCCGTCGTTGTTATGAACAAGGCCCTTCAGGTTAGTACTTGTAGTAGATTTGGAAAATCAAAATTATAGCAGAACAAACCCCGATCATGATGAACAGCAACCTACGTGTCAGTGGTCCTGGGGCATTCTAGCTGACGAGTTCTTGCCCCTCATAGGAAATCAACATTCAGAACATGAACGTCGAGCTTGTGGCTCAGATGTTCAAAAACTACCAGTCTAACGTTCTCTTCCACCTTGAAGGTAAAATACTCTGAAATATAACCCATAGCATCTTGTTTGGAGACTAACACTACACTTCTAGCTACGGAAAACTTGAAGCCGCCTTGTTGAGTGAAGCTGCTGCGCTGGACTAGCAGCCAGCCCTCTTGGCTGGTGAGGGGAAAACGGAGGCAACAGCAACATATACCCATGTACATATTAACGAAGTTGAGCAGGTTTATGAACACAGTAATGGATCAATTGTTATGAGATGTGTAATGAGTCTCTTCCTGAGGTGGCTGGTTTAAGACGCGTCCTGACGCTTGCTTGCTCTATTGCTCTGTTGTTTGCTAGTAAGGGATCACGCTCAATCATGAAGGCGACCTAGAGACGCTCTTCACTCATATTGAATTTCCTATATTGATCCCTTCCAATCGATCCCCTTCAATCGATGTATAAGCGAGCGCTCGAGGACGCTGTGCGCCTCTCCCGATCCAGGCAAGAAGGAAGTGCGCTGAAGATTTAGTTATACATGTATAACTTGATACCTAATTGATATATACGGGTTCAGTCTTGACCATTCTCTCTTGTTCGTGATGCCATCTCGATTGATGGGTGAGAACAGGGGCGCGTCGAATGGGTGTTGTCTCAGTGGAAGCCACTAACAATGATTCGGTCTGCACTATTCGTTTTGGAGGGTCTGTCGAAATTCGACGGAGCCGTGCCAAAAGCGGTCCAGAGCTGCGACAAATCCGCGAACGCCACAAGCCAGTAGGAGCAGGCCCTTCAACTTCTGGACCGGACCTCACCACCGAGAGTCAGCCTTCCAACGTGACTTTTTTGATGGCCAACGCTTCAAACATTTTGATCGCGTCCCTCAGCCCGACTTTGCGAATTTCCCCCGACCTTAAACCTCCCGACATCCCCGCTAATACCGAAGCTTGCAACAGCTCTCATACCCTTCGATTCGACCAAGCATCGAGAACCATCAATCTACGTCCACCCTTCCCACCCAGGCGCAGGATGCGATAAGCTTTTCTTCTTCTTTCTCTTTCGCATCCTCCAACCGCCACTACCTTGCCAACTCGCCCCCGAAATTACATCGCCATGGCGCCCTCGGCGATTGACGAGACCACCCTTGTGGTTCCCGACAACAAGCGACCGCCTGAGCGCATCTACCCGCCTGCGAAGATCTTCCCCGTCCGCGAAGCCCGATTTGAAGACCCCATACCCATACACGAAGATGGACGTCAGAAGGCGCTAGCACAGCCAACCGGCGGCGCTGTCATCGTCATTGACAATGGTTGGTCTCCTGTCTTGTAGGGACCCAGGCGACAGGCATACTAACCACCACTGCCAATCTCAGGTTCCTCAAATGTCCGTGCCGGCTGGTCCTTTGATGCTGCCCCTCGATTCAGCATACCGCCGATCATGGCAAAGTACCGTGATCGCAAACTCGGCAAGACGTATTCCTTTGCCGGCTCTGATTGTTATGCAGACACCACTGCTAAGGGTCACCTACGATACGCTTTCGAGGCTGGGTCGGGCATTGTCAGCTCCTGGGACGTCATGGAACATGTGTTGGACTACACTTTCCTCAAACTTGGCTTGAACGGTGTTGATGGTGCAATTGACATGCCCATTGTCATGACTGAGGCCGTCGCCAACCTGCCATATTCCCGCAAGAGTACGTTTCTTGTCCCGCCTGTTTCCCTCTGCCCATCCCAATTGCCCTGTCTTGGCCCGTAGCAGCGCTGACTTTTTTCTGTTTCGTTTGCTCATCTAGCCATGACGGAAATCATCTTCGAGTGCTACGGCGCACCCTCTCTCACCTACGGAATCGACTCTCTCTTCTCCTACAACTACAACGGCGGCAAGACCGGGCTTGTAGTTTCTTCTTCATACACATCGACCCATGTCATTCCTGTCTACAACTCAAAGGCCATGCTGGCGCAAGCGACAAGGCTCAACTGGGGCGGTTGGCACGCGTCAGAGTATCTGTTGAAGCTCATTCGGTTAAAATACCCCTCCTTTGCCGGAAAACTCAACCACTCTCAAGCCGAACATATGCTCCGCGACTATGGCTATATATCGACGGACTATAACCAAGAACTCAAGACCTATCTCGATTGGACGGGTCTAGAAGATCGTGATATTGTGATTCAGTACCCCTTCACCGAGGAGATCATTGTGCAGAAGAGCCAAGAGGAACTTGACCGTATCGCCGAGAAAAAGAGGGAGAACGGCCGAAGACTGCAGGAGCAGGCCGCTAAGATGCGGCTGGAGAAACTCATGCAAAAGGAGAAGCAGCTCGAGAAATACAAAAGGTCCAGGAGAAGCTCCCGGACCTCAATAAAAGGAGACCAAACGCATCTTGGATGACAACGACCTCAAAGACGAAGCCGCGTTGGAGCGAATCATCAAGGAGTTGGACAAGGCTGTTCGAAAGGGTCGCATGAAGGACGTTGGCGGGGACGAAGAGGAGGCCGAGGTACCCGTCTTCGATCTCGTAGATGTGCCGGATGAGGAGCTCGACGACCTTGGAATCAAGGCCAAAAAGCAACAGAGGCTAGCCAAGGCCAACTACGATGCTCGCCAGCGGGCCAAGGCGGAAAAGGAGGCGGAAAAGGCTAGGATAGTGGAAGAAAAGAGGCTGGATGAAGAGCGACGAGAGAAGGACCTCGAAGGCTGGCTAGGCGAGCGCCACGAGGCCCGCGCCGTCACGCTACAAAAGATGAAGGAAAAGGAGCGCATGAAGCAGGATCTCGGCAACCGCAAGTCCCTCGCCTCCCAGATCCGCATGAAGAGCTTGGCCAATCTTGCCTCCGACAACCCGACCAAGAAGAGGCGGCGAGGCGGCGACGACGACACGTTTGGTGCCGACGACGACGACTGGGGCGTGTACCGCGACATCGCCGATAACGCCTCGGACGAGGAGGAGGAAGATCTCGTCGGCAAGCTCACCACCCTGGAGCAGGACCTCCTCATGTACGACGACAACTTTGCCTACGACGACACGTGGGGCGCGCAGTCGGACTGGAGCAAGTCCCTCCTCCACGCCTGGTCCCGCGGGCCGCGGCCCTTGACTCGGGCTCGCAAGCCGAGCTCAACCAGATCCACCTCAACGTCGAGCGCATCCGCGTCCCCGAAGTCATCTTCCAGCCCTCCATCGCCGGCGTGGACCAGGCCGGCCTCGTCGAAATCGCCGGCGACATCCTCAACCAGCGCCTCGCCGGTATTCCCAACCGCGACGACTTCCTCCGCGACATCTTCCTCACCGGTGGCAACACCCTGTTTAACAACTTTGACGCCCGCCTCCGCGCCGAGCTCATGGCCCTGCTCCCCGCCGGCGCGCCGCTCACCATCAGGCCCGCCAAGGACGCGGTCCTCGACGCCTGGCGGGGTGCCGCGCAGTGGGCCGGCTCTTCTTCCTGGAAGGCGGCCGCAGTGTCGAGGCAGGAGTACGAAGAGAAAGGCTCCGAGTATTTCAAGGTAGATATAACCCCACCACACACACATCTCACATCTCACGCATTCACTCCCCCCCGTCTTCGTCACATTCTTTTAACTAACCACCCCTCGCAACAGGAACACAACTTGGGAAATGCATTTGTACAATAAACACCCGGCAAAGGCAAGGCAGGGTCGGGGTCAAGGAAGAGGGTCTTGCTTCGATTCATGTATCCTCTACCTCTCGTATTGTTCTCGTATTTTTTATTGTTATCTTTACCAGGCAGGTGGTGTTTCAGACAATGGGAATTCGGCAAGGGGAAGCAAAAGAAGAAACAAATACGCCTCTGCCTCTTTTATCCATAATCTCCTCGTAACATTAAAGGCTTTACTTCCGCTAGTTTTCGTACCACCTGGGTGAAGAAGCCCGCAAATTCCAAGCAGAAGATTAAGAGCTAGAAAGGGAGAGACAGTTTCTCAATGAAAATTAACAGATACGCCATGTTTCGTAATCGTTCTTACCCTTACAGACACCCCCTCATAGATGCAGCTTTGCCCAAAATGTGAACTTGGCTCATAGAATTTTGGGTGGCTTACAACCCAATCTACGACTTTAGCGGGATAGCGAGACACGAAAATAACACGCGATCAAGGAGACGAATCGTCGATAGATGCTACAAGCGGTATATCATTCACAAATTGGACCCAATCGAGCCATCCTCGAAATGCTCATTCTTGGAGGGTGGCGGAACATCGCAGCTAAGAATGATCATGGTGGTACATACATGGGGCGACCCGGGATGATACGGTGACATCTTGGGACAACAATCACGCTGAGTGAGAAGAAAGAAAAACCATAGGAAAGAAGTGAACGGCAAATTAGGGGCATGGGAGCGTACGATACCACGGCCACCGCAGCTTTCTTTGAAATACTAAATGTAACTCGAAGTGTGGGAGGGGAAGAGCAAGAAACATATTTTCCCGGAAACGCCTGGGCCTAGAGTAGCTTTCGCTCACTTGAAGGCCTATAACCTCAACGCCTTGGAAAGAAGGGGAAGAATATCATCGGATGTGGATGAAAATCCATATAACAGGGAAGAAAAGAGGGAGTGGAAAGGGTGAGGAGAGAGTGCGAGGAGGGCTCATGACATGAAGTACGGGAAAGGATTGACATAGTCAACAGCGCCTAAATGGCTGCCCTCCTCCTCTCCCTCACCTGTTCCGCCGGGCAAGGGAGGGAATACAGACTAGGCGAGACCATCCACTTGCATCGCAACCTGACCATCGATATCGTCCTGCTCGGTCTGCTCAGGTTGGGCCACCTCCTGTGGCGCCTGTTGGCGGTCACCAAGTGGAGCAGGGGAGTCATGACAGCCTGGGCAATGGCCGCTAAAGGCTCAGAGGCAGCAGCTCCAGGGTCCTGAGGTGGTTCGGGAAGGGGTGCCATTGGCTCAGGCGCAGGCGCAGCCTCCGCGTTTAAGCTGAGAGCAGGGGAGGTGGCGGGAACTTTCCGGAAACTTCAAGGAGTTCTCCCTGAAGAACAGATACGTATTCTCGGTAAATGGCATTTTGCGACGAAAGATATCGGTAAGCTTGCTCATAGCGCGTGACCTCACCCACGCGCTCCTCAAGCTTCTTGATATACTCTTCCTTTCGACGGCGGAAGGCGCGCTAAGCGGGAAATTCGGTTAGTTCCAGTAGACCTTGGTGGAGGGAAGGAGACCAAGGGGATCAACAATGCAAGCCCTCATTGATAGACATACCTGGGCGGCTCGGTTCTGGGCGGCGCGCTTGGACTGGGAGAGCTCCCGCTTGCCCCGGCGATTTCCGGCAGCGTCGTCCTTGGGCTCCTCGGGTTGGCCAAGGGGCACCTGCACAGGTGGTGCCGGGGCCGGAGCTAACATTTGCTGATCGGGAATGGAGGCAGAAGACACGTCGACAGGCGGAAGAGGTGGCAGAGGAAGGTTGCTACTGGGGATGATGCCCGTGGCTGGGGGCGACAAGTGATTCGCAGTGGGGATGATGGTGGACGAAGGGCCCCGGAGGTCTGGGTGAATATAATCCTCCTCCTTCGGTTGCTGGGCCTGAACCTGAGGGTCGACACTGGCGCGCCCTTGCTGGTTCGCGACGGCGCTAATATCGCCATACCCATGGGGTGACAAGGCAGCGGCGGCCTCAGCGGATGCGCTCTGGTTATCACCGGGAGGCGAAGAAGCCGCATGCGACCTTAGTAATTCAAGGCTGGCTTGGAGCTCAGCGGCATCTGGCGCAAGGCCTATCATTTCGTTATGTCAGCACTGACGTCGTTCACGCTCTACGGTCAAAGGGCGCTAAAGGGAGGATGATGCAAGTGAGAATGCTTGAGAGGCCACTTGAAGAAGAGCAAAGGAAATGTGCAATTGCACCAACTCTTTCACAGTGGGTGGATGATAAAACCTGGGATACTGTGGGTTGCAGTGACCCAAGCAGTCCACTCTAGGCCTTTGGGTTTTTCTCTTCCCCTCGACGCGAAATGCGACACCCGAGAGAAAGATCTTTTACCCTGCGCCTGATTGAAGCAAGCGCTAACGGAGACTCAGCTTTGAGGCACCGTCAATCGTCCCTCACTCATTATCTTTGCGTGAGAATTGACCTCGAGCCCTACGGTCGCCAGTCAAAGCGCCCACAGAGAAGAATGGCAAGCAGCTAGATGGGCGCGATGAAGGGGTGGAGGAGGGCACAGAGAAGGCTGACGTTCAATTCCTCAACGACAATATGACAGTCGCACCCAGGGAGGTTTGCACATGATTGCAAAAGGAAGCCATCCGCAAGGGCCGACTTGAGGTCGCCCGCGAGATTTTAAAATCGCGAGCTCAACCACGACAGCCAGTCCCAGGCCTTCTTCCTTCCTCCCCTTCTTGCGCCCCTGCCCCATTCCGGATGGGTTGAGACGACATCGCGATTAATAAGACAAATGGGTGCAGTGGAACCGCGCAGCTTAGGTGATGAAGCATGCGGCGCAAAGCGTATGTAAGGGAGTCGGCGCATTGAGATTCGCCAGGAAAAGCCCGAGGCGACTGTTGGATGACCAAGCAGTCGCAACTCGATAGAGCAGACGAGGGAGCTGGGAAGAGGGCAGGAAACGAGGATCGCGATGGGCAGAGGAGCCCCGGGAAAGGACGCGCTTGAGCGTCCGAGAAAGACAGAAAGCTTCACTTACCAGCAGAAGAAGCGGATGTGGCCATTGTCGCGCTCGATGAATTTCAATCTCGAAGCGTTCACAGCGCGGGGTGCTTTGAGCTGTTCGCAGATGGGTTTTCTGAGTAAGCAGGATGGAAAAGGGTAGATGGATTTTGGTGGGAAGATGGAGGATATGAGAACATATGTCAGCCTAGTTGGGGGAGGGGATGGGATAAGCTCGGGTGGGTGATGCGCGAAAAAGACCGGGAAAAATCCAGTGGCTCCTGCCGGAAACGATGGGAACCGACATGGGAAAAGGCTGGTGTCTCTATATGTATATATACATATGTTCATATGAGAATAAAAATAGAATCAATGTACTCGATACATATCGTTCGAAGCAGGAGCAAATGGGGTTATGGCAATTCTCATGTTCCATCTGTTGGAAGGATTTGTCATCCGGCAACCAATGACTCTTCCGAGTGGCGTTATGTAATGCTCATTGGATGACGAGATTGGCCAAGCCTCCTTTTTTCCCCATTTTTTGCGCGTTTCCCATCAGGTGGGCTCCCTCCATTGTTTCTTCCGTCCTCCACTTGTACCGTCTCGAAGACACGGCACATGAAAACTGGTGGCTGGGGCACTCAAACAGTCACTCGTTCGCCCCAATCCAGTTCAAATGAGTTCGAACTGGTGTCTTGCGCTCCAAGTGAGGTCGAGTCGACCTAACCCCGTGAGATCCCACAATTAGCTCAAATGCGTGCTGGCCCTGATGACAGCGGGCGAACTCCTCTCTTATAGAGGTTAAGCCGATGGCTTGGTTCGAGATAAGAGGATGTATACTAGAAAGACACCGTGGAGGCCCTACATAAAATAAACGAGAAAAGAAAAAGAAAAATAAGGATAACTCGAAGGAGATGAAAAGATGCCCTCAACATCACACACTTGCCTCAGTCCAGGTTTCGGGGTGAGGCTGGTGGTGTATCACTCTCGAATTCGCATTCCTGTCCATTCGCCATGACGTTGATGTGCAACTCTATCTGGGTCGGCTTACGTAGCTCATGCTGAAGCTCCCCCAAAATATTTTTTTGGGAACACCAGTGACGCATCTTGCGCCAGATGCACGCAAGCACACCCACCTCCGCCTTGCACCAATGATATCGAGGGACCTTGTCGGAGCCCGTCCAACCCCTCCGTGTCACCCCGCCCTCACCCTCACCTCGTCGTAGTCATCATGCTCACCAGCGCCCGGCCGGCAATCTCGTGCTGGTATCCCCGTTGCTCCGGCGCAGCTCGCACCTCACGCCACAGACTCATGTCCAGCGCTAGCCCAAACTTCTCGGCCGGCTCTGATGTCGCGGCCCTGACCTCTTCCCTCGAGCCCTTGATTTCGCGGCCCGGGGGCAAGTGGACTCTGGCACGTGGCGGAGAGGCCCTCGAGAGGTCGTTCAAGTTCAAAACATTCGGCAAGACATGGGTACGTCCATCTCCCTCTTGGTCGTGCTAGAGAAAACCCTTTCCCCCTTTTCCTCTGAGCTCGAACCTTGCGCGGGAACTAGGCGGCTCATAAACTCGTCGGTGCACTTCGTATCTTGTAGGACTTCATGACTGCAGTATCCCTTCAGTGTAAGCTCAAGAACCACCACCCCGAGTGGTCAAACGTAAGCTCCGCCCCTGACATCCGCGGCTCGTGGCACGCGGCCACTTCTCCTCGTGCCTCGCTTGCGCCACCTTTATCCTTACGCGTGTCCCTTTGGTATTAGGTTTACAACACAACATTTATTCGCTGGACGACACATAGCCCCAAAGGGCTCTCCGAAAAGGACATATCCCTGGCCGCCATCTGTGATGACTTAGCAAAGGCATTTGGTGAGCTCCCCTCTGCGGACGATGCAGCGTCATGTTCTACTCCCCAGTCGGACAACGTGCTCGACCGTGTTGTGAGCTCAGCTGGGGATTGCTGTGCTCCAAAGAAGTAAAGATGTAGTGGTGGCAAGTATGGTCTTCTGCTCATCAGTCTATGGTCATCAACCAAATTGTAAGAGACTTTTAAAAAGGGTTAACGGAAAACTTTTTGTGTATATTAGCTCGTAAAGTACTGATTAAAAAAGTAGTCATAACTATTATGATGGCCAAGATTATATGCAGGTATGCCGAAAGCAATAAATATAACGTGATGATGCCATGTCCAACACCAGGGTTTAAGGGACTCATTAAAAGAGGAAGTCCATCTCATGGCTCCGAGTCGCCCCTCGTCGTCACAGGTCGTCCGCCTGCTCTCGTTCAAGGAGTCGTGAGCCCGCGAGGCTCTGGCTGCTCCCAAATTTCTTCCACGTCTAAAAACCAACTTTTCCCCATGAAAACTATTTACAAGCCGGTCTGCCACCTTCTCAGTACGTCAAGTACTTGGTGGCCACCAGCAACTCCGCCTCATCGCGAGGAAGCCCGGTCAAATATTATCCCGGAAAGGGACGAATTTACTGGGCCTTCTTGGCATGAAGGGCAGCAAGCTTCTTGTCTCGGCGGCGCCTGCGGGCCTCAAGGGTAGCCTCGGTATCCAAGATCTTGTCCCACCAGCGGAAGCTAGAGGCGTAGTTGCCAATGAACTTCTCGTGATGGAGGTCGTGGTGGTCAGCACCGGCCCAGAAAGGGAGGATGCGCCTCAAGCCCAGGGAAAATCGTATCCGCTGTGAGCGTCGATGGCTTGGAAGAGACGAGCGACGATCCAGGCGTACATGGTGAAGAGATGGAAATCGTTCGTGAAGTACACCCAGAGAGCAGGGGGAGCGATGGTGCCGAGGCCGAGGATCATGGTTTCGATGGGCGACGCGTATTCAGCGGTAAGACCGAAGGGAGCGGAGTAGTAGTGGTGAAGCTTGTGAATAGCCTTATAGAGGGGGCCGTAGTGAAGCGTCCTGTGAGCGAAGTAGTGCCAGGTATCTTCGAGGACGAAGAAAACACAGATTTGGAAAATCATCTTCCAGAGCGGGGAATGGTACACTGAAGTCCATGCCGAAGAAATGCGCGACGGGGTGGAAGAACCAGATCTGAGGGAGTTCGACGGTGAAATGGCTGAGAAGGACGACACCAGCGCAGTGAGCCTGTTCCCATAGGGTCGGGGTCTTGGTCTAAGAAGAGGGGGATCCGAGTCAGCGCATGGCTCAGGTCAAACGGGAGCATGGGCATGCATGCTATGCATTCCGGATCGCGTGCTGGAGGAGACGGGCTGTTCAACGTACGTTCTGAATCTTCCACTTATCGAAATAAGGAATCATGCCAATGATGATCCAAGGAAGAGCGCGGCCGAAGTAAACAACCTCGTGCATGACAAAGCTCAGGATACCCGTAGCAAGGGTGTCGTTCTGCATCCACACATACCAAGACGCCCAAAGGCGCTCGGCCATGTTCAATTGAACATTATACTTGAGACTTCGTCAAACACGCCAAATAGCGTTGTTTGCGTTTGGTTGAGATGCACCGTCGATGTTCCGCTAATAGTCAAAAGTCGTTGGTCAGTTGGCGCCGTTCATGAGATATGCTAGAGAGTTTCGGCGCCGGCGCTGGTATAGGCTTAAACTTACACGAACGTGTCCATCGCGACTAGTTTCCGCAGTTTCCGCAGTGAAGGGTCAACAAAATGGAGAGGAAATAAGGGGGAAAAAGGAGTGGGGAGGAGTAATAATGCGGCAAACCCCAAAACAATGAAGAAAGGAAAAAAAGAACGAACAAGCCGCTATAAAAGACTTGCCAAGAGGGGAGAGGCCAAGAGCGGAGAGAAGGGAGAAAAGAAGTGAGTGGCGAATGTGAGGTTGGAAAGACGATGGCAACTGAGATGGGCAGTGAAGTTGTTGGGGACCACTCGAGGTTTTATCAGATCGCAGGATATTAAATTTTGTTCGAACTGGGGGCAAGAGTATACACTGGCCCATGATCCACCCACGCGAGTCTCGATGTACCACCAACTTGGCAAGGGAGATGTACTTGCGCTGCGAGAAAGCAGCCCCTGAACTTGGCTGACAGCTGATTTTTTGCGCCTTCCCGAGAGAACCCCAAGCGCTCGCGTACTAGCAATGTCGCCCTCTCCTGATCAAATGGGCAAAGAATGGGAGATTTTCAGTTGAGAACTTTGCTGTGGGCCTCTTTGAAAATTGAAAGGGTACATTGATGGAAATTGGCCTGGTTCCCGTTTTGATGCGGAGACAACAGAAAGTCCACTGACAGACTTGGATGCGTTCCTCAACTTCCTGTGTTCCTGAGTGGTGGTGCCAGAAATAAGGCGACACTCCCCTGGCCCTTCCCGGTTCCGGACCCACTTTACGAACCCGAATACGACACAGATACAGTCGGGAACAGTTGTTTGTCAGCTGTCTTTCCCACTTTCCGCCAGGTCCCTGCCAAACTCCACTCGCAAGGAAAAGTCGCTTCATATCGGGCTTATCGGCAACGGATCCACTTGCATCGACCAACGACCCATCAAATGGAAGATCTGCTCAGCATGTGAAGCATGAACAGCCAAACCAACGGTTTTTACCTTGCAGCGGAACGCGTATTACTTTGAAGAAATCGAACCTCTTGCCTTTCACCCTTTGGGATAATACCCACCCACCGCCTTTCTTTGCAGGACGTCGCCCTCCCCCTCTCAGGTACTTCCCGTATATCCGCATGACCCCTTTCTTTCTTTAGACGCATTCAACCCCTCTCTCTTCCCACAAAGCGTTCGGCCCTCGTCATTCAATGTGTTTAGCGTTGAGGAGCCTATCATCTGCCCGCAATTGTTTTACCTCCCTTCCCGGATGCCTGCCACCCGGCTCGTGCAATGGGTCCCCCAAATTCGGGTGCCTAGAACCCCACTGAGCTGGTCAGCCAACCCAATCTCCGTCGCCATTCACAACAGCCAATGCAGGTCAAAGCTGTGGCTTTCCGGCTCCCCCAGTCCCGCCGTCGGCCGATTCTCAACGTCGACCGCGCGATTCGGGAATAACAAGTCTCGACGGGCCCGTGGATCCGCAAACGACAACTCCTCGGCCTTGGATAACTCCATCTTTGAGCAGCTATTTCCTTCTGGTCAGGTCCACACTACCACTACTCACACGACGGCCAACTCTCCTAGCCAACAGCCTCACGCGCAGGCGAGCGGAGCGCATTCTCTCGCCGGTGGCTCGGCGCGCGGCGAAGAAAGTGCCCCTTTGGGGAGAGATGGCGTTCATGGAAGAAAGAAAGGCTCTCAGCCTGTGACCAACCCCGTGGGAGGGCTCCCCTCGGAGCCGGCTGTGCTTGTTATGAGGAACGGGAGTAGGTCAACCTTGCCGAGCGACTTCTATCGTGTTGCGCCGAGAAGTGCCCATCTCGATGGCCGCGCTTGGTCTACCATGCAAGGTTCGTTCCCTTTTGACGTACACCTTCGCGTCCTCCCCTTCCATCCTCTGCTCAAGAGAGCTCCGTACTGACTCCGCGCTTGTGTAGCTATCCAAGCACGGGACCCGGATACCCAGGACCCTCTCGACAAGTACTTGCTCTACTTCTCCTCCGTCGCCGAAGCCGTAGCTTACAAGCAAGAGCTTGAGCGGCTCGGCGCCCTGCACGCTACGCCCGAGGGCAAGGCGCGCATGACCCTCGCACCCCCGACATCTCCACCATGACCGTCGAGCTGGTTCGAGGGGCGGGCGCAATCCAGCAGATACCCGGCGCTCGCCACCTAAACGACATCTTGCGCCACGGCCTCGATACCAGGAACATTGTCCTCATCAAGCTCGACGGCCACCAGCTAACCCCGAGGGAGCTCAAAGGCCTCATAAGAACCGACGGCGAGCGCCGTAATCTACCGTGGAAGCTCACCCCTCCTGGGGCCGGAGCGGCATCGCCGTGTCCCTCAAGGGAGAGATACCCCGCCTCACGAAGCCTACAGTCCAAGAGCTCGCCGCAGACGAGTCGCCCGTAGAGTCGCCCGACGTAGTGGATCCCGAGGCCACTGTGCCCGACGTGCCGCCCGAATCTTGGAGGGACAGGCCCCGGGAGCAATACTTTTCGAGGTTCTTCTTGTCATTCCATACCGTACATGATGCCAGACGGTTCGTTCGCTTCTGGCACAAGAGGACGCTTGATGTAAAGGACGACGGTTCTCGGGCGACTGTGGTAAATGCGTCGTTGGTATGGTAATGACCCTTTCTCATCCCATGCCGTCCTTGTAAACATATCTTTTTTCCTTCTTCCTTTTGGCACACAACCACACAAGATACCCTATAGACGGCGCGAGGTCTGGACGCACTAGAGGGGGTTCCGAGGCGTGAAGGATATGGCGCCCCCATGATGTACGTACGTGTATACACTATTGGGGCTGAAAACCCATCTGCTTGGGTGCAAAAATCAAATGACTGGAATGTCTGTATTAAAACCCAGATTAAATACCAAACTCCAAACCAGAACGACCATCTCTCTAAATGATAAAACAAACAAAGTTACCGAGTGCGTGGAAGTTCAGTCAGATCTGAGACGCAAAGAAGGACCTGTTTAAAGCAGACATGGGGGTAAAAGTGGTCATGGAGTGGGATCCGGACCGAATCAGCTCCCTCTCTCCACCATCGTCCGCCTCTCGCTCCCTCGCTCTGTTTGCGTCTGGCTCTCTCTTTCGTTCTCTCTTTCTCTCTTTCTCTCGTTCTCTCGTTCTCTCATACATCAACGTTGTTGCCCAGGTAGAAAGTCTCCGCATCTCTTGAACAAAAGAAAAGAAGAAAAGGGTAGGATAGTGCTAGCCAAGCGTCTCTCCGGTCTTCTCGTTTATCGCCATGGCAACTAGCCCCGATGGTATGGGCAAATATCAAGGAGGGGGAGGGAGGGTCGACGGGGGTGGGTATGATGTATATCGCGTTCGAATGGAATGGATGGCAATATGTGACAGATAGGGTTGGTGGGAGGAATGAATTATCGGGTGAAAGAGTCCCTTGCTCGTCAGCCTTCCGAATGAGGAACACAAATTGGTTCCCTTCTCTTTGGGTCGTCGTCGTTCGTGATCGCTGCTACCATCTTCAACAGCTCGCCTTAACAACACTTTCCTCCCAGGCCACCGGCGCCCTTGTCCGCAACGTTTACGGCAGCATTCTGCTGTTCGTTCTTGGAGTTGTCCACAAGTCGCTTCTTGATATCGGCGGCAAGGCTGTAGAAGGCCTTGTCAATGTTGATGTTGTTCTTGGCAGAAACCTCGAGGAAAGGAATGCCTAGCTCGTCGGCGAGGGCCTGGCCCTGTTCAGTCGACACGACCCTCTTCTCTTCCCAGTCGCACTTATTGCCAATCAAAATCTTGTTGACGCCCTCGCTAGCGTGTTGCTCTACGTTGGAAAACCACGTGCGAATGTCTGTTGGTTGCGAGAGAGGATTAGGTTAGGTTAGGTCTCGGGAGGGATGTTTTGCGAGGCAAGGTTGGAGGAGGTCTAGGGGCCTGGGACTTACTGTTGAAAGAGCGTTCATCAGTGACATCATAGACGAGGAGGATACCCATAGCACCACGGTAATATGCGGTTGTGATGGTTCGGAAGCGTTCCTGGCCAGCAGTGTCCCAAATCTGAAGCTTCACCCTTTTCCCGTCAAGTTCGATGGTGCGAATCTTAAAGTCGATACCAATGGTCGTGATGAAAGAAGGGGTAAAGGAGTCCTCGCTGAACCGAAGCAGACAGCATGACTTTCCGACACCGGAGTCACCGATAAGGAGAAGTTTGATCTAGCAAAGATGCATCGTCAGCGTCGGGCCCAGTCCGAATAGCAAGCAAGAAAAGAAGGAAAAGGAAAGAAGAAAAACCACAAAGGCCCGCGCATGTCGTCATCATCGACGACTTTCAAGTTGCAGAGCCGATGCTACCGAGAGTAGGGTTGGTTTGAGGGAAGGGGACAAGGGACGTACGAGGAAATCGTAGTTCCGGTTATTAGACATCTTGGCCGGCTCGGGAGGGGTGTATCGGGGACTGGGCTAGGAACTGGAGAGAAGAAAAACAGGTGAGAATGTTAGCAATGGTGAATCGTAGTCGGTGGCGCGGTGGGATGTAGAGGCCAAAGGGTTACGGTCGGGGTGGGCGGTCAGTCGCAGGGCCCCTGGCTGACTGGCGAAGGGGGAGGGGAGTGTGGAAAAGGTTCGAGTCGGGTCGGCGACGACAAAATGACAACGTACACTCGAGGATTTTAAAAGGTCGGACGGCAGATTCGTAACGATCTTCTGAGAGCGAAAATTGAGTCGCGCACGCAGTTGTGCGAATGTGAGAGGGAGGCGCCGGGGTAAGATGTTGCGGTTGTGGTGGTAGTCGCTCGGATCGGATCAATATGATGATGATTGATTCCAAGTGCGTTGAGTAGTCGTCACCGTGGAATGGGACAGGATGGGGGCCAGGTTGGTTGATTGCTGGAGTGCCCAGGCCAGCGCAGCAGGGCGAGGGCGGGCTCAATGTTATTTGGGGGCCTAGAGGCAGGCTGGTGCTTACCACAATTGAGTCGTGTTCACTCCGAGCATGTACTCGACTGGCGTCTGGTCTAGCTGCAACTTGGAAGCGTCTGGCTGGTGGAGGGGGAACTCAGCGTGTGCTCCATTCCGGCAATGTTGTGGGAATTGCAGCACTGGTTTCGCCGCAGCGTAATCAATTGATAGCGTGGAACAGTGCGGCCTGGTCAAGTACAGTGCTGGCTCCGTACCCGGAAATAAGAACCCTCTTCTCCAATTGAACTTTGAAGTCACTATCAATCCAATATCCCTCCACACACGATGGACTATGACGCTAGTCAGGAACAGCACAGCATGCGCAAGATGGGGACAGAAAGAAACCAGATCATGCTCATCCTCAAGTATACTGGGCTCTGCCATGTTGTGCATGCCGTGCATGTGTAGTGTTATTATTACTACTGGGTCCAACTTTGTGCACCAGGCACCTAAACCTGACTGAACTAGTCGAGAATGGGGTTCGGGGACTACGGTCGATGGGCGCTCGATACAATGATCATTGCGTGAGGTACAAGACGGCGGAGGTTCCTTCTCGGCATCAGCCAGCAAACTAACCCAAAGGCGAAGGACAGGGCATGACAAAACCAAACCAAAGTTGCCTCGCCACTGGAACAGGCAAGCCGCGGTTCGTGCTCCGAAGTACATATGCGAACAAGGGCTCAAGTAGCATCTGCATTGAAAAACAGAGCCATTGGGCATTGGATCAATGGATGCCGAGGGGCCTCTTCCTCGAACGACTCATGCAAACTTCCATCCATCAGACGTGTCCACGTGGAGGAGGCACCGGCCAAGCCATCAAATGGAATGGATAGTCCCGATGTGCTGGGCTCAACGCCATTGGCCCTCTCATTTCATTGCCATCCAACTCAACCGCTTCAATCCAGTGCCAGAAACCGTTCATACAAGAAGCCACCTATCTCAAACCCACGATCAAAGGGGAAAAGAATCCTATATCAATCCTTATCTCGAAACTACCCTTTGAAAGCGTCTTGTGGAGACTTGCTGATGGGGGAGGGGCCGTGGGGCATGTGAGAGGCTCCGGGTCCAAGTCCAGTTCTTCCACCTGAACCCTTTCGAATAGATTCACCAATGTATTAGGGTGTACATTCAGAAAGTGAGCGAGAGATGATGAATCCTAGACGAACAACGTGCCTACATAAACGAAATTGTGGCTAGCCCCTCCAAAACTACATGTATTGGTATGCCAATCCGTGTGTTCCCTCCTTGTGCCTTGTGGGGAGAAACGGGAATCTGTCGATCGACGTCATCCACCCACCCGTGAGCCCCGCGCTATTCTGGCTCAAACCAACAAGCTATGAGCAAACGACACACTCACAGCTTACAGTAAAGCTCGCGCTTGCTCATCCGCCAACGATGAGAGGGTTGGGAAAGGGCACCCGTTCCACGTGAGTTTTCTTTCTTTTCTAAATTTAAAACTTAAGTTGAAATTGCCAGATTGATCCGATGGGTTGTTCATGTTTTATTAGGGACGTGAACGATCCTGTGTTCGATTATAATTTTGAGAGCTTTCTCTTTGTTGATCCACGGATCAATTGATCAATGGATCCATTGTATGGACGTAGCTCCAGCAAAATGTTCATCACATAAGCGGTGGTTGGAGCTCCAAGCTTTGCAGCTGTCGGACAGGCGGCCCAAACTTGCCGTTCCGGGGTTTTTTTTCCCGCCCAGCCAGCTCTTCCCCCAGCGCTGTTTCTGGTTCAGTGTTCCCACCAGCTGCCGACGCGGTAGCTCCTCTTTTGTTTTCTTCATGATCTGATGACGAGAATACCATCATCCCCGTAATTTTTAAACAAATATCTGCCCTAGTTTGAATGTGCGTGGCCGGAACCACTGTTGACAGTAGACTTTGCGGTTCTCTCCTTGGTGGCAGCTAGACGTTCGGCCTTGCTAGCATCCGAGGAGACCATCCGAGGAACCCAAGGCCCAAGCCGTTGCTTTTGTGTTGATCTCGTGCGGTAGCCGACCCCGTTAACCCTGGTCTCCATCCCTCACTAGACACAGGCGCCCCCTCAGCCCATGCGACTTCCTTGCTAAAGAGGCACGCAGACCACCAACATGTCTGTGATAGGCGAGTAAGTAATCGAGTGGTGTTTCTTTCCTCCCTTCTTCTCCATCAGGACCAAGACCATCCCGATATTGTCGGCCGAGTCACCCTTAACTCACCCATCTCTTACAGCCGCGTTTGGACCATCAACACAGAGCTCAACGCCATCCCTCGGGACCATGACTTCTTTGTCGTCACCGACGATGAACAAGTCTCCCTCAAGGAGCAGGGCGTCTTGGTCGCTGCTGCCCTAGAATCCCCTAGGGTGGCCGAGCTCGTGCGTATTTTCAAGGCCCTCTCCACACCTTCGTCATCAGATCCGCTACTGCCTACATGGAGAGTCGAAGAGCTTCTCCGGCAATCCCAGCTCGCCATGACTCGCACCCCTAGGTCATCACTTGACGCCGATGAGCCGGAGCAGTCAAACCCTTTTGAGACGGAGATTGAGTGGTTGTTGGTCGCAAAGGCCGCCATGCAGATCTACGGCGCCATGCTCCAGATGCTCATTGACCAGAGCATATCCCTCGAGGACCACCTATGGTATTGGGACGATATCTCTCGTTCTCACAGACTTGGCTTCGTTCTGTGGTTGCAAAAGTCTCCCCTTCGGTTGTGGGACTTTACGCGCGACGTCTACTTTGAGAGTACCCACCGTATCCACACGCTCTACTCCCCAGGCCTGAAGGATGACGATGATGGTTCCGACGGCGAAAGTGCGTTGGTCGCGCGCAAGGACTTTTTCAAATCCATGTCTCTCTCCGACAGGTGGAAGCAGTTCTATCGCATCGTGCGGACTACTGTCCAGGATCGGTCGCTCGTCAATATACAGGACCAGATCCTATCACCAATAGCCCTCTGTCAGGCTGAAGCGCGAGAGAAGGCGTATCATATCCGCCGCCTAAAGGAAAATATTGCCTGCGGCGTTGGTGCGCTCGTCCATGAAGGCCTCGACTTCAATAGGGGCGAGTGGAAGGATGTGCTGGAGCGAAGCGTCTCCTCATGGAGACTGTCATGGTGCAGACAACCCACCTCGAAGGCACCGTGTCCGATTTCGAAGAAGGCATCTTCCGTTTCGTCGACAACGACCCAGAGCTTGTCAACCCTCTGGACGAGGACAGAGAGCCCGCCCCTCGCCGGTTGGCAAGCCGTCTCTTGTCTATTCTCGAGCACCGACTGCCCCGCCAAGCATCAGATACCCAAGCCGTCCTTAAAAGCATGGCCGCCCCTCGTTCTGGGTCAGATACTGGCTCCCCGTCACCGTCGGTGTGCTGTCGTCGAGTCTTGCGCTTCGCTACGTATCCCACCGGAAGGAGGATATGGTTCGCGCCGTCGCAGACTTTGGCCTCACCGTCAGGGACTTTTGGAGCAACTGGGTGATTGACCCCATCCGAAAACTCGTCAAGACGATACGGCACGACGAGAACCGCGATATCGCTCTCATGAGCCGTGACAGCCTCCGTGCCGACCTCGAGAGCCTGGAGCGAATGGTTGTCGACTTTGCCGTGGATAAGCCTCACTTCGCCACTGCGGACGGCGTGGCAACTCAGCTTACCGAGGCCCAGGTCACTGAGATTCGGTCTCGGGTTACCCAGGGTGACGTTACCCCCGTCCTCAAGGCGTTTGAGAAGGACCTCAAGAGTCCTTTCCTCGGCGCCGTCAAGGGAGATCTCGTCAGGTCTCTCCTGATCCAGGTCCAGAAGAGCAAGGTTGACATGGAAGTCGCTCTTAGCGGCATTGACGCTCTGCTCAAGAGTCAGGAACTCGTCTTTGGGGTCGTTTCCCTGACTCCCGGAATCCTCATCTGCGTCGGCCTCTATCAGTACCTCCGCGGGGTCATGTCCGGGAGGGTTGGCCTGCGCCAGCGCGACAGGGCGAGCAAAACGATACGCTCCGTGCGCACAATTAGCAGGATGATTGCCAAGGCTGACCTCACACCTGAAAAGACCATGTCCTACGAGCAGATCGGCAACCTTCTCTGCCAGGTGCACATCCTCCGCGACACCGTACCCCAAACCATGCCTCCGGATACGAAAAGGACTTCCTCGTGGACCTTGACGAGCTAGTCAACCTCCGTGTCGTTCCCTTCCAAAAGAAGATGATGGAAGATATCGTTTTCGCCTACGCAAAGTGGCTGCTATGATGTTGGTATACTACGGGAGTTTAGCCAGACCCATAGCCTATCCGCGACCGTGTACGATGATTTCTAGACCCTTGAATAGCCAAAGGCTAGATTCTTGTTTTATTTTTATTTTTCCTCTTCGGTCATGCATTAGCACAAGGTTATACATAGTATTGGAGGGTGTTTTTGCATGTACGTCTTCTAGTTTGAGCAACAAGGAACAAGGGGAGATTGGGAGTAAAGCAGGTGACAGAGAGAGAGAGTATTATATATATAGAAAAGTAACATCATATACGGACTCATTGTTTCTTGAGATGCGTTCATATCTTTGGCCCCTCTCCCAACCGATCGAACTCTTCCGCCGACAGTCCCGTTTTCTGAGATGTTGCTCAGTCACCTCCCTCTCCTGTTTTGGGATATGTGCATCCCACCGTCCAATAGCGCCAAGTCACAAAACTGAATCCAAGTGCCACATGATAACTATGCCTCTATTTTGTTTCTTTCCTTTCCCTCCATCTTTCGTATCCTTCCTTCCGAGTATATGAACCACGAATAGAGAGGAAAGAAACGTGGAAGCATGAGTGGAAGAAGCGCGCCATCATTGCTCAAGATTTGAAATTGTCCGAAGGTCTCCACTCAGTATATCTCTTGAGCACCTTGTCTGTGACGGAGGGCCCGCGCAATTCGATGGCCTTGGTGAGGTGTTGGAGGCCGATCTCGGCGCCGTCGACATCGCCGCCCCTCTCGGTGAAGACGATGTGGCCCGCCTCGTTGACGAGACCCCGAATATCGGCGCCCGTGTATCCCTCCGTAGCGGCGGCCAGCTGAGCGAGATCAACATCAGCGGCGACGGGGACCTTGGCGGCGTAGATGGCGAAAATTTCCTCCCGCTCGCGGGCGTCGGGCGGCCCGACGAAGAGATACCGATCCAAGCGACCGGAGCGGAGGAGGGCCGGCTCGATGCTCTCGGGGCTGTTGGTGGCGGCGAGGACGACGACGTCCTCGAGCTTTTCAAAGCCGTCGAGCTCGGTCAGTAGGGCGCCGAGGACGCCTACGCCGACGCCACCCTGGGAGCCTCCGGCGGACTTGCCGCCGCCACCGCCGCCGCCTCGTCGGGGGTGATGCCCATGGTGTCGAGCTCGTCGAAGAAGATGATGGCGGGGGCGGAAGCCGCGGCGCGCTGGAAGAGGCGCCGGATATTGCGCTCGGTTTCGCCGACGTACTGGTTGAGCAGCTCGGGGCCCTTGACGGAGAAGAAGTTGAAGCCGGATTCGGTGGCGAGGGCTTGCGCGCAGTAGGTCTTGGCGCAGCCTGGGGGCCGTACATGAGGATGCCCTTGGGGGCTGGAGGCAGAGAGGAGATTGGCCCTAGATCGAAGCGGAGAAGGAAAAAAGGAACAAATGTTAGCGATGGAAAGAAGAAGAAGGGGAGACTTAGAAAGGAAAGAGCGGGATAAGACACGTACGAGAACCTCTCTTATCATTCTTTGAAGTTCGTTCTTGACCTTTGCTGGCCACCAATATCCTTCCAGTGTACGGCAGGCGGGCGCAAGTTGATGTCGTGGAGGGAGCTGGGGGTGGTCCTCGCCAGCGCACTCTCCATGTCCTTCCTCGTGCAGGTCAGGGGGCCGCGGGGTCCTTGGCTCCGCTCCGGACGTCCATCCTAAGGCGGCGGACGGCGGCGTCGACGGCGGTAGACGCCAGCCTCTCGAGGTCCTCGGGGTTGAAAGCGTAGCTCCTCTTGGCGATGTCGAGGAGGATCTCGTCCCGGACATCCTCGGGGATGGGGATGCGGAAGGACCGAAGGATGTCCACCTTGCTGGGGACGTCGGGAATAGGTAAGGCGACGGCCTTGACAAAGCGCTTGAGTCTACGCAGTTCGTGCGGTAGGGCAAAGTAGTCCTTGCACGAGGCCACGATCATGACGGGCGCCTTTCCGGAGAGGGCGGCGTCGGCGGCGAACTTGTCCAGGCTGAACGCGAGCACGCCGGCGAGTTGGGGCGACGTCCTTTGGCTCGCGTCCAGCACGGCGTCGAGGTCGTCGAGCAGGACCACGGACGGCTGGTCCGCCTCCGCCTCGACGAGGATCCCGCTCAGCGCGCTGGGAGGGGTCCCCTTGCCCATCCGCAGGACCTTGAGCTTGCCCTCGCACGCGCGCGCGATGCTGTCTAGCACAAACGTCTTGCCCGTGCCCCGGCCCCCGTGCACGACTACGGCGCACGACCTCCACCGGGCGTCGAGCGAGGAGAGCGCGGGGATGGACGACTGCAGGTCCGCGAAAAAGTCGTTGAGCGCTTCCATCTGCCGCCCGAGACCGGGTACGCCCGATACGACGAGGTCCCGGCTAATGCCCGCGCCGCTGCCCTGCGATGTGTCGCCCGGCACCAGCCCGGCGTGCGCGATTTCGACGACGGTCGATTGCTGGATCCGCGCGAGGTTGTCGGTCCGTGAGTTGACCGAGAGAACCTTGAACTGCCGGCTCGTCGTCACGAGCTTGAGCTCAAAAATGGCATTGGGAAAGACATAGCTGGCTCTTTTTACTGGTGCGCCATGTCACCCCAAAGGGAAAAGAATGTCAACGAGTGAAGGAGACCAGGATGCCAGCCTGCGGGGAGGAAGAGGCTGTCGTATACAGAACAAGAATAAAATGACAAGACAGGAAAAGGCGGGGGAGGAGAAACCTACGTAGAAACTCCCGTATACCAAGCTCCCAAAATGTCCTCTCCCAGCTCTGGAGAACATATAAAATCGGTTCGCTAGTCCCTTGCTTGGTCACGTCCTCCACGACGACCTTGTCCGCGCCCTTATCCGCCGCCACAGCCTTGCCCGCCGTGATCCTCACTAAATCTCCCGTGTGGAAGCCCACAGCCTCCATAAACACCCTCGTCATCTTGACCACGTCGGCCTTCATCTCCTGCGCCGAAGCCATGACGGCCGCCTGCCTGACCAGCGGCGTCACCGTCCTCGCAAGCGCCGCGCCACCTTCCCCGCGTGGCAGCGCGCCGGCAGCGGCATCATCCCCGTCCTGGAGCCTCTCGACGCGCACGTGCACGACGCCACCGGGGTGCCGTACGCCCGCTCGAGGGCCTCGAAGCTCGCCCGGTTCACGAACAAGATGGGGGCTTGCGCAGATCCGGGCGCTCTTCCGGCTTGCCCGCCTTGCTCGGCGGGCTAAAGGGCCGCACGCGGCACTCAAAGGACATGGCCTCGTCCTTTGGAAAAAAAAAAAAGGAGGGTGTCTTTGCGAGGGAGAGCGAGTGTGTGAAGGAGGAGTGAATGTCTCTTGGGTCCAAGGCGAGGAAAGAGAGGAGATAAGCGGCGATGCTTTAATCCAGCTCCGGGGTGCGCACTAGTGAGACCGCAAAACTCGTTTCTAGAAAAGGACACGGGAACAGGATCTCGCGTAGATGAATAGGGAAATTGGCGTTGCTCGTGGATATCGTAGAGTGGGTAAAAAAGCAGAAGAGCAAGAAGCTGCGTTAGTGGGGTCGATTTGGGTGTAAGAAAAATCTTGGTGGGATGCCCGAAAAAAAAAAGTCGTGAAACGGTCGACTAACTACTGTGCATTGCGCTGGTATGGTACTCTTCATCGAATGGATCAATATTCACGTTCAATTATGCGCCCACCCACGTACATACACTAGCACGGTTTCTACGATAATTGGAATTCGGCAAAGATGACGGCGTTGCTTGATTCCTCTCTGACTATACCGTCATCTCGGCTCTGAGGAGGCTCTCTATCAAAGCGCCCCTTAAGCCACCACCGCTTGTAACCTTGTCCAAGCGTGTTCGCCGCGATTAGGCCTCACTTAGTTTTACCAGTTAAGACAAGAACACTTAGAGGGGAAAAAGAGGCAAGCTGGTTGATGCCAGACTAAACTTCGTTAAATGGGTATAAAATTCATCTCGGCTTTCTAGAGAGGAGCATCTTCTGCTAGAAAGTGGATCAGAAGCATGTCATATCTACACCATAATTCTTACAAGGCACAGCCAAATCTGACGGCGGGGAGGTCCGCCCATGTTCCCCAATCCGCTTAACCGGCCCCAGACGGGCAAGCAAGCCCGAGGTAGACGAGCGTACGACGTAAGCGGCGACGACATCTGGCCGAGCAGGCGAGGAAGACCGGAAGGAGAGTGGCTGATGCGATCTCCGTCTCTCCCTTGGCCCGCAACCCGGAGCCCGGAAGTGAAAGCCTATCCGTGTCAACATGCCGTCTCTTGTGCCTGCCCGCGCCGTCTGTTCTCCTTCAGCCTGTCCCGCTTGCCGGCGCCTCTTGGAGGAGTCTCTCCTCAACAATACCCCCACGATGGCCCCTCAAGAGGTTAGGTTATGGTGTTGCTAGTCGGCCTCGATCAAAAAAGCAAAGTCGTGGAAGCCGTAACGCATAACGCATCCGGGGACGCGGCGGGCGAGCCGAGGGAGTAAAACAAAGCCAACGATATAAGAAGACAACCAGAATGATCCTCCCTTGTAGCGCCCCAAAACACCATCCAAGTCCATAGCCCTCGTCCTTACGCATTATTCCGCCCTGTCCCCGGTAGTTTCCAGTGGAGAAGCAGGCGGTGCATACATGCACGTCGCGCCTTTACGCACCACCTTCCACATCCCAAGTCTGAGGCTTTTGGTTTTTTTCCTCTCCCTCTTTCTTTCTTTCTTCTTCTCCCCTCTATTCCATCTCCTCTCCTTCACTTTTTTGCCTCCTTTTTGGTTGTTTTCGCCTCCCCATAAGTCTCTTGGGAAGAAAGAAAAAGAAAGAAAAAGAAAGAAATTTTCAATCTGTAACATCAGCCCCCACAGTCATCACGATTCCTCGCTGGATGATCTCAAGCCTGCACCTGTCGAAGAGATGCTGATGGCAATCTTGGGCGCCGTCCCACTTGTGCTGTTGGTGAAGCTCTGCTTTTCTTGAGTAAGGACTGCGCTGCCGAGTTGGTGGCCGTCGACTTGCTATTACGCCGCTTGTTTTGCATCAGCTTCCCGATCTCGTCATCATCCTCGTCTTCGTCGCGTCGCCTCTTGTTGGGTGGCGCCGAAGTCGTCGATGTTTCCGATACCGCTTCGCTGACAACAGAACCAGCATCAGACGCCCCATCAATCTCGCCTACGTCGTCCGTCACTGCTTCCATCTTGTCTAGCCCATTCACTGCTACCTCGTCTTCCTTCTTTGCATCGACGGGATCCACCGCTGGCGTCGCGTCTTCTTTGCCCGTCGTTTCTGTGCTCGTTGTAGAAGCTGCACCTGCTGCTGCACCGGCTCCCTCCTCCATTTCTTCCTCGTCGCCGTCGGAGAGGTAGTCGACTAGTTTTGTTGAGGGCGAGGTCCCATTCGGGATGGGCGCCTTGGTTTGCGTGGCCCCAACCTGTTGTTCTTCATCTTCGTCCTCGTTCCAGTACGCCTCCTCGGTCGGGTCTTGGAGCTGCTCCATAAGTCTCGCATGGGCAGGTGGCCGGCGGGCCACGTCCTCTTGCGTGTCCAGCAAAAAGTCCGCCCCCGTGGTAAAGCCTTGCGTTTGGTCGTAGCGTATTATCATGTCGCGGAAGGTGTCTAGGCTGCTCAGCGTGACGAGCTGCGGTCGGTAGTTCTGAACAAGATGCTTCACGAGATCCCTCATGCTCTCCTTCTTGATGAACTCGAAAAACTCCAAGCACGCCGAGCCGAGGAGATTATCTCGCGGCATCACCGATATAAGAATGTCGAGAATGGGCCCAAACACATCTTTGTCAATCAAGTGCTTGACGTAAAAGACGTCCTGCAGCCCCAGTAGCTGACGGAAGAAGCGGATCGCAACTAATAAGTCGGGGAGCCCAACCGTTAGCGTCTCTACGATCCATCTAGGTAGAGAGAGAACAAGGGAAGAGGGGGCCGGGGGGGAATCGAGAAGCGTGAGGCGAGACAGGTAATTTGAAAGAGTAACTAGCTAGCACATATAGACTTACCTAGTCTGAGATACTTCTCGTCGGTTTGGAGGAGTTGCAAAACCCTTTGAGAAAGATTTTCTTGGAGCACGAAATTCTTGCTGCGGTGATAGTGTTGGCGGATGAAGAAGCATAGTATCTCAATCAAGTACGAAAACATGGATGCTTGCTGCGTTGTGAAGGAAAGCTTAGTCTTGTTCTTGAGGTCGATCAGAGGTTTGAACAGTTTTGCTGCCGAGGTTTCGTAGAAGCGGGCTAGGAAGAGCTCCTGCTGCGGATTGTGGTCGATCGCCCTCCGCCCAGCACCCGCAAAGTCTCCCGTAGCCCTGGCAATGCTATCTGGGACCTGGCTAACTGGGATTCCGTCCAAGAGCACCTTGAGCGCGTCCGATATCTGTGACTTGACGCCCAAGTCCACCTCCACCAGAAGGAGCTCGATGAGCGAATCCGTTAGGGGCGGCTGGCTATCGCTTAGCTGTCGGTATATGGTTGTGCGAATCATCTGTGGGTCGTGGTCGATGAGGGAAACGAGTATGTCCGTAGCACCAACCCTTACCCCCACATCGGGGTGGCGAAGACCAAAGTTGATGATTTGGAGAAGTCCGTGGGCGAGGAAGTTGTTGTACAAGGCTTGGCGCGCGGGCGGCTGAAGGTTCTTAGCTATGGCGCAGCACTGCTGGATGAAGAGCACCGCATCCTTCTTCTGCTTCGGGTCTTGTTCCGGCGACTTAAATATGCCAAAGAGATCGTTGAGAAAGGACGAATTGGCCTGGAGGTGTTGGACAATCTCGACCTGGTTGAAGAAGATGAGGGAGTTGAGGACGGAAAACGTGGGATCGTCGAGGATGCGCGCCAGTACAACGTCTTTAAGATACTGGAGTCGGTATGTTTGGTGAATCTTGTGCCGAATGTGCTCATCTTCAATGGGAACAACTTCTTTGAATCGACCCTGCCCATTCAGCCACGCCCTATGGTTTGCCTTGTGGCTCGGAAAGTCCGGATCGTATTCGAGCGCGCCCACGACCGCATCGATGCACTCATCCGATACCAAGTGTTCGATGAGGGCGGGGTCGTTGAGCAAGATGACCGTCTTCATAATGGTGCAAAGCCGATGAAGATCGGGAAGGCTTTCAAAATCCTCCGACGTCTCGACGAGGGGCATCATTTTTCGAATGTAGTCCTCCTTGAGGATGTACTTGGCAAGGGCGTCCCTCCCGGCACCTGTCGAACTCACGAGCCTTAACCTCGTATCAATGTCGTTGAGGTTTCCCAATTCGACGGCGGGAAGCGAGACTGCCGTTGTCAGGTCCATGGTGAGGTCATCGGACAAGCTGTCGTCTAAGTACAAACAAACACGTCAGTTGTTGGAAGAAGATAGAGGAGAAAGGGAGGGGGAGTCCAGGGGAGAGGGTATATTTTGTGGGGAAGGCACGAACCAGCGGCGCCATGTCCATTCTGGACAGACTGCTGAACGCTATTCACAAATTTCCTAACATGTCACGTTAGCCGGAGGGTGCGCAGGATAAGCCCGAAGTCGTCGCAGCCATGGACGCGAGGTGACGGGACGTGGAGGAGGGCGCAAAGACGAACCAGATCATAGCGCAGCCTTCAGGCTCCTGAAAACTGAGAGCCATGTCCAGACCGCTATTAGGTTCAGTCCAGACGATAAGTGTGTCTAATTCGCAGGTTAGTCTTGTGGGGTCCTTTTTGACATTTCAACTGACGGCAAAAGCGCGCAAGAAGGGATGCGAAGACTTGCCTCTCTGTTTTTGAAACCCGTCTTCCCTACAGACGCCGGTATCAAGGAGAAGGCGCTCGGGCTCATCTTCAGATTCAACCATAACCCGGGCATCACGACATTGGCCGTCCTCGGACTGTTTTCCATCATTAGCTTCTCAAGACCTCACCAGCCACCAGGCTAAGATTGTAGGCATTGTATGGGTCGCGCGAGGCGGGGAGATCGGAAGAGGGACCCTTGACTCGCGATGAATCGCGCAGGGGATGCCGGGTATCTCTCTTCGATAGGCCGTGACGGGGAGATGGATGGGAAAGGGGAAAAGGCTGTCGAACTCACCTGTGTGTAGGTCGCAGTGCAAAAGCCGGTGCCTCGGTCAAACCAGTCATTATTGCGCAGTTCGTAAACCTTGACGCGCCTCTTGTCCTTCGCCTGATGAGGCACGTGTTGTGCCATCATCAACGGCTCGGAGTCCACCTCCTAGATCGAGAACGACGTGGTGCGAGAAGAATCGGGGTGTCGAGGGTGGAGCGTTGATGGGTGTGAAAAGGGGGCTGGGTCGTGTTGTCGCCGCGCCTCTTCAATCGATCGCGCGAAGAAATATATGCGAAGAGAGCTTGGTGATAGAATTAATAATGTATATCGCAAGTCGTGAAAGGATGCGTTATGGACGGCGATGGTAGTTGGGGAAAGCAGGTGACGTAGGCTCCAAGGTCGCGTAACTGGTCCCGGAGAGGAGAATTCTGTCCGGGAAATGGCTTCAACCTTGGCTCGATCGGCAGCGTTATCGGCTGCCTGGGGGAAACGGAGATGGTATCAAGGGCGATGCAAAACACCGCTGGTTTCCGCGATGCAGATGAATGGTGCGATGCGTTGAACGCGACGGTGTTTTGATGGATATTTTTTCCCGTCGAGGGGAAAAGAGTTGAGGGTCGGGCTCGAGCGGGACTTTTCGGGGGTGGGAGAGAACGATGATGAGGCTGTCACAAAGTCGGCGCTCAGCACGGTGGCGACGGGAGACAGCAGTTGGGGGTCGCTGCGAAACGGGGCACTGTGACAGGCGACTCAACCAGTTTTCTCTCGCTTCTAGCGCGACTCTGCATGGCACTTGATAAGCCGACACGTGACCGGATTACCAGGGCCAGTCTTGGTCCGTGCTCCGCCGACAGTTCCCAAGGGTTCCCCAAGATAGAAACGATTGCTGCTGGAAATAGAAGCTTAGCTAAGCTTTTCGTCTTCCAGTGCAAGTACCAGCCAGTGTGTCCTTCCCGACTGTATTACTTGAAGTACACAATTGGGGGCTGGCAGTGACGGGCAGGGTTGGTTCTCCGCAATGTCCAGGTGTGTTGCGAAATTCCGCAGGCTCAACCGTTTGCAAGGAGAGTGATTAAAGACGGAGTCGCGAAAGGCGTCATAGTAGCGGTAATCACGGCTCTGACTGGTCCAACGGTGAGGATCACTGTACTTTTACGCCACCAGGCCTGCATCAACGGATCCCTTTAGGCAACGGGCGGTGCCGATGATAAGATGCACGCTCGTTTCTTAGCAGCTAATTCCTTGGAGAATGGATGGGTCCCCCAGTCTTGAGGAGGGCCCCCACACTTGGCCCATTTGCTGGGAAGTGGGGAAAACGCGCTTGGGCTGCGAATTTTCTTTTCTTTTCTCGCAATTGCCTTTTTCGAGTTTTTCCTCTTTCTTTTTCCAGTCTATCTTTGGCGCACGGTGTCCAAGTTTAATTCGCCGACGGGGCTAAATTCCATCTCGCCGTTGGTGAATTGCCAATCGTGGCCCTCCCGCACCTCCCTCTGCTCATAGTTCAGCTGTTGTCAATAATCCCAATATCCAATATTCTCGTATTCCGTGTATTGGCGAGTGGATCAATACGGGACCCTCAGGCCCACGACAAGACAATGATTTTCGTCTCAAACCTAGAAGTGTCAAATTCAAAAGAAGGTCGCCAATCTCGGACAGATCCATGGATGATTCATTGGGATCATTCCAGAAGGGAGGGGCGCGCAGCGATCGCTGTCCTGTCCGGCACATCTGGAGAGCCGAGGCTGCAATCGACAAAAGATTGTCGACTTCGGGCACCAGGGTCGTAACGTGTCGGGTGATGAGTCTGGCGTTGATGCATTTGACGCGATGCGACTCTGCACCAGCCAACGAAATTTCCGACCCGTCTGGGCGGGTGGGTTGCCCTGTTCCTCTGATGGTCGCTGAAGGATCAATTGATCAATCTCAGTGCTGGTGGCACCATTGATTGATTCCCTAGCTCTGATGAGTTCATTCGAGCAGAGTATGTCTCCACTGCTGCCAGGCACCGTCGCCAGCAAGCGAGACCGTCTCTAAAATATGCTATCAGAACGAGCTAGATCACTTAAAGATGTTTCGTCTTCCATCGACGAATGTTTCACCTCAGCTTATCCAACTGCCAATTGCAAGTCCATCAGGCGCTTGGCACCTACGCTTGAGAGAAGCTCCATTAGAATTGATGGGCCTTCCAGCGCCCCAGTTTACCAACTACGGCGCACCTTGATATCCATTCCATCAGCTACATCCATGTGTAATGTGCTGGGTAGAATGGCAGCCTTCGCGACGAACTAAGCCACTGAGGATTGAACAGGGCCAGGACAGGATAAGGGAGAGAGAGAATATCCCTGAAAGGCAAGGGAAGGTATGGAAGAGAAGAATGTTGGAAATTATCCATGAGAGCTTAACTGAAGTTTCCGCTGCTATGAGGCTGAACCTCATCTCGTGCAATCGCCACATTCTAGATAGAGAGTGGCTTCAAGTTGTGGGTAGGCCGGTGTGGATTTTCTTTACACCTCTTCGATTGATATCGGAAGGGCCTCCGCTTATAAGTTTGGCGCCTTGGCGTAAGCTGAGTTTGCAAATCACACACATCTCGCGAGGACAAGACCTAGAGATGGGTTGTGATATCAAACTCCTTGGGGAAAACGGGTCCATGTCGATCCACACCCACCGCTTTCTCAGCCGCTTCAGCATGCTGCCCGGAGCTTCATTCCTTCCGTGCCGACCATGTGGCGGTCGAGCTCCGTTCTTCCATTCTCGTAAAGAATCTTTCTTCTCGTCCTTCGTGATGGCCTTGATAAATTAAGGAAACTCCTATCTTAGGGTGAACCGGTTATCTTGCCAAATACTCCCAGGTGCCTATGAAATGCCATCTATCCTATTATACCAAGAGCTCCATGCGTCGCGCAAGTCAGCGGCGGTACGGCCGCCGCCAACACAGGTCTGCTCGGTAATCTGGCAATCTGGGAGTGAATGACTCGAGCAAGAGGCCAACGTTCATTCACATCCTCTCGCTTCCCATTGTGCGCCCTCTATCCTCACCGATTCGGCCTGGGCGTACTCTTCGCCCGAGGCTTGGCGCGCTCAGCCCAGATAAGCTTGCGCCAGTCATTCCTTGGTGAAGTTGGGAGCGCACAGCGGAATCAAATGCAAGCCACGGTTCCGATTGTCGGTCGCGATAACAACGTCGCCAGCCGGGCAGCCGCCCCCTCGACTCGGTTCCAAATACCAATAGAGCCCTCGGCTTCGCATTTCGTCGACTAACGAATGGGCTTGCTTAGTGGCGTGCGCCGGCTTCTTCAGGTTGGCGTCTTCCCGAGAAGCATTCCAAGCCGGGCATCTTGATTCGCAGCCGGGAATCGGCGAGGAGGATATTCTGGTACTATCACTGCACACCCTGCCTCGACTTGCATTCGTCGCCGTGAACCCTCCGTCCCTCACTATCATGACGGTCTGGCGTTCTTGTAGACATCACCCCGTCCCTGTGCCCGTCGCCTAACGTGTGTGCTTTCGAAGGACCCTTTCACTCAAGTCATTAGCTTCCTCCTATCTCGTCGACACTCACACCGCATCCCCTGTGACTTGCTTTTTCATTATCACTTCTTTTCTTTTTCGCGCTCTCCGTTCTATTTTGATCTCGACTGTGATGGCATGGCCCATCAAAACTTGGGCGATGTATTTTTCCTGTTTGTTCGCTTTTGGCCCCTGTCAGCCTTTCCTCCTCCTCCCCATGATAGACGGCAACCTGATGCGTGTACCCGCGATAAGTACTTCATAGCCTTTCCTCCCCCGTTCTCAGCCTCCATCGTCTTCTTTCTCTCTCCGGGTGAGAGGAGCTACTTATACCCGTCCTAGTCTTCAGTCCTTCTTTCCCTAATAGTTTGCACCTTTACAATCTGCCATTTTCCACATTTCTTACTCGGCGTAGCACTTTACACGTCGTCACACACCTACCTCCATACCCGCCCACCAAGATAACTCGACATCATGTCCATCTTCGCGCTGATAAGGAAAGGTAGGCAACAGGCCAAAGATTCGAAAAAACAGCCGCCAAAGCCAGAGGTTCAGCCAGTCAAGGTTCCATACAGGCATATACCCACGCATGCCGCTATCGATGCCGTCGCTGGAGCTCCCGCAGCATGCAGGGCTGAAGATCGCCCTAGAATCGTAGCGGAGAACAGAAGACGCAGTCTCATGATGATGGCAGAGGCTGCGTGTGGGGGACTAAGACCTTCTAGTAGCATCGTGTACTCTGACGGCGACGCGAACTCTGCTCTCGACACCCCGAGGTCGTATAGTTTTGTTGCTTCTTCATTCCAGGGCAGTCGCGAAGCTATACTTTTGCCACAGGCACCGGTTATAGCACGCCTCCGCTGGCGGGGCTCGATCTATCAAGGGTAAAGAGATCGAGAAGGTTCTCATGGAGATACGCTCTCGTCCCCAAGGACCGCTCTACGGTACGTAACCCTAAACATACTGCACTGAAGAAATCATCGCCCTAACGCGTCGCCCTATAGGCGGGAGAACCCCTTCTAGCTCCGGAAACTCGACGTTCTCATTCCAGGATGGACTCGAAATGAAGCTTTCGGGACGGGGGCTCGTGACCCCGGTTCGTCGAGCCACTCAGACATGTCTCGCTCTTCTTCGACGAACGGAGGCCAATACTTACACCCCACTCGTCCATTCCGGACTTCCAATACTACGGCTTCTTCGGTACCCTCGACTTCCTCTCCCCGCTCTGGCCTCTCGAGCCGCCGCCCGGTCCCGGCAATTTCTTCGTCCTCTTCCTCCGTATGTAGTATCGAGCCCGGCCTGTCTGCTGTAGACAAGAAAGCGGGCCCAAATCTGTTGGGGCTTCCGCAGACGGCCCCCTCTGCCCCAATGAAGCCAGCATCAAGAGCGGATCCTACCCTACCCTCTATCTTGGAACCTACGGCGGATGGCGATGAGAACCGCAGGATCGTGGCCACCGAAAACTTGGCTGAGCAGGATAGCTCCCGAAAATTCACAAAGGCAGGATGCGAAATACAAGCTTCTGGCCTCGAAGGCACAGACGCGAAGCGCTCGCCCGCGTCACCTGCTAATTCCTGGAGAGTGCTTCGCCGTCTTCCCCTCTCGTTCATACACCGCCAACGAAGCTCTCCAACGGGAACCACCATGGCGTAACCTGTACACGGTCACGAATATTGGCCAAATCTGGGCAGTGGGCGCGAGTCATATATATTTCCTGGCAGCGCAGCTGAACCCTGGCCGCCAACAGTATAATGAAGCTCTGGATAGGAGTCTCATAGACTTCTGTAATCATGTGCTATGCCTTCTGGATCTCGACCGGGCGCCCAAAATAACGACGATATCGCCTGTAGGCGTGCAACTAGCATAAACGAATGCTTTCCTTTGTGGCTGTTTTGACTTTATTCCTCATTCTCTTCCTTATTATCAGATTTCTTTTGTTGGAGCCAAACGGCGGAAGTAGCAGATCACTTAGATTATCAAAATTCTTGTTAATAAGAAGCTAGTATGTCTTGATGCTTCGAATAAAGGGTCATGTGCCCCGCAGAAACCTAGAGTGATCGCACTGATATGTAGCCTTCCATCATAATCCCTAAATGTCTTCACCTTAGCGGGGACCGAGACTACGAGAAGGAGCATCCGAATCATAGCTTAGCCTGCAGGTACAGTTCGGGTGCCGTGCGGGTCTTTCGCTTGAACGGGGAGGTGCGCGCAGCGGATACCCCTGTCCTGAACACTAATCGGGCCAATCGGAGCCAGGGGATGACGTGGTGTCGATGAAGAGAAAACAGAACGTTGATAGGGTCCTCGATAATCAATGTGGAAGGGGCCACCCTTCGTTCTTGACATGTGGTCTTTCTTCCTCCATAGCCTCGTTGCGACTCCCTTGGGCGATAGATGAAATTGATTCTCATGGCCACCTTTCAAAGTATGTTGAAACAAACGAGACTTATTTAAGCATTGAATTTTTTTCCACTGCATTCTTTCTGTGGGCTTCCCCTCATCCCTTTCAATCAACTCCTTAAACGGAAAGCCCCCACCACAAACTGGGTGGAGGAGAGACGCGGTTTCAAGCTCGGACCGGGACCAGTTCAAAGAATCTCAAGTGCTTCTTCGCACCCATTTTGCAACCCGAATCCACCACTGCCTCCGACGGGCCCCAATGCCATCATCTTTCTGGGAGCGACCATGCTTTCCTTAGTTACCGCGTTTCTAGGGCTTCCCTGGTTCGCGCACCTCTTAATTCTCCTCTCGCTCGCGCCGCTGTCTCTAATCACGGTGTGTATACCCTTGCTTTCCCTCTTTTGAAACTCACGCTTGGCCTCTTCAGAGGATGGCCTAGGCATGGAAGGAATAGGGAAGGGGCAGAAAGGGGAATGGATCCCGGTGGCCTTTTTGCCTGGTCGAGGAAGAAAGGACCGGTGGCACTAACTTCTTCATGTTGAACGCAGGTTTACTTTGCCCTCCATTACATCGCGCCTAAGCCACGAGCCCCCTCTCCTCCGAAAAAACCTATCAGACGACAAATACCGATGGCACTATCGTTAGACGGCAATTGCCCTGCTGGTACGACCAATGGCTCGCCGAACGTAAGCTCTCAGAGCGCGAACAGCCCGAGCTAGGCAAATTTCACATACCCGATACGGGCCGCATCGAAGATCCCTCAGTACTCGTCAGCGTCATTGTTCCCGCCTACAACGAGCAGGACAGGATATCGGCTGCTCTTGAAGAAGCCGTCGAGTACCTTGACAGCACCTTTGGTCGGCCCGGCGACAAGGCGGCCGCTGACAAGACCGCTGCTCTGCCTGGAACGCGCAAGAGACCAGCCCGCGGCGGCGGGCCCTTCCCAAGGTGGCGGGATACGAGATTATTGTCGTGAGCGATGGAAGCAGGGACCGTACTGTTGACGTAGTGCTGGAACTATCGAAAAAGCACAAACTTCACGACGTGGTGCGTGTCGTAACGTTGGAAAAGAACCGCGGCAAGGGCGGTGCCGTTACTCATGGCTTCAGACACGCACGTGGAGAATATGTTTTATTCGCCGATGCAGACGGTGCATCCAAGTTTAGCGATCTGGGCCGGTTGATTGAGGGCTGCGAAGAGGTTGCGGATGGCTCTCATCGCGGAGTCTCTGTCGGCAGTCGTGCGCATCTCGTCGGGAGTGAGGCAGTCGTCAAGGTTAGTCAAGCCTCCGCAGCGCAGTCACCCTATACCACTCAGTTTCTAACCATCTACCTCTTTAGCGATCTGCTCTCCGCAACTTCCTTATGCGCGGGTTCCATTTTGTTCTCATGATCCTTACCCCTCCCGCGACCTCTCGAATCAAGGACACGCAGTGCGGATTCAAGCTGTTTTCCCGCGCCGCCCTTCCCCACATCATCCCTTACATGCACGCGGAAGGATGGATTTTCGACGTGGAGATGCTTATGCTCGCTGAGTCGGCTCCTGCTACACCCGTGCTTGGTTCCGATGGTAGTGTTATAGGTACGACCGCCGGCATCAAGGTGGCGGAGGTTCCCATTGCGTGGCATGAAGTGGACGGCTCCAAGATGAGCCTCGCAAGAGACAGCATTGCCATGGCGCTAGGATTGGCCGTTCTAAGGGCAAGCTGGATGATGGGCGTGTACCGACGGAGGATGACATGAGGAAAGGGCTAGCCACGGCGCGAGTCAGGATCTTTACCACTATTCCTGGTTCGGCCGTTTTTGGTAGGGCTGAGAGGCCAGTTTATGTCGACAGAGCTCGCGAAACGGGGTCGCACCGCCGCCCTCCGTACCAAGACGATGAAATGAATTGAAAAAACCCCAAGATCAAATAACACATGAAAACGCAAAGGTTACTGTATAGACAAAATTAGGATGTTTGAATCTGTTTTGCTCACTCGTTCGACTTTTGAGAACCATGAGAACCATGAGATTAAGAATTATATGACGCGGTTTTCTACAGTACAAAAGGAAACAGCCCCGTTTCGAGCCACGCGCAGCCCGAACCTTCCGTATTTTCGTATTCTAACATTACTATTGCTTTATGTGCGTACGTGGATGGGAAAAGAAAAAGGGAGGCGTGAGGGGACGGAGAGGGGCGAGGACGAGCCAAGCGTCCCCGTAATCACGAGTCCCACTGCTCCCGATACTAGCCAAAGTAGGACCTTCAAGAGGTGAAGACGGGAAAAATATAGACGTGAAGTAGAAAAGAGAGAAAGAAGTGGGAAAGGAAGAGGAAGGAAGGAATGGGTGGTAGGGAAAGGGCGGAGAGTGCTATAAAACAGAGGCTGGAAAATGCGAGACGGCTTGGATCTGGAGGTGATAGCAGGTTGAATCACCACCTAGTTTTTTTAATTTTTTTTCCCTTCTTGATTCCTGCTAGCTTAAATCGCCTCTCTCCACAACACAGGCAGGAATACTACACAGGCGGTGGCAAGGATGAGGACGGACTTGATGAGGGCAACGGGTAGCATAAGGGGGCGAGGATGCCGGCAGAGGAGAGGGTAGACTTGATATTGAGCCAGATGCCTACAAAGGCGACGGTGAAGAAGTGATAAGCGAGGACGGCGGGGCTGTGGATGACGCCGCCGAGGAGGCCCGAAGGGTCCTCGGTCACGCCGCGCTGGAAGTACTCGAAGCAGCCGCGCTGGAGGGCGCGGAGCTGCCAGCTGTCGGCGGCGAAGAGGTTGTAGAGAGCCATGGCGAGGACGTTGATGATGGAGGTGAGGCGCTTGCGACGCCAGTGGAAAGTGTCCATGGCGTTCTGGACGGCGTCGAGGTTGCCCAAGGTGGGAACTTTTTCGGGGGCGAGGAGGTCGGCGAGGAGGACGACGTCGTTGAAAGCGACTGTCATGCCGCCACCGGTGAGGGGATGGCGCATGTTCATAGCGTCGCCGAGGACGATGAGGCCCTTGGCCGTCTGTTTGGTGGGGGTAGGTAGGAGTTGGGCATGCTCTTGGGGAGCTTGCCGTCCTCGAGGGCCTTGAGGATGCTGGGGCGGAGCTGCTCTGGCAAGGCGGGGACGACGACGTTCTTGATGTAGCCCTTCACGCCGCCTGCGGCGGGGGCGGCGGCGGGTAGGCCCTCGGGGACATCGATGAGGGCGCGGGTCTCGTGGGTGCCGATCTGGTAGAGGAGGGTGGGGAAGGTGTTGCCGATGACGACGTGGCCGTGGTAGGGGCTCAAGAGGGGGCAGTCGATGAGCTCAAGGGCGTAGAACTTGCTCTTGACGACGGCCTCGCGCTGGAGGTGTTCGGCCCTAAAGGTGGAGGCGTAGCCATCGGCGATGATGGTGAGTTGGCCGAAAAATAGTCCTTTTCGTTCTCGTTTGTCTCCTTGTTCCGCGTCACCGCCTCGACGCCTAGAATCTGGTCATACTTGTCGCCCCTGACGGGCTTCGTCGCCTTGGTCTCGACGACGGTGATGTTCTTGTGGGCAAGGCACGCTTCCTGAGCTTCATGATGAAGCGGCCATGGTGGAACGACTTTCCCTCGGGCCGCTTGCCGTCGCCGCTGCCAGACTTTTCGTAGACGACGTTGCCCTTATCGTCGAGCATGGGGTAGGGAAACGCGCAGGGGGTACCGTCGTAGATGACGTTGTAGCCAATACAGGGCACGGCGTCGATGCCCTCGAGGCAGTGTTCGAGGCCGAGCTTGCGGAGCGCCGCTACGCCGCCGGGCTGCAGGAGCTCGCCAACGATGCGGTCGGGTTGGTGCATCCACCTTTCGAGGAGGAGAACGCTACGGCCCTGGTTGGCTAGCGCAAAGGCAACGGCGCAGCCAAAGACGCCGGCGCCAACCACGACGACCTCGGCTTCGTGGTAGTTATTTCGGCGCCTGGACTCGGACATGACCTCAACGGCCGTCTGGCAACATGGTAGGTGGCTCATCGCGGAAGAGAGACTGTGCGAATATATAGGACAAGGCGTAGACTAGGGTTGAGAGTTGGAATTGGTGTCGAGGGAAGCGGGAGGCCAAGGATCTCGTCGCGGAGAGAGAGGAAAAAAGGAGGGGCGAGATGGCCTGAAATAGTGGCAGCGTCTGAAGGAGTGTTAGTGCCAATGCTAGAAAAGAGATGGAGACGAGAAAGAGGTACCCTCTGGACCAAAAAGGCGGCGTTTAGGAAGGGGAGTGGGGGGGAAGACGGACACAGAGATAATTTGGAGCAGGAAAAAAGGAGGGGAGATGCGCTTAGTGAACGAAGCAACTGGCGATGGTTTTGTAATAGCAGAGATGTGAGCCGTCGCAAGCAACCTCGAATGATTGATGTTCCCCTGCTTGCTTCTCGCACCAGAACGGGTTCACTCGCTGCTACCTGTTCGGATCCTCGCGCTGGGGAAATTTCGCAAGGGAGAAACGGGGACCAGAGGGAAGGGAAGGCGCAGGTGGATAATCAGGACAAGCCGTCCGAGTATCAAGCTATTAATTTTGATCCCTCTTTTTTTTTTTTTTTTTTTCAGTGCTCCTTCCTCTTCTTTAGGTGAACAGATTTCCGAGGTGGTACAGTGTCGTCAGGGGATATCCAGGTACCAGTGCTACGAGAGTTTAGCCACAGTGGTACAGAAGAACGCGTGTTGGCGGAGGTATTATCCGAAGTGCCCCCAAAAGCGAGAAAAAAAAAAAAGAAAGGCCCCGTTAATTGTCAGATTCGATCCCTTGAGATGAGACCAGACCATCCCGCCCTAGAATCGTGCCACTGCTGCGGTAACCTCGACTGAGAGACCCTGACCGCCTTGGGGCCTGGATGTACATCTATACGCGGAATCGGAACCCGCGTCCCCTCGAGCTCTAGATTTCGCTGGCTTCCTGCCTTGGAGGCCCACGGGGTCTCGCCAACCGGTCCGTACGTTCATTTAGTACTTTCAGGCTGATGCAATAATATCAATCGATATAGCAGCACCACACACTGGGAGACATTCCCCCTCTTCGCTTGACACAGCCAGGAAAACGACTGCATGTTGGCTGGGAACGGATTGTTGGGAGCGACCGGGCGCCTGCATCTTCACATGCTTCTCTGCAACGTCCTCACCTGAGAATTTGCAGAGAAATTTGTGGCTGCCTGTTTGCTGGGCACGTTTTGGACGAATGTACCTGGACCCAACCACTAGACTTGAACTAGGGGATCAGACCCAAGAAAGAAGAAAATAGATGGATTTGTTGATTGACCCAAGCGTTGCAATTGATCAATCAAAAGGAATCGATTCTCACTGGCATGTTTTCTCGACGCATGTGATAATGCTCCACCAATTCGTCTCAATCCCATTCAAGTGAACTCGTCTCACACCATCCACACGTCGGAGCTGTGAAGGCAGCAGCATATCGGGGACTTTGGAAGCCCCATTTTAGGAGACTTTTACTTTTCACGTTTCTGGCGATCCTTGAGTCCTTTGGCTAACTCCCCCACCGTTTTCTTCCTTCCATCCGAATCACGTCTGAATTAGTTGTGGATGAATATAATTTAGTATTCAATACGTACATTAACCAAGGCAGCGGAGCTGTTGCCACTGACAGCGGGATGAAGACGCGACAGAGATTATCTGTGTATGTATAGTTCCAAAGGTAGACCTGGTTAGGACTGTCTAACAAAAACAAAGGCGCTGTTTCCTAGGCCAAGATCTAGCATGGCTTCATCACCCTCCCCCGTCTTTCTCTTACACTTTCTATGCTATAGTATACATCATCATCATAATAGTGAAAGATTTGTGTCCTCTCCCAGTGATCTCTCGTATATCGCAGCGGCGTGACCCGGGCCTGAGGCTTTGTAGACCGTCTCTACGCTCTCGTAATTGCGCTTCGGGGCCAGCGTCTCGCGCGCAATCGACCGAAGTTTGGCCTTGAAATGCCAGTGAGCTTGAGCCCGCGCCTGCATGACGTTCTGGTATGCCGCCTCCAACGACTCGAGAGCGTCTGAGTGTTTCTGTTTCTCCTCTCCCGAGGTCGTCTTGGCAATCATCTGCTCCAACCAGAACCTCGCCCGCCGCAGTGACCATTTGCATATTGGATGTCCCCGGTAGGGCCTCCCGGGAAGCGCTTCGAGTAGTTTCTGCAGCAGGGCGTGGTCCTTGCTGCGCACCGCCACCGTCAGGAGGCTGGCGAAATTATGAACCTGAAATAGCGCGTCGCCGTTCCAGTGTTCTTCTCCTAGCTGCATGCAGAGCTTGATTGTTTGCTCAAACTCTGAGTTCTGCAGGCATACTCGTATGGCCCGGTTGTATACCAGCTCCGAAGGATGAGGGTAGACGGGCTGGACGGCTGAGAGCAAGCTCTCAATTAGCCTATACGCATCACCGACCGATGCAGAGGATCGTGTTGCTGCCTGCTGGTCCCCGATACCGTCGATCCGCGCGAGGAGTAACGTCTGCATAATGGTTTCCACATCCAGAGATTCTTTGCGAGCTTGTTTGACGAGCCTGAGCGCTGTCGCGCTGTGGATGCCCTCCAGCTCGACGGCCGCCTCAAGCGCCAGACGAAGGCACGCATCTGATATCGTCACATTGCTCTTGAGGCTGTCCGAGTAACAGTATAGGACGCGCTGCCAATCTCGAGCACGTGCCGCCTCCGACATGCCCGAAAACGTCTGCAGCTGTGCCGCATCGAGATGTTTCTTGAGCTTTTTCAGTGGCCGGCGGATGTCGTCCCTGAACCTCATGACACAAGCATCCTCCGGGGTATACGTCTCCTGCGCAGTGTCTAGGGCGTTGGGCTCGGTGTCAGCCTCCTTGAGGAACTTGCGGCCCGGTGACGAAGCGCATATAGGCACGCCTGCCTCGTCCGCTCGGCTAAGCCAAAGGGCCAGGGCGTCGGCCTTGTCCTGCGCCCGGTAAAACTCGGCCACGGGGAGCACGAGAAGCTTGCATGTTCGGTACCGCCCGAACCGCACGTGTGAGGTAGCGAGGAACGAGTGCATGGTGCGGCCGGAGCTGTCCCTCTCGAACTCTTCTGCAAGGGCTTGGAAGAGCACCGCTCTCCGCAGGGGCGGCCTTTTGAGCTCGGTCCAGAATTTGTACACCGCGAGCTTGAAGCGCCGGGGTGGCCGTCGCTTGCTGGCCCGCGTGGCGTAAACGAGGCCGCGGAGAATGAATTTGGGGTCCACGTCGGGAATAGAGAGGTCCTCGTGGTCGAAGCCCGGATATGAGCAGAGGGCGTCCACCACCGTGTGCGTCGCAATGATATCCCTTCGTCGGTACAGAGTTACGAGGAGGGCCTGGGCCTCTTTGAGGATGGCTTCTGGTACTTTTGTGTTCGAGGGTGTCCGTGAGATGCGCTCCTGCAAGTGGGAGATGTCCTGCATTACGGCAACGTGCTGCCGGCAGTTCCTCGCCCACCTGTGCCGGGGCATCGGCACTCCTGTGTCGAGATCGTGCTAAGGTTCGCCTTGAGACTAGGAAAGTTCGCTTTGTGAAAGATTCCGTCCTTCCGGAAAGTGGCCGGCGGCCGCGCGGTCCACCGAGCTTGTTCTTCAGCCTCCTCCCGCTTTCCCCGTTCCTCCCTGGGCGTTTCTCGTATATATTCGACGGCGCCTTCTGTTGCGGTAGTGACCGACATGCTCGCAGTGGCGTACTCCAGCTGAGCCATTGCGGCTACCGTGCCCCCGGGGTTATAACATCTTTGAGACTTGAGAAGCTTTCCGTTATCAGCGACTGCCTGGGCCAGCTCCAGTCGCTTCAGACGCTCTTCTGATATGAGGATGAGCGAGCACGACGTGCCAAGCGCCAGCCCCGGATAGCGTGGACGGCGGTTCGGGGCTTAACCGCGGACTGAAGGTGAGTTTCGACATCAAAAGTGCCCCATGCTGCCAGGACAAGAGACGAGTCGGGGTTGTCGCGACCAAGGGTCCCCGACCGGCAGCCAGTACAGAGGCGCTCGGATCGAATGTGCACTACCGTACTCGCGGGCGCTTTCTATTGAACGTAATCGATCGCCAAGGGGAGATATTCAGGAACTCGGGTTGTATCCAGAATAGTAGCGTTTTTATCGGGTATCAAGGCTAGGATCTTGGGTGTTGGTGTCGCAAAGAAAAGTGTCGAGAAAATCGTCTTTCTCCCCAAAGCGAAAGTTTCTGAGTGGAGTGGGCTGATGTGGAATTGAATGTTGGGAACAATTGCCAGTTGCCAGACTTCAAGCGGTGATTACGTAAGTAGCATTTTCTTGCTTGGACTAGGAATATATTATGGTCGCTCCAACCAAAGACAATCATAATACCAAGAGAGATAGATAAAAGATATACATGTAGTCATTTCGAAAGGGAAGAAGAAAACAAAAACTTTTGAATATCCCTATGCATACTTTGCCAGAAATCCCTTATCGAAATGCGTCTCATCTCACATTAGATTCATTGATGGGTTGGCGGTTTCCCCCTCGCCTTCGCCTTTGTCTTGATTTCAGAGCGCCCTGAATACATCACGGTCGCCGCTATGCTCCACCATCTCATAAAAGACACCCTGCGCTTGGTACAAGTCCCCAGGGGAGCCGGTTCTATGTTTCCCGTTAGCACCGTCGCTTTCTCTTAAACAGACTTGCGTCTATATGTTAGTATACGGGTGTCTTTTGTTGAAAACGTACTCAATAATTTTGCCCTCTGCCATAACCACGACTTTGTCGTAGTTGAAAATCGTCTTCAGTCGATGGGCTATCGTGACGAGCGTTCGGTTTTGGTCTCCTCCTTCAACCTCGCGGCCCAAGATCTCCTGAATGGCCCTATCCGTTTCGTGATCCATATTCGCAGTGGCCTCGTCTAGAAGCATTAGATTGCTCTTCCGAACAAGCGCGCGGCACAGAGACAGCACTTGTCGTTGGCCGTGGGAAAAGTTCTCCCCTGCGCCAAAACCGGACTCGAGAGTGTGAGGCCCTGGGGGTTCGGTCCCTTCCTGTTGACGCGCACTTGTGTCACTCTCCTCCGAATCGCTGCTTTCCCTGGACGACCGTCGGTGCTGGAATGAGGCAATGGTCTTGGTGGAGTCTATGACATTTTGGAGTGTTTCCTCGGGGACGCTGCCTGTCGGATCCAGATTAGAGCCGACGGTGCCGCTGAACAAGACCGGTTCCTGTGGAATGATGGTAACGGCCTGGCGGAGCCTTCTCCTGGGTACCTTGGAAATGTCCACTCCGTTGAACAGGATCTTCCCGGATGCGATGTGGGTGAATCGAAGGAGCGACAAGACCAGCTAATTTCATGAGTTAGATCCAACATAGACATGCATCACCAGTCATCCGCTCGCTGGAAATAGGGAATATGGGCTTACTGTGCTTTTTCCCGACCCAGTCCGTCCAACGACGGCCACTCGCTCACCCGATCGAAGCTTGAGGTTAATGTTGGACAGGATATCCGGCCCCTTGTCCTCGTAACGAATTGTGACATCCTGAAACTCGATTTCACCGTTCTGCGGCCAATTGAGAGGTATCACGGGTCCGCCTTCGCTATCCGGAGCGCCTTCTTCGGGAAGAGGGTCGTCCGAAGCGTCCTCCGATTTTAGCTCCAGGTACTCTTGCAATCGATCGAACTGCAAATGATGGGCTTGTTAGCTGTACCATGCGAAGATAGTCTAGAACGGAGCTTGGCTTACACTTTGTAGCTCTATCTCTAGGTCGTTCATGGAGCGCACTAGGAAGATAATTGTCTGGCTTAATCCAGTCGCATTGGCAAGAGAAAAACCGATAAGACCCGCGGGCGTTGAGTCTGCCTTGGCCAGGGCGATTATGCCTGCCCCGAGGGTCACGAGGGAGGTAGCAAGGTCGATACGAACTGCTACCCAGCGGTTGGCGTTGTAGAGCGACTCGGCGGCTGTCGACCAGAGCAGCAGGCGCTCCATGAGGATCATGCCAAACTTCTCCGGCATACCTTCACGGGCCCGCACAACAGCGAGGCCGGTGAGGGTGTCGACAAATTGTGAAAACACCGGTGACTGGGTCGAGGAGTCTAGGCGGCGCAATATAACGCCCGTCCGCGTGTACATCTCGCCCACAAAGACGCCGATAACACATACGACTGTCGAAGGTACGGCGAAGATCGGGAGTACCGAACTGATAGCCAGGAGGCGGTAGACGAGTGATATGCCCAGCCACAACACCATATTAGCTAGGTATGGGAGATTGTTGTCCAGAGAGGCCATGTCTCGAGAGAAGCGGTTGAGAACCCGGCCGACTGGAATCTCGGTGAACCAGGACAGAGGGGCGTTCATGATAGATTGAACGAGTTGCGCGTGTATTGTCCTAGCAGCCACCCAACCACCGTACTTGCTCATGATCAAGGGTATGTTGCTCATCACAACCTCGGCTGCGATGATTGCGCAGTATATGCTTAGGTAGTATGGGACATCGATGTCGGGGTTTTGTTCACCATCTTCTGTCCATTTCGCCAGCCACAAGTTTCCGAGTGGGATAGTCGCGGCTCCAATAACGAGGGTAGCGATGCAAATGACCACGAATATCGGGTGCCCCCAGTATGCAATGTATTTGCCATCTAAGAATCACGCAAGGGTTAGCACCATGAGTCTACCAACACGGCCTTTCCTATAAAGTTCCTTTTGGACGGCTCGAACCGGCTGCGCCAACGTACAAATTCTTCGGGCTGCGCCGCGAGCCCTCATCTCCGCATCGACAGCATCAACACTCCGATCTTTTTCCACGGTGGGAGGTACCGGCTTCCCATTTTCGCCGCCGTTGCCTCCATCACGGAGCCCTGAATCCGTGGCCAGAGCTATCTCTACAGAAACCGGCCTTCGGGTAACGCCAAGGTGTTGTTCGACAGATTGGGTTTGGCCGTTTGAGAGAATGACCTCCAGGTCTGACTGTGCCGCGATCCATGGCACTTGCGTGACCAGAACCACTGTGCGACCCTTGAGCAAGTCGCTGCAGAAGGAGTGTTCCCAGATGCCCGCCGCGGTCTTCGCGTCAAGGGCGGAAAATATGTCGTCGAGCAGAAGAACGGGCGCCTTGGAATAGAATGCTCTGGCTAAAGACACTCGCGCCCGTTGCCCGCCAGAGAGCGTGGTTCCGTTTTCACCAGCAATTGTCTCGTCTCCCGCTGGCAGCTGGTCGAAATCAAACTCCAAGCAGCAGCACTGCACAACTCGTCGATAGCGAGCCGGCTCAAAGGCCTCTTCGAGGATAATGTTGTTTTTAATCGTGTCATTCTGAAGCCATGCGGTTTGTGGGGCATACCCGACGTCCTTGGGCCTCGTTACTCGGCCGCCTTCTTGCACCGTTTCTCCGAGGAGGGAAAGCAACAAGGTGGTCTTGCCACTACCGCTGGGTCCAGTAACGGTATTCAGTCCGCCTTCAACAAAGTCCACAGTGATATCTTCCAGCTTGAATGAAGCGGATCCGCTTGGGGCAAAAGAACCTCCGCGTATCTGCAACGGGCCGAGGGGATGCTGTTGAAGGGGTTGGCACCGTCCATAATACCCATCGAGGCGCTTGAAAGCGATCATGGCCGCCGTGACGTTGCGGGACAAGAAAGATGCCATGTTGAGCCGGTTGCGAATATTCTTGATCAAGCCCACTGTAGCAAAAGCTAGTGATGCAGGGAGCGGTTTCTTTTGTATCATAACTCGGGTCACGAAGATGGAGAGAAGGGCGACATAAGGGAATGAGGCGTTCAAAACGCTGATTATGGTGTTGAGGACAACGTGCTTCCAGATGTACTTCTGCTCAAACCTTCGTGCCGCTTGGATCTTATCAGAGGCATATTGTTCCCACGCGAAATACTTGATTGCTTTTATCAAAGAGAGATCCTCGGATACCAAGGATATTCGGGAGTCCTGCGCGTCTCGGACTTTTAACTGGGCCCGGGCCATGGCACGAGCAGTATATAGACTTGACAACAATGATACGACCAGGATGCTTGCGGCTACCAGGGAAGGCCACCCCACGAGCCGGTACAGACCGAAGATGGAGATGGACAGGTTGAGCGGGGTAGCAACGCAAATCAGGGTAATGTCTCTGGCCTTGAAGATGGCATCAATATCGCTCGAAATCATGTTTGCTAAGCGGCCGGTTGCGGTACCGAGCTTCTTCTTCTTTTGCTCCTTCTTCTTCTTTTTCTTCGTCGTCGTCGTCGCCGCCGTCGCCGGATGAGTTGCCTCCTTTTCGTCCTCGTCTATTTCCATAGATTGCATCATCCTATGATAGAGCTCCTGTGTAAAGGCGGATTTGATGCGGACGATGGCGCGTGTAGATGTGAATATATATTGCTGAAATGCCATAGATCGCGTCGTGGGGCCCACAAAAAGTACCGCGAGCCAGACCCAGGGATGATACACTGCAGTTTGAGGGCTATCGATATAATCAAGCAACATGTACAGCGCGAAGGGAGGAATCACTTCGAGGGCAAAGGCGCTGGAACTCCAAAAGGTCATGAGCCCCAGTTCGCCCTGAACAAGCTTCACAGTAGTCCAGAAAGTACTCTTTCCCCATGCCCTGGCATGGTGGACGCGCTCCAGAAGAACTGCTGGATGATCATACCAGGGGATGCGAGGGAGCTCTTCCTTTGGCAACTGGCTCCTGGAACCTCTCCATATTGTCGGAGTGAACCATTCATAAGTGAGGTAGTAGCTGAGCCAGCTGCACGTTTCCTCAGGGGCGGGTGGCATATCCATTAAGTTCTGGGCTACACCATTATAACCTGAGAAGGGGGACGGCCATTCCCGCGGCGTAGCAGATGCAACTATCACGGACAAGGCTAGTGCGAGCGAGGCCACACCGAGAGGTGTACGAGGGTGGCACGAAGTAGTTACTTGGATACAGGGGAGCCAATGAGCGCACAAGAGCAGCAACAACAGGAAAGAGGACACAAAATTGGCCTGGTGAAGGGCGATGAACCTCCAGTGCGAATGACTAGCAGCTCGCGCGAGCCCACAAAGGAGCACGTATATGCTAGCTGCAGCATTTGTCCAATGCGTCGTATTGTGCAGGGCAGAGACCGTGAGGAATCCTGCGGCAAGGCACTGGGTAGTCAGTGATGCAATCTGATAGGCAAAATGGCACTGAACGCGCCATGCTGGCTTGATAGAGCTGTTGCTTCGGTGGCCGCTGATGCCGGTTTTCCGCCGCTTAAGGCGCCATAGGGTCTGGATGACGGACAGGACGGACAGGACAATGAGCATTAGTTGTAGGGATCCTGACTGGGCAGCTTGGCTGACGCGACGGATCCATGGCAAGAGTGGCGAGGGTAGATCTACGGGACCTTTATCGTGATTGGCGATGGAGCTGAGAAGGGCACCAGGGAGCGAGTACTGCGACACCTCAGAGTTAATAGAGGGATGCTGGAAGGATGAGTCTAGGACGTGATATCTATCGACTGCCCAGGCAGCCGAGGTCCAATTCATGATCCTGAGCCTGCTTGAGGTAGCAAGCCAGGGTCACTAACTGGTGGTCGTTAGAGAAGTCCGTCGGGCGTGATAGATAGATGTTAAATCTACTACAATGTTAGAGGCCAAGGGGTGTTATAGGAGAGGAGGTGTGGAAAAGGAGCAAACCCCAAAGAGAAAAAAAAACATGAAAAGGGAAAAGATTGGTCGTTCACTCGAAGGAGATAGGTATAATGCAAGGTCGGCGGGCGGTGGTGGCCGCGGTCGTCGAGTTGAGACCAAGCAACATCAATTAGACCTTGTCTGGACAAGGACCCGTCGACGGCTGGCTCCGGTGATGCACTAGAGAGGCAAATGCATCCGCGCTGAAGGGATAATTGGACCTTGACGCGGACAGGGGAATGTGAAGCGGCGGTGTGAGGAATCGATCGAGGCCTATAGATGGCTAGATCTTGGATCTTGCGAACCCCGGATTGAGCAACGAGGCACTATTGTGGCTGGTTGGTGGGAGAGGTGGAGTTGGCCGGGGCGGAAGGGGTGAACTCGGCCGGGGAGAGAGAGAAGACATAGGGGGTGCGGTTCAGCTCTCCTCCAGGCACCGAGGCCGGGGAGCCTGCCGGTCTTACCATTCCTTGAACAGCGTTGTTAGAATTGGTGCTCGTGTCAGTCGAGGTTGGCTACCCCGACGGGTGAGGTGACCAAGTGCCGAAACACAGGGATCCAACAGTCCGTGATGGGGCCAAATGCATGCTGCAGGCTCGGGCCTTCTTCCTCCCGATTCGCTTTCCAAAGTTCCTGGGGTGGCAAGGTGGTCCGCCGCCCAACAATTCACACAGGAATGCGCCAATACTTGGAAGCAAGCGGCGCCAATGTCTCCATGCCGCTAGACCCGATTTCCACAACGATACGGGTGTACTTGCTCGCAAGTCCTAAATCCTCACCCCTGTGAACCCACTGCGCTGCGTTGAGTCACAGTACCAATGTCTGACAAGACGGCCAGCGCGTGGAGATGCCTAATGAGAGCAGGCATGGTCAGCTCTGCTTCCAGTGGGGGTCGAGGGGTTGGGGGTTGAGGGTTGCGCGGGCTTGCACTTGGTTGATCAAATTGATCGATGGAGAATGAATTCATTCCATCGCAGTACTTGATTCGATCAGCAAGGGGTCATTAATATTGATCTCCTAACACAAACCTAAGGGTAGTTCATAGTTCCACCTCGCCCGTTGCCTTTTAAACCCTCGACTGCGAAGCCATGCATCATTTGCAAATATTCATACACTAGGTCCAAGGAGCTCTTACTGGGTATCCAGCCAACTTGTCGTGGTTGAAGGGCACCCACCATCACAGATGAAAGGTCCCGCTATTACACTGCTGCTGAGGGTGTGATGTGAATGGTTCAGTGCGGTTCATTGGACTTTCCGCCCCAAATGATCAAATGCATCTGGATGCTTGGTCATCCATCATTCCGGACCCAATGTATCAATGACAGGCCCAAGTCGGTTGACATCTGAATGGTGGGGCAATAATTCTCGAGGGTTCCCAACGCAAAGGCGCATCTGAGGCTCCCATATTTGGATATCTAGCACGGAGCAGACAGTTGATGCCCCCGAGTTGCCAATCTTGGCAACTACAAGGTTCAATTGACCATACCAACCCTGGGTTCTTTTTCACCTTTGAAGCACACCCCCGCACACACGCCGCAATGGATGCCAAAGACGAGGAGGGTGATATCAAACTCCAAAAGGAGTCCGCGGAGCTCCTCGCCGAATTCGAGCGCTTCCTCCCAACCTTTCTCCAGAAGCCGGATGGCCATGGCGGGACTCGCCTCCGGACAAGAGTTCGGTCCTGGGACACGGACAGATCAATCTATCGGGTGGGTGTTCGCTCATCCACTACCATGCGGGCTACAACCGCCAGCTAATCAATGAGCTTCATACTTCTTCTGCCGTCTTAGCTCCTGGCTCCCTTTCAAGAGCTTCCACAGCTTCTTGACCCCCACTTATCCAAGTTCATCCCCACGCTCTCCGAGATATATCGACAATCGCTTGATCGCCGGGGCCGCACCAGTGCCATCGTGGTAAACTCGGCGCTTCTTGAACCCGTATCTCGGGCGGTGGCGAAGCTGCTCTACTCCTTTTGTAAGATTCGTGGTGAAAAGGTAATCGTACGCTTCCTAAGCTCGGAAACCAAGTGCCTGGAACCTCTATTATGCGCCCTTGAGGAGGCGGAGCAACTACCAGTGGATCGCCAAAACCCGAATGACCTCCTCAAATGGACCTGGCAGGAGAAATACATCACTCTCCTTTGGCTGGCTCACCTACTGTTTGCTCCTTTTGATCTAGCCTCCATATCGTCAGTCGATCTTGATGAGATTTCGGCCCCGGTCATCCCCGGCCTCAACTGGCCGCCCAATTTACCTGGCATCACCCTGAGACTGCTCCCCTTGGCTTTCAAATATCTTTCTTCGCCTGGGAAGGAGCGGGATGCCGCAAAGGCTCTATTGGTACGGATCTCCATGCGGACGGACATGCAAAGGCTAGGCTTGCTGGACGCCTTGGTCAACTGGGCTTTGTGGGTTCTGAGACCCAGCATTGACCCCTGACAGAGTCACCGTACCACTTCATCGGCGTGCTTTCATACCTGGCGGGTATTTTGAGATCTTCAATGGATACTTCCGACATGGACAAGTACTTGATTCGCATCTTCCACACTATAAACTCAATCACGAGCGGCGGGGCCGACTTTCCAAATTACGAGGTTATCAATGGCTCCGCCTCTGCGAGGATGATTCTTATCAAGGTTACCCGTTCAATTGCCGTCCTGGTACTCAGGCAGCAGCCGCAAACGATCCAGGGGACGGAGTTGGTGGAAACGGGGATCGGGTCCCTGTTGGAAAAGCTGTCAGATACGGATACTCCCGTGCGCTTCGCTGCGAGTAAGGCGCTTAGCATCATCACCTTGCGCCTTGACCCAGAAATGGCCTCGCAGGTTGTCGAGGCTGTTTTGGATTCTCTAAATCGCAAAGTGGTCTGGGTGAAGGACCCCACAAGCCCTGACGGCAGACTAATCCGTGACCTGTCTTCTGTTGATGCCCTAGAGTGGCACGGGCTCATGCTAACCTTGGCGCACCTGCTCTATAGGCGTTCTCCGCCGCCAGACCAGCTCTCCGATATCATCCATGCGCTACTCCTCGGCTTATCCTTTGAACAGCGGAGCACTTCGGGAGGCTCCGTCGGAAGCAATGTGCGCGATGCGGCGTGCTTTGGGGTCTGGGCAGTGGCTAGGCGCTATACCACTCAAGAACTGCTAGATATCCCAGTCGGTTCAGTCTTTGCTGCTCGATCCCATCCCGAGGGTTCCACCATTCTCCAAGTTTTGGCCACGGAACTCACAGTCGCGGCCTCTAGAGATTCGGCGGGCAATATTCGTCGAGGCTCTTCTGCCGCTCTTCAAGAACTTGTCGGTCGGCACCCGGATACTGTGGAGCAAGGAATATGGCTTGTGCAGACGGTGGATTACCATGCGGTTGCTTTGCGTTCCAGAGCGCTCCACGACGTCGCGATTCAGGCGACAGCCTTGGCCACCTGCTATGGGGAAGCTCTCCTGGATTCGTTACTTGGATGGCGGGGCGTCGGGGATGCCGAGGCCGGGGCCCGTCGAGCTGCTGGCGCGTCCTTTGGCGCCATCACCTTCCGACTCGCATCTCTCGATGCAGGGAAGGCGCTGCGCTACCTGAGTGACTCTGTGGACACAATTCTGCGACACGTGCGGAAATTACAGCCTCGTCAGGCCGAGGAGCGTCACGGCCTCTTGCTATGTCTCGCCGCGGTTTTTGACAAAGTTCCAGAAACGATTACGTTTCTTTGCGAGGGGATGCCCTGAATTCGGCCGAGCTGCGAGCTCTCGCGCAAAAGATGGTAACGAGCGTAGTCGAACTAGTTGGTAGTCTCAAGAGTTCAACATTACGCCGCCAAGAGCTAGCAGCGGAGGCGGCGAGTCGGCTCGTCATCTCACTGTTACCGATAATGCAGGTGGCCGTCATGTCCCGAGGAGAATGGCAAGATGCGTGGGCGGCATATTTAAGAACCGGACAAACTCTGATCGGAAAGCAGATCAGCCCAGATCTCTTGGCTATCATGGCGACCTTTGACAAAGAGGGCCTGGCGGAAAGAGAATCCCAGGATATAGTTTCAGCGTTAAAAGCGGTCTTGCCCTCTTGGCTAGACCTGGTGGACGAGAAGTCTGAAGACTTGGTAGAAATTATCCCCAGGGCGGCCCTTACGTACCTCATCCTGTCGCGGCCGAAGGACCGGGCGGCGCAAGTGGAGGAGTGGACAGACCTCGTTAGGGTGCACTCGTCCAAGCTACACGACGCAACCGGCTATTTCCACGCGGTAACGCTGGCCTACCCAATCTGCTCCGCCACGGGGATGGAGGGGATAAGTGCGGCGAATATGATTTGCGAGGCTTTGCTCCAAAGGTGGGCAACGGAGAAAGACTTGGAGATGAAGGCGTCACTTCTTAGCAGCTTAACGCAGAGCAACATCCTGCGCAAAGAGCCCCGGCGATTCCTCGGGGTGCTCATGGAGGGGCTAAACGATTACACGACGACATCTCGTGGTGATATCGGGGCATATCTACGTGGGGCCTCACTAAAGGCCGCGAGAGCCATGTGGCAGTCCATTGGCGACCCCGCACCTTCAGACGACCAGGAGTGGCTACAAAGGACGGTGTCTGCACTTTTTCTGAGCGTGCTGAGACTTGCGTCAGAGAAACTGGACAAGGTGCGAGGCGAGGCTCAGAAAACGCTGTCGCTCCTGGTACATCCTGAGTAAGCTTTTGCCCTGTTCCCTTTTTCTTCTGTAAGAAGGGCCTTGGCCTTGACCATGGCGTCGCAAATGTTGGAGACATTTCAGACTGACTCATCACCCGTAATACAGCTTTGCCCCCAGCTTCTTGCAACCCTCACCATCCTCTGCGAAATACCTGGGAACTCTGCTACGGATGTTGGAGGTTGACTGTCTCTTGCCTCTTGTTTCGGGGGTTGTGAAGGCTGACAGGTCGGCATGGATGCAAGAGTTACTGGCAGGCTACGTGACCTCTGCGGATTCGGGAAATGAAAACCTCGTTATCACAAGCCGGGAGATGCTGTGTGAGTTCTGTGAAGAGTCTCAGGAAAAGCTCGAGGCGGTCTGCGCAGCGCTTACCCAAAACCTGAGAGATCGGATCGGGCAAGACAGGCTCTTGATACCGACGCTGGAGATTATCTCATTCCTTCTGAATGTTGGGCTGATGCAGCAGTCTACAGAGGTAGACGCTCGCACACTTACCCTTCTCACTCAAAAGGCAAGCTACAAGAGTAGCAATGTGCGCAAACTTGAGACTTGCATCAAAGTATACGGTGGGGTGGCACGGCTGACAGGCGGGGAGGCGCAGGTGAGGATGAGGCGGCTAGAGGAGGGCGCCGCAGAATCTAAAAAGAGACTTGGGGCCCTACTATACCATCCCTGGCCGCGGGTGCGGACTTATGTTATCGATGAACTATGGAGCATACTTGAGGACGAAGGTATGGAGACGGGCCAGGGATCAAAGTTGAAGGGGATTGATTGGGGGAGGAGAAGAAGGAAGCTATCAAGGCTGTGGTTCACGAGCTGGGGCTTGCCTAAGGGAGAGACGGAGGCCCCCGGTCCCTACCGATAGGCAAGCTCTAGTCATATATCTATCTCTCTCTATATCCCCTCCAGAAAAAAAGAAGAAAAAACCTATTTGCTAGATTGTCATCGCAGTAGTCTGGCCATTGCCATCTTCCAGGCTTGTGTGGACTAACAAGAAGTCGGAAGCTGGTAGTTGGCCTCCGCCACCATCCCCATCACGCTTACAGCAGCCTTTTCTACGAGTCCTGAAGGGATTGAAAGGCGTTTTCCTAGTTTAGTTGCTTGGGAGGCAAGAAGGTTTTTAGAAGGAATCAATAATTTTGGTGAGAGAATCCCGTTGCGCCGTTTGGCGAACAGACATTCGCACTATTCCCCTAAGAGGGAAAGCGACTTTTGGGGTGGGCCAGGGATCACCTCTCAAGAGCGGAGCACGAGGATCGACCTCGCGTGGGAAGCCTGGATAACTTTGACGTCACGGCAAGGATGAAGCAGGGACGAGGGCAAGAGGGGTGGCTCGAGGCGGGAAATTCGGTTGTCGGAGAGCGCCTAGAATTTGACCATGGTGTTGCCACCAGTACATACAGTGCTGTGATGTCCATGTCTGGCTGATCGCTTGCTTGTCCGTCTACAACGTGATCTAATCAATTCAATCTATGCACAAGGCATATTGATGGCTGCTGAGCAGCATGTCTAGTAGATGCTGGGCTCCCATCGCATGAATCCATCCATGGATATGTCTTGATTGATGGATCGTTGCGGGGTAAACAGGTCAGAAGGGGAGGGCAGGGCGGCAGGAGGGGTGGGGTTGGAGGAGCAGGAGTCTAGAAGAGTCCGCCCGCCCAGCCAAAGGAACATCCATGTTAACTGTCAGAGTTGGTGAATTTGAACTCGAGGCAGGCAGTTTGAACATTGAATCAAATCCAATGGATCCATAGAATGGATCCACCGATTCAGGGTCTGAACTCGGTCTCAGGGTCTTGGGCTTGCGGGTGTAAGAGAAAGACCCCGCCACGTTCAAACTCGAAGTGTTGTGCCACACCCATGTCACGTTTTCCGAACATGATGAGACGAAAATCGATAGCTAGAGACCAAGGACAGAGCTAAAGGCTAAAGCCGAAGGACAAATGAAACAGCGCGGAAAGAGGCGAGTTGGTAAGAAATACACGACGGGGACAAAGTCAGACGGGTTCATCTCCCAAGAGTCATTGAGCTGGGCTTGGGTCCGTCCCAAGTGGATGGTGCGGCCCCCGTCCTACGTGGATGCCGTGGGAGTAGCACGCGGCATCAATGAAGCCGAAAGTTCTCCCCCAAGTTTGACCTAATAATGCTTCCCTTTCGGTGCTACTCGGGTATTAGCGTCACAGTCTCAAGCCCGTAGGGTCGTCGGCAGAAACGATGCCTTCTCGGGCAACGGTAGCATCCTACTCCATCTTGTGGGACCCATCTCGGGTCAGGTTCGTGGGATCATGTATATACAGTACTTGTACACCCGTTGGCCCGTTTCTGATGGAGGTGCGAATCCGCCCAGCGGTAATTCCTGGATATTTACCGACGAGGGTTTCGATTGGGGCACGGCGCCCTCACGCGGACCGAGGCGGGCGGACATCGATACACGTTCAACCAGTTGGGGCGAACGGGCAGCCAAGCCAGCCAAGACGTCCCTCTCGTTGTGGTGTGATCTTTTATGTCTCATTGCCGAGACGAAATATCCATTAGATGGGTGTATATGCTGGGGGTACCTCGGTATGGCTGCGGTGACGAGGCATCATCAAAGATTTCAATCTCCGATTGTTTAGGGGCCAAGAGGGTGGTGGTTAATACAGGATGGATCCATTCATGGATGTACGAAGTGTGCTGAGACTTAAACAAGCGGCGCTCGTGCTTGCTCGAGATCCTGCGTGAGTGTGAGATTTGATGCGACATGCAATGGATCCATCCATAGCACACATGTTGATATTGATGTCCACACACACAAATACACACGCGCGCACAACGAGCAGCGTCTGCGGAACTGGAAGGAGCCCAAGTCGAGTCTCTTGCACTTGCCTATTGCCCGTCTTGTCTTGTCCTTTCTTTCTTTCCTCTTGGGGTCACAGAGGACAAAAGCGGACAAGGGCTTCATCAACTACTACTTGATGAATCAAATGCCTTTTGACACGGAATCTTTGGGGTTTTGAGCCTAGGCCGATCCCGTTTCTCGACCTGCCTATCACGGTTGGGAGCTTGGTTTCACAAGTCATCACCATCACCCTCGCTGCCGCGCTCACTCTCGCTTTTCCGGGCCCGACGAGATAAGAAAGCGCGGCATGGCAGCATGTGGATCACCATCTCTGACTCTTTTCCTTTTTTCCCTTCTTTTTTGGCCTTGGGGTTTCACTCAAGGCTGTTTCGCTCCGACATCGAGGAGCGTGAATGCGTGCTTGCCTGTGACCGGGGCTGTTCTCGGTCTCCTTCTTAAAATGGAGAGGGTTTCGTTTTGCGATGTCACCCTTGATCCTGCCAATGAAATGACGCTGATACTGCAAGATTAGGATGAGGGTTGATTTATTAAAGATCAGCTCTTGGTTATTATTATGCAAACACATCTATTGCGATCATACTTTTTCTTCTCCTGTCTTTTCCTGTCTTTTCCTGTCTTTTCCTGTCTTTTCCATGGGCGTGCAAACAAACAGTGGCTCCATGCCCATATTGATCCACTTCATCCACCATTCAATGTTAACCCTTGAACCTCTTCTTCACCTACAGATACCGTTGTCTGCATAAGACCTACTATTGATTACAATGCATTTATGGGTGGATCTATGTACGTCCTCGAGACCCTTCACTCGACCAAACTGGGCTGATTGTGTCTTGCAGCTCCCTTTTGTAGATTAATTGAACTGGGGGATATTATGTGACCCGTAGTAAAGGTATAGATCCATCAATGGTACGGGGTGCTGGATCTGAAAAACCCCTTGGCGGCAGTCTCAAAATGGTTGGAGGACGGTTGCAAGCCTAGAACCGTTGCAAAAGGAAACAACGGTTTCAGGACCCTTCGCTTTATTACAACTGTTGATATCTTTGCAACTGTTGATATCTCTGCAACGGTTGATATCTCTCACTCACCTTTCTGGTCACCCTTTATATACCAAAATATGGTCCTTTCCCTCTTGATCGCGATGCCGTAGCTGTAACTTGTAAAATCGTAGATGTAATCGTAATGTAACAGAGAACTATAGTTCGAACCGTAGATGACGCCTGGATTTTTCTATAATAAGGAAAAAAAAAAAAAACGAAGGTGAACGCCCCCTATATAAGGATGATTATCTATATAAGAAGATAGATATCCTGATATAGTGATTTGCATTTTGCTTGCAATGGTTGGAATTCTGCAACTGTTGCAGAATTCCAACCGTTTTTTCGCGTGGTTTGACGGCAAGTAGGATTTGCAGCGGTTGCGATAAATGAACCGTCGATAGACCGTACAGACATCTCCGCACCCCGTACCATTGATCCACCATAGATGGATGGATGGGCAAAGGCATGGGCATGCCACACTCAATATTTGGGTGACGGCTTGCAGGCCGCATCGAAGACCAACCACCCTGCGACAAACCCCCAATGTTCCCCATCGTTCCTTCCTCGATGACTTGGGGGTTGGCTGGCCCTCGATTGATCTCTGTTGCGATCAATTCTCCAATTCCCATTGCTCTTGCCTACCGCTTTCGCCTCTTGTTTCCCCCTCTACTGGTGCTTTCAGGATACTGTGCTCTATTCAATCTTCATTTTCCTAGTGCTCTTTTTGTAACCTCTTCTCCTCTTATCATTCATTGATCCTTCTCTTCCGCCCGCTCCCCCTTGTCGCCTCTCTCGCCTCGCTTACACGATATATTCTACAAGCTGGATCCTCACCAATTATCCTGCAGGCGGGAAGGATCAAGAGGCTGTGTGCAGCCTTGAAAGGGAACATTGTATTCACTTAACCTCTCCGCTCTCTGCTGTCAGCCAAGTCCACCGCCACCCGAGCCGCGAACCCGAGACCCAGACTTTGGCTTCCAGTTCCCACCTCTGTTGCTGTGATGGGCACGCCCCCGGCTTACCCTCCTTGCCCTCGCTCGATGCTATCCTAGATTTTTGGGTCTTATTACGTCGTGTGCTCCTTCACTACCCGCCCCGTTTCTGGGCTTCTCCACACCCCCGCCCCCTTCTTCCACCCTTCCACCCTTCCGCCCTTCCAACGCTATCAATTGATCTGACAAGCATTGAGCCCACCATCATCCTGCTTGCTGGTCTGGGCTGCGGTATTTCCACATAGAGGCCATACATCCCGTTTTTCCCTCTCGGCCATTTGTTCCCTTTCCTTTTAGTTTTCGCTTTTACTTTTCTTTATCCTACCCTCCCTCCCCAATCCTCATTTTTCTTGCGCCTTCTTCGTTGTTTCACGTCCTGCACTTGTCTCTCCTGTGTGAACGTGGGCTGAACTATCGATTGAATATAAACATCATCGTACATCTTCGACGCCGATCTAGCCCACAAGCGACGCCGCCTTCTCAGCCAAGTCGTACAAGAGTGCCTTGCCTTGTCTTGACTTGACTGACCTATCCTATCCGCCCTCATCCTCCCCACCACAGTCAGAGTGATTCCGACTCAACCCCACATATCCGGTGGCATATGAGTTGAAAAGCGGCCTTGTCTTGCTGCTCCAAGGTCCACCCCAAGTGCCACTAATACATCTGGGTCCTGCAAGATCCGGCATCGGTGGATCTATTGCGGAAAAGAGAGATAAGGAAAAGGGAGAAAGGACGGTAAAAGGGAAAAAGGGAAAAGAAAAAGGAACCACTAACACCGGATCTTTCGCTCCATTCTTTTTCTGGACCTGCACCTTCAGCACCGATACTTTTAAAGTCTTTGACCAAGCGCCGCATCTTTTCTTCGCTCTTCCTCTCTTTCGGTTTTTTGTTCCTCGTCGGCCTAATTGGGGCTTTTCGGGCTGACATCTTCGACAAGCCTTGGCTCCAAGTCAACTCACTGTCACTGGTCCCCTCCAAAGCGTAGCACGCCGATCTCCTAACGCCGCTCTCCTCCAGCTCCTTGCCATCGAAGCTCCAACCAGGTCTCTTCCCTTATCGACCATCGCATCACGACCATGACTTGAGCTAGAAGCTCGTGGCTGATGCCGATACTCATCGAGCGCAATCTTCTTCTGTTGGCATCTTTGGCACCTTCCCAGACGACTATTGAAAGTCTGCCAACGTCCGAGTAACCCAGGGCACGGAAGCCACCCGTCGTTCCAACCACTTCCTTACGAAAAACAAGCCAACCATGGCTCTGTATTCGGACCCCCACCACTCCGGCCCTTTGACCAGGACAAGCCCACGCTTCTCGTCTGCTGGTGGATCACCATTTTCTGCGCCGTCATCATCGTGGCCCGCGTGCTCGGCCGCTTCCTTCGTACCGAGAAGCTCTTCCGCGAGGACAAGACGGCTGCCCTCGCCCTCATCCCGCTCTTCCTGCGCATGGGATGCGTTCACTACGTCCTCCTACACGGCACCAACAATGCCGACTTTACCGGTGTCGAGTTATCCCCTGAAGAACTGAAGCAAAGTCTATCGCCAGCGGCCTCGTGCTAGCCAGCCGCGTGCTCTACGCCTCAACGTAAGGTTTCCCCACACTCATTTTGTCCCCATCCTTCCGCTTCCTTTTTCTTATTCCCTTCTACACGTCTTCCCTCCAGACTAGAATGTACTAGTTTGAAACTCTGCTTTGCGCCACCACGTTGCAGGAGGGAGGATGTGGGGACTCGAGAGCACCTCAACCCGACCTACAGAGTTCCCGTGTGATCAATATTCCGCCTTTCTGCCCCCTTGTGTTGCGTTACCTAGACGAATCTCCAAACTTTCGGCCTCTGTACGGTGTCGATGAGACTAACTCCGGGTTGCACTACTTGTAGGCTTTGCATATTCAAAATCACCATCGTCGAGTTCTTCAAGCGCCTCACAGATGTAACATGGGAGCGCTCCTATCGCCGGGCTCTAAATTATATCTGGGGCGCCATCATCCTCACCTTTATCGCCGTCGTCATCAGCGACCTTGCCGAGTGCCGCCCGTTCCCTCACTACTGGCAGGTCCTACCAGACCCTGGACCCCAATGCCGCCAGGGCTACGCGCAGCTCTTGACCTTTGCCGTGTGCAATGTCCTCACGGATTTGCTGCTCGTGTTCTTCCCCATTCCCATCATCCTTCGGAGTGCCATGCCCGCCAAACGCAAGATTCAACTTGTGCTACTCTTCTCACTTAATCTATCAGTCGTGGCGACCACCGTTTACCGCGTGCCGCACATCATCGAGAAGCACGGCAGCCAACAGTATCGATCGCTCCTCGCATCCGTAGAGCTTCTCTTCGCCACGTCCGCCGCAAACGCCCTCGTACTCGGCTCATTTGTGCGCGACCGTGGCGTCAAGAAGCAGAAATGGCGCTACGACTCGGAAGACGTCGAGTCCACCGAATACGGCCGCCGCCGCTCGTCCGACCGCTCCTCTCACCCTCGCCGCCCAACTCTCCAGCGTCACTGGGGCAGCGACGAAGATCTCGTGCGCGAATTAGGGCTGGGCGTGAAACCGGAGCTTCGCAATTTCCCCGATCTGCCCCCGCTCTCGTCCGAGGTTAGCCCCCAGTTCTCTCCCGCGCCCCTCGCGAAGCGCCCTTTAGAAAATTTGGGCATGGACGACTGGCGGTTCCCGACAGACGGGAGCGGAGCACATAGAGACGGGAGGAGTGACGATCCTCTAGCGGTGCTTTCGGAGCAACAGGAACCGCCTACGCACGCTGCCTCGCCCTCCTCTGCCAACACGTCCCGCCGACCTTCGCTCGCGACCTCGAAACAAACACTTGCGTTCTTTGATGTCGGTGGCTTGCTCGACGACGACCCGCCTCATGGGGGTGTATCGGCGAATGGCCGTCGCGATTGGTCCAACGCCGGCGCCACTTCGAGAGCGTTGCGCGACCGTCAGAGGCAGCTCTCAGAGCCCTCGGCACTCGCAGTTTCCGGCCGGCGTGGATCCGCCGCCCTTCTCCAGGACCTCGGAGGCCTCTTCTCTCTCCCCTCTCAGTCGAGCATCTCGAGAAGCCTAACTGGATCAACTACGGTCCAGGCCCAACCTCGAAACCGGTCCGTTGCCGGATCCGAGATGTTTCCCCGGATGAAGGACCGGAGCTACGGGATGTTGGGGGCTTGGCCCGATAATCATTTCTCTACGGTTCTCCCCTTAGCCCACATGATTCATGAACTTTCTAGTTTACTTTACCCTGTTTTTTTTTTTTCTTTTTTTTTTTTTTCCCTTTCTATCTCTCTGCCATTTTGCTGGATGACCTGGCTCTAGGGACGACGATGTAATGACTCTACTGGTTGTTTTCTTTTTCTTTCCTTTTGACGATTCATGAGACTTGGATATGATGGGGACTAGCAAGGATGCTGCCACGGCGGCCTAATAGATTGGGCGGTGGTTCTTCCTGGAGGAGTCGGTGGGTTTGGTTTTTGGTTTCTCGACATGGCGTTCTACTACTAGGTACAGACGGGGAGGGGGAGCAGGCCATCAAATCAGCCTTGGTGCGGACCGATAGCGACGAGAGATGTCACCTTTCTTAGTTTGGGTTTACTTGGTGGGGTGGTTCATTATACCCGGCTCGAAAGCCACCTTCTTTTAGTTGTTTTTAAGCACAAGATCTTACAAAGTTTCCTGAGGATTCCTGCCGCTCCCTTTTGTGTAATGTGGTGTTGCTCGGCCGCTCGTGGTATCTTGATGCTTTGGTGGGGATGAGGGGCAAAACGGAGCACTGCATATCACGGCGTATTCGCAACACCCCCTGTTTTACTCGCCTGTAGGTGTTGGCTCATTACTATCACATTTTTCTACATATCGAAAGCACCTCCCACGAAGTGGGAGGCTAAATTTCTCATGATGTCCCACCGAGCCAGGCGGCATCTCGAAAAAGAAGTGGGTGAGAGAAACAAAACAATCAAGGTAGGCCGGTGAAACCAAAAGTAGAAAAAATGTGGAAAATCAATTCAACTCCGTACGTCCAAGTTTAGGGAAGAAGCTTCAAGTGATGGGGGCCGTGCCGCAAACAGAAAGGCGCCGGGCTAAGAAAGAAGAGATATTGTAGTGTGTGTGTGTGTGTGTGTTTAATCCCCGTCATCCATGCAAATGCCACAAAAGAAAAAGGAAAAGAAAAAAAAAGGACCAAAGACGAGGAAAGTAACCAGAAGATATCCGAACAATCTAGAACCCCCATAGTGCCCCCTCTTTACTCCGGATCAACGATAGCAAGGCCCATCACCTTATACGCAAAGCCTGTACGAGGCGTACCGACCGGCCGTCTCCGAGCTCCTGATAATTTTGACAACCTGGCCCCTCCTAAGGCCAAGGTAACGAGCGACGGGATCCTTTTGGAGGATCCTAGGAAGCTGGGTCTCCTTCAGCCTGTAGCGTTTGAGAAGGGCAGTCTTCTCTTCCTTGGAGAGGAGAACGTGGCGGGGCACGAGCTCGTGGTGGGTGATGTTGACGAGGAGATCCTCTTCGATGAAGCACTCGAGCTGGGCGTAGCTCTCGGCGGCGGCGATAAATTTGCGGGCCGCCGGAGTGAGGGGCACGCGGGTGATGAGAATCCCCACGTGGGCGTGCTGGCCGACGACGGTATGGATAAAGTCCTTGACCTGCGACACGCCCATGTTGTCGGACGAGATGAACTGGACAAAGATGGTGCCGCACTCGGGTTCCGGATTGGGTTTCTCGGGCGTCGCGGGCGGCGTGTACTTTCGAAGCATGGCATCGCTGGGTCGGGCGGAGAACTGGAGGAGCTGGCGGCTATCGTTTGGGGGAAAAGGGAGAGAAAAGAAAAAAGTGTCAGCCCACATGGGAATCTTTGGTTTCTGTTTTTCTGGCCGCGCCGGGGTGCGCCGGGGTCAGATGGGGTCAAGTACGTACACAATCTGGCCACTCTGGTCGACAAACTTGCTGCGGAACTGGTTTAAGCTGATCTTGACCTCGTCCTCGGCGAGCTCGTACTCCTAAAGAAGCGCGCACGCTCCGGTTAGTCACCTTCGACCCTTGGATAGAAGTGAGACGGGGGTAGGCGCTCCGTACCCTATCCGAGACCATCTCCATAATGGTCCGGTACACGCGCCACATGCGAGTGACCTCCTTGTCGGAGGCGCGCAGCAGTTGAGGCTCGTCAGACATGGTGATGTTGGGCGCGAGGAATGGCAAGGTTACGGGCGGCGATCGATGCTCTCGGTGAGCCAAAGGGGGAAGGGGGAGATTCTGGACGGTTTCACTCGGGGTTGTGATAATTATCGGTCCTAGGCCGTTGGTAGCTGGAAGAGTACAGGCGCGGGGGTGGGGGAGGCGGAAAGAGAAATTTGGAGGGCTGGGGTGAGCAAATGGATGAATGGCGTTCTCGAAAAGCCTGGATGTCGTCCAACCGCAGAGAACGCGAAAGAAAAAAACTTGGGAGCAGCTCAGCCTTGCGGGTCCGTGCACCAGGCGGTTGACTGACGACACAAGAGCACCGCCAAAATTTGGTGGGGGTAAGTGGGCAGAATTCAACTTGAGGTTTTGCGGGTGGTCGCTGAGTGAGGGTCACGTGTGGCACAGTGCATCAACAGCACTGAGAGCTCGATAAAAGAGATCCATTTGATTGACCTGTCCCCCAAGTCCCCTCCAACGCCCACTGAGAGTAACTTGAACCGGTGGAGTGGTCGCAGTGATGGCCTGCCCCACTCGAACACTCGAGACAAGGACACCCTCCATTTGATGGCTCGAGATCCGTAAAAAGTGACACAAGCTGGCTGGCACGGCACATGTGTCAAAGTTTCTCAGCAGCCAGAGGGGACCATTTAGATGTTCTCAGCTAGTGTCTCCAGGTGGATCAATATCGACTTCAAAGCAAAACGACGCTCTGAAAAAGGAGAAGCTAGAGCCGGACTCGGGCCCATTCTGTCTCCCATTTATCTACCTTCTCAGTATTTCAACGTCTCGGAATGCGGTTGTCAATTGGGCCAATCTGATTTGTTTGGTGTTGTAAGATTTATGGGGAAGGGGAAACGTCAACTCGTGTCCACGTCGTGGTTACTGCCCTAGTCAACAGCTCAGTACTCAATCAAATTCATTGAGTTCACATGCTGGGCTAGCGCCACTGTGACACCGGATCAACAGCTCTCGAGCTACACTAGTACTTCGTAGTTAGCAAGATTACTCTGAAAGATCCATCTCGAAACAAAAGGGGAGCAAAATAGCCTCTCCCCACCCCCACCTAGCAATCTGGCTATCAAGAGAAGAGGCATTTGTTCAGTCTAACCAGCGCAGCAAATCTTTTGATTGCTGGTTGGGGAGTGGCCGGCTCTCAACCGGCACCGCTCTTCTCTCAGTTGTGTGCACAGTCCAAGGATCGTTGGTACACCGATGGCCGGGGGCGATTTCAGGCCAATGATCCATTGGGATTTTTTTGGGCAGCGGGACGGCGCAACATGGGATCCATGCTGGTGAAGCTATCGAGCCCTGGACAGGTACTTTTTCACGCACATGCCCAGCGCAAAGTGACCTGGCAGCTGGGACGCCAGGGTTCCTGAGCTTCGCACTAATCTCAAAATGTACCTTGGCCCCAACACCTGCCACTAAAAATTGGGCGCAGATATTCTCAATAATTTTTCTTCTTTGGTGTTGACCTCCGACAGCCATCTCAGAGGGTCCGCTTGCCAACGACAGGCCCGCATAGATCAATCGAGAAGAGACCACCTCAGCTGTTTCCCCCAACACCAATCTCTGCTCCAGTCCCGAGTATTGGAGCTGTAGCGCCCTTGGGCGAGTCTCTGGGGAAACAGCACTTGAGCACTTGGGGGACATGTACCTTTTCTTTCCATTGACCTGTTCCTTCCTCCTATTACATCCACCCCAAGGTTTCTTCCACTTCCCGCGGCAATAAGAACACGCCGTCTGTCTTGCTCCCTGTACATGTAAAAGTAGCCAAGCCTCACCCTCTCCCTTCCCGACCGATCATCCTTTCCAAGGTCCAGTCGGTCTCCTGCTTGAACCTGGCTATCTTGCAGGTTCATCCCTCTCCATCCACCATCTTCCAAACTTTCTCCATCAACCTTCCCCTCCTCTAACCCCCACCACCCTTCCCATCCACACAATGGCCACCGACGCCCCCAAGGCCAACGGCGACGCCGCCCCCGCTGCCGAAAAGTTGACCAAGCCTGCGAGGCCCGACGATGACCTCTTCAAGAAGTCTCTCGAAGCTGCCGAGAAGGAGCACAAGGCCGTGATGGCCAAGTACGTATGTTTTTAGCCCACCCCGCCTCGCCCCTGCGTCCTCTCGGCGCTACCGTTGAGTTGAGTCTTGTGGCCCGTCCATGCCACCATGTTGGCACCGAAGTTAACGCCACAACGCCCACTTCTTGTAGAATGCGATCAAGGAGAAGATCGAGCTCGCCCAGCCCAACAAGAGCAAGGACCAACCCTCCCCTCCCAGAAGCGCCGCCAGGAACTCATCTCGCAGCTCAACGAGATCCGCCAGAAGCAAGCCGGATTCAAGAATGCTCGTGCCTCCAAGATGGACCAGATCAAACGCCTCGACGAGCAGCTTAAGAGCCGCATCGCCGAACAGAAGACGGCCCGCACCCGCGTTCCCTACAAGGGTCTCGACGATCTCGACCGCCAGATTGCCGACCTCGAGCGCAAGGTCGATTCCGGCACTCTCAAGATTGTCGATGAAAAGAAGGCTCTTAGCGACATCTCTTCCATGAAGAAGATGCGCAAGAGCTTTGCCGGCTTCGACGACGCCCAGAAGCAGATTGACCAGCTCAAGGCCAAGATCAAGGAGATTAAGGACACCCAGGAGGATCCCGAGCAGAAGGCTCTCTCTGAAAACTACAACAAACTCCAGAAGGAGCTGGACGAGATCAAGGCCCAGTCCGACGAGGCTTACAAGAGCCTTGGTTCCCTTCGTGATGAGAGGACGAAGCTCCAGGCTGAGCAGCAGGAGAAGTTCCAGGCCATCCGCAAGATCAAGGACGACTACTACAACCAGAAGCGTGCCTTCTCCCAGTTTGAGAAGGACGCTCGTGACAAGGCCAGGGAGAGGCAGCGTGCCGAGCGTGACCGCATCGTCAAGGAGCGCAAGAAGGCCGACGCCGAGAGGCTTCTGCAGGAGGCTTCCGACCCCGCCTTCCTCGAAGAGATCCGCCGCGCCAACAGTCTCCTCCGTTTCCTCGACCCCAGCGCGGCCCCCGCGGAGAAGGCCCCGCTTCTCGCCGAGAGCGGGCTTGCCGCCCAAGCTCAGCGCAAGGTCGACGACGCTGGCCTCAAGGGCATGAAGTTGGTCAAGAAGGAGGACCGAGAGGACGAGTACTTGCCTGCCGTTAAGAAGGGAAAGAAGGGCAAGAAGGGTGGCGCCCCGAGTCTGCCGCCAAGACTTTCAACTGCCCTCCCTCCGTCGTCGAGGACTGCTCTTACCTCGGTCTTGACCCCCATGAGCGCCGCCGAGGTCCCCGATGTAATCGAAAAGGTCCAGGCTAAGCTCAACGACTGGAAGGCCAACCAAGCGGCCCAGACCCAGAAGGTATGTTTGGTTTTTCTTGCTGCGATGTTTCAAGCTAGCTTCGAGGATAGAAAAAGAATGCTAACTGTAGGCCCACCGAACAGAACGTTGAGAAGGCCAAGAAGGAGATTGCCCGTCTCGAGGCTGAGGAAGCCGCCGAGGCCGACGGCGATGCCAAGGTGGAGAAGCTAGCTTCTGACCTTGAGGCTACCGCTGTTAAAGAGTAACTTTATCCTCGACTGTTTTCGGATATGCCTCTACCATATCTTGACGTACACTTTGCGCCGCAATGGCCACCCTACTCGTCACCGGTGGCTCGCTGCCACGGCTAGGCCAGGGTGGTCAGCAGTTTCTAATCAAAACGATGCATGAGTGAATAGGATGGGTGTGTGTGTGTGTGTGCGTGTGTTTGTGTGTTTGCTATCTGGGAAAGGGAGCTGGTTGGAGTTGCTCGCCTTGCTGCTTATGCCACTGGCGACGGGCGGACTGGGTTACAAAGAGAAGGCAGGCATTTTCTTTTTGTTCCTTTTTGTTTTTTTCCTATCTTTTTGACTGTTCGTCAACTGTCATATATAGGGACATCCTGGATTCCAAAAGAGAAAAATCGGGAGCGAGAGAGACGAAAGAAAAACATTCCCAAAAGCCAATCTATTTGATGATTAACGCAGCTAATACTTGCCATTCTTTTGCCAACATCTTCACCTTGGTGTTTCGCGTTTCTCCCTCTTTTTCCATCCCTGCTGCCACAACTCGATGTAGCCCCACGACTGCCAATCTCTGCAATAGATCCATATCATGTCTTATACACCAAGACTGGCAGCCTCACCACCACCATGGATAGATACCCATCTTCACCATTTTTATGAGAACTCGCGTAGACAGGGAAGCGGGAAGGCAGCAATACTCTAGACCCCAAAGTCAAAGTGAGTGTCCATCTAGGGTAGCGAATCCAGACCTCTGAACCCTCGTGTCATCTTGCGTTGATAGTTTCACCCCGGATCGGGCTCGGATGCGTTCCTATCAACTCCCCGCCCAACATACATAGGGCCCCTACGCCCTATGCCCTACGTTCAAACGTGCCGGTCGTCTTGTCTACTCTCTTACTGGCTCTACCCTACTTTGTACCCGTAGCACATTTTTCGAGGCCCTGCTTTGATTCTCTTCTCAGTCTTTCACTCTCCTCCCTGGGGGCCTAAGAGTCAGAATCAAACAGAGGGTACGAATCGAGATCAGGGTCAAAGACTTGATGCAAAAGGTAGAGAGTATATGTGTTTTGAATTTGTATTATAATCTGTTTTTCCTTTCCCTTTGTGCACCTGCTAAGCCTGACAAACTGTGTGTGTGTGTGTGTGTGTGTGTGTGTGTGTGTGTGTGTGTGTGTGTATAAACAGAGAGAAATGGCAGCGGGTATTTCGCGATACAAAGAAAAGAAAAAGCCGGCAAGAGACATCCAAACATCCTGTATCCACCCGCCATCCAAGCACAAGTAACCGTCGGGGCGATGATTCCAGAGCCAGGAGCTCCCAAGGCTCAGGGCTGGGGGCTAAAGAACGGGCGGTGGCTGCTCGTCGCCATCGGCGAGGTTGAGGCAAGTCGCGGCCCGAAGCATGACCCGTTCCAGTATTTGCCTTGCCAATAGATGGAAAGAAATACATCAAAAGTGATTGTATTCAAGATCCATGGTGTCTCATCGTACGCGCCCCGACCTCGCTGGCTTGAATTTTTTTATCTATACACACCCCAATGCTCGACAATCTGGTTAGTTTCAATATATAAGGACAGAAGAAAGTGCTGGTTTGGGTGCCGTGTCCGTGGCAGCTTGCCAACGTGCCCCCGGATGCGTCCATCCGATTTTCAAGCTACGTCCGGGTATGCGGGAGATGCTGATTCAGTGCACCCCGGGCTCCCGCCGTTCAACCAAGTCTGGAGCCTTTTTGCGGCACGGAAGAGACTGGATTCCTGAAGCCCCGTCACAAGATGAGCTAAATGGGTAGACGCATGTTCGTTTGTCATGGTCATAATCAAGGTAAAAGAGTTTGGGGCAAAATGTCGATTGTGTAAATGGTGAAAAAAAAAAAAAGAAAGGCGCTGAGAAAAACACCTTGAAAAAGAGGACCCGCCAGATTGAAGATTGAAGAAGTTCATAAAAAAGACCGTGACCAAAGATCCCTTAATGCTCATGCCGCTCAAGTCTCAAGACAGCCGTAAAATAAGAACAACTAATCGGTAACTCCTGAAAAGCCCATTCGCAATGATGCCCGAGGTCATAACGTCGTGAATAGATCGAGAAGAGTTGAAGTGTAGGGCAGCGGGAGAGAAGACCCAAAAGAAAGGGAAATGAGGAAAGGGGAAGACCGAAGGAACCAATAAAGGCAAGGTAAACCAAGATAATAATAGTTTGGTGAGTCGGGTTTTCGTGGCTATATTCGATTCGAGAGTAGAGAGGTGCCGTAGCAACGGAAAGACGGAAAGACGGAGACAAAAAAGTTTGCCTGATGGAGTAAGAAACCGTGCTGTTTACCACCGGCTTCCGCTTTACCACATGCTTCCCGGGGAGGGTAGTATGTGGATGGGGGAGGCGGGCCACGGTAGCTATTCCGGTTTGTCCGTGGGGCAGGCGTCCTCCGGCCGAGAGGGGGCATGGGCGGGGAGATACTCGGGCGGGCGGGAGGTGCTCAGGTACATGGTAGCCTCCCGCAATCGTTGGAGGAGGAGGGGGCGACGAGGGGTTTTCGACCACCGCCCATGGCGCTCAGAGGAGGGTCTTTGATGGTAGGGTGATCCTCTGGTGGGAGGGTGAGTTCGACGAGGCCGAAGAAGTACTCGAGCACTTCCGGGTACCGCTGGACGCTGCTCTTCCAGTCTTCGTCGATTCCTCGCTTGAGTGCCTGCTGGGCCTCGGCGATCTGACCCGGGTGAGGCGGGGAGCGGTAGTAGTGAAAGGCAGATCGCGATATGGCTTCCATGTGCTCGGTATGGGCGGCCTTCCTCCTCTCGGACAGCATGTTGAAATACTCTAGGATGTAGTCCTGAGCATGGCCTCTGGCCCATTCACTACACAGAGCGGTAAGAATCAAAGCTCCCGACAAGATAACGTTGAAGATGACCAAGCAAAAGGTATGAAGCGCTACTTACCGAATTTGCTGATACACAGACTGCATCATGCGGCGCTCGGCTTGGGTGATGGCGGTCTCCAACGCTTTTGCCTCACAATCACAACGGAGGCTAGCGGCGCCGCTGCATATAGCACAGTCCGGATCCATCCTTATTAACGGGGTGTGAGACTTCCGGGACTTGGATTTACGTGGTTGTTTTATTTCACTGGCAAACATCTTAGCGGTTTGTGGCCGGTACGTTATTGATGGTAACGAGGGGTATCGTTGAGGGTCAGGGTGGAGGAGGTGGCTCGGGGGCCGTGGAGAGGACGACGTAGCCGCCGTACTCCCTCCTTCCTTGTCGTTATCGTAGGGAACAGAGGGATAGCAGAAGGGGGCAAAAGGGGCGGTAGAGGTATGAGGGCGGAGGGCAAGACTCGGGGACAAGCCAGATATCGATGTGGTAATGTACACAAAAAACGAGAAGAAAAAACGAAAAGGAAGAAGAAAAGCCGAGATGGCAGGCGCCGTCAAGGCGCAAGGTGAATCGAGATTACAGCGGGAACGAGAAGGACAAAATGATGATATTCATTACTTTCCCGGGACCCGGTGAGGGTCGCATAGGAAGAGTGGAACAGATGAAGGCGGAATTACCCAAGTCCTGACACGCAAAATAGTCTTTGCTTGCAGTGTAGGCACCTTGCGAACGATGGGGGATAGAGAGGGGGAAAGGCAAGCAAAGGTAGGGGAGAGAGGAGGCACGAGATCAAGGAAAGACGGGTTCAAGAGACTAACCGGGCTTAAAAGGAACTCTCTCGCGCGCAGGGCCGAGATGGGAGTTGCAGTTGGGCCCCAAAAGAGGATAAATCACCTCCAGAGGCAAGAGATGTCGCAGGATGAAGGATACAAGATGCGAGGAAAAGTGGCCAGTCGTGGACTCGGCTTCTAATGTATCCTGCACGAGGGGCAGATTAGAGAAGCAGGTGCGAGCCACAGAGACGCGGCGGTCTTGCCTAGGTTGCAAATAACAGAGAAACAGCGAATGTCTTGGTGTAGGTTGGTAGGTCGATGGTACGTAGCTCGGTCGTGTGGTGTGTGTGGTGGCTAGTAAAGAGTAGCGACGGGGAAAGTGAGGAGCAAGTCCGGCGCCGGGAGATGGAAGAGGAGGGGGTAAGCTAAGAAAAAAAATAAAGGGAAAAGAACCCAAAAAAGGAACCCCGAATTGAACCACTGGGGGATCTGCTAAAGAAAGAAAAAAAAAAGTGGTGATCGAGACCCCAAGGAGGACCGGGGCAACGAGAAGTAGAGAGGGGCCAAGACAGAGATGGCAAGACGGGAGATGCTCTGTTGACCTTGAACCGATGCCTAGCGTGAGCGTGGGCAGGAATGCAGCAGGAGCGGGATCCGCCTACTTGCTGTCGACACGAGAGGTTAACCTGGGAGCTACGGGAGTGGGAGTGGGACGCGGACCACGACACAAGACGGAGAGGATGGGTCGAGGGAGAATGCGAGACGAGGAGGAAAAAATGCGGGCACGGCGAGACGCAGGCTCCGCAAAGTGTGTAAGGCAGAAGGGGGTATCAATGCCGTGATGCGCGGGAGAGGCAAGATAGCAAGTCGCTCGGGAGGCGAGAGAGGCGAGAGAGGCAGAGAGGGAGAGAAGACGAAGAGGGAGGAAGAGAGGTGCGAACAGCAGAGGAACGCAGTACTCGAGGGGAAAGGTCGGCGATGCGAAATGGGTAGTAGAGATTGGCCCCAGATTGGATTGGCAGAAAGCAGCCGACGCAGCTTATCCAAGCCGATGTCGTGGCTCGAATGCAAGCTTTCTGGCTCATGCAAGCAACGAGGCGCTGGCCCAATGGCAAGACGAGGAGGTTGAGGGGGTCTGGTGGGTGTCTTTTTGTGGAGGCCCGACCAGAAGTCGCCAATGGCACCCGGATCAAGCGAGACCCGACTAGCGTTATGTGTGTGTTTGTTTGAAAGGGCAGATGCGAATGCTGGAAGGGGTTGAAGAGGGAGGAGGGGTCCGGTGACTGAGTGGTTGGAAGCGAGAAGCACAGAAGCAAGAAGCAATATTTAGTGCGCGGGGTGAGGCCAGTAACGGAGACTGGGCGAAAAGTGAGACGAGACGGGAAAAGAGGAGACGGGGGAGGAGAGGAAGAGAGGCAAAGAGCGAGTGGGGGCGAGGAAGTAGACGGAGAGAGACAGGGAGAGGCACAGGGAGAGGCACAGGGAGAGGCACAGGGAGAGAGGTAGAGGGTGATGGAGAGGGCGACAGAGAGACAGGGAGAGAGAGAGAAGGAAAAGGCCACAGAGAACGAGACCCCGGATCATACGTACTGAATCCAACGGAGAAAGAGAGATTGAACGGTTGGCACCGAGAAGCTTCCGGTACGACCCGGAGATCACAGCACTTTGAGTCCGAGAAAAATTTACCAAGGGCAAGGGGGAACGGCGGATTCTTATTTGGCTAATAGGGCAAGCGTTGCAGCAGTAGTTGCAGTTGGGAGGGCAAAACTGGGGATCATCTTCCGCAAAACAGCATCCAATCGGGAATTGTTGACCCTGGAACAGCTTCAAATGGTGGTAGGCTCTGAAGGGGGTTTCTCTTTTCTTCAATTTTTTTCTTGTCCTTTTCGGGGCCTCGACCGGTTTTTAAGGGTCAGACGGGCGGGGAAAAGGCACAAGTTTTATTCGCGGGGTTGGCCACGCCGGCGACGGTGTAGTGCAGCCCTCAGCTGGTGGAGTTGGGGGAAGGGGTTGAGAAGACAAGATTGAATTGTGGCAGCACCAGACAGCACGGCTTGAGGAATTACCAGTCTAGATATGGATCCGGGGATCCAGGGACGTAGACCTATACTTGTAGGTCAGCTAGCTCCCAGATATCGCTCTAGAGCATATAGGCTACCGGCGCAATTCGAACCTACCATCATCCATAGATGGCTCACTTGCTCGTGGCTAGAACGGGATCGGATAATCCAGCCATCCATAGATGGATGCGTTTACTCTGAGAATCCGTCGTCATATCCATCCGGGACATTAGATTTGATGTACTCTTTTTGCTCTTGAAAACGAATCAAATGAGCTCCTAAGACCGCAAGGACTCCACGAAAAACTGGCCTCAATTGGAGCTTAGGCCCGAGATCTGGGAGGTCTGGGGTCCGGTTCGGTCTGTGGTCTTGATCTTGATCATTGAACGAGCCCTAGACCCATGGACAGATGGGCAGACGGCTCACATGAATCAATGGGTTGATGGATCCATTTCATTCATACAATTCATCCATTAGGTCTGTCCTTCCACAATATCCAGGGCCGCTACATTGTTGAGGGGGCCGGTCTCTTGGTACAGATCAGAGTAGCTGAGGCAGGGGGTCACGCTTTCCATGTTCCAAATCGCGTTCCGCTCAGCTCGGGGGACGCTCACTGGCTCTTCGTAGCAGACTTCACCCACAGCCGTGACGCGGTTGCCCCGTCGGGATTGTACTGCTAGTTTCGGTACACCCTACTAGTGTCACCGGTGTACCTCGGTATGGTGTATATATATCGATATACAACGAGGGAGGGCTTGCCCTTCTTGAGACATTATGCCGACGTACCTGGGTGAGCACGCGCACGCGGGCAGGTTGTCACGGCGAGCATGTGGCAAGCAGAAATGCGGCGGGGCCAGGGCAGGGCAGGGCAGGGGCGGGCATGCGTTGTGCCTCTCCTGTCCAGTGCTGGGGACGAGAGGAACTGGCGATTTGATGAACGGAGCCGACAACAACGATAACGACAGCGACAACGACAGCAACGATGACAACGACAACGGCCCGGCCTCGGCAGGAGCCAGCCAGCGGCGACCAGCGAAGGACGGGGGCAATAATAATCTAGCACATGGAGCTCCCTTAGCACGGGACCCCGAAATGCGTCAATCAAGTGAACTTGAAGAGATCCTTAACTCTGACCGATGCTGTCAACGTTGAACCAGCGGCGAGCTTGCAAAGCCCGAGCCAGTGGGGAGAGGAGGGGGTTGGGGGCTTGGGGGTAGGAAAAGTCCATGCGGTGGAGTGGACATGCCACCCGGTCCACGGTGCCTGCCTCTTCTAATAGCTAGTGTATGAACGGGTGACCCGCTTCTCCACGGATGCGGTGCGAGAGGGGCGAAATGAAGCGGTGAGAGAGAAAGAGCGAACGAAGCGATGGGGAACATTGAAGTCAATTGCAAGCTGCTTATGTGGGGATCACACTACATCAATGGATCAATCAATCCCTTCTTGATTGTCGTAGAAGGTGAAACATTCAACCATGCAGTCGAGCACCCGGATCCTAGCATTTGTTGCTGACGTTCCCGGCGATATTAGCCCACTCCATTGCTACATTCACGAATTGGGGCTTCAGTCCTCTGCAATCTCAACATGAATACCGAGGTACCCATAGATCAATCCATTGAATATTAATACCCCGAATACAGATACGGATCCCGAGGTCTCGTTTGCTCCCATTTCCACAAAATGGGTCAATTGGAGGCTCTCCACTTCAAGACATCATGTATACCCCAAAATTCACACTCCACAAGGTTGCTAAAATGGCTAGCACAAGCTGACCCGAAACACGTTTTTGGAGTCGTTGGAAAGGGAGAAGGGAAAAAGAGGGAAAGAAAGAACCCAGATCCCCCTTGGCGTAGTGCTTGTTCTCTGTCCTACGTACGACGAGGTGCGTCGTTGTCGTTACTCTCGATGGCAACAATGAACCATTATAACGCATTGAGCAAGACTGCCTCTCATTGATCACGAAAATCAAGTCTTCCAGGAAACAGCATTGGTTTCTTCATCCTTCGAGTTAGTCACTCATAACTGGGATACCGAGGCGCGTCAATTTTATGTTGTATGGGGTACGGGGCAATGACCGAGGGGGTGGGTTGATTCTCGTGCCTCGCCCGCACTTTCTGGAAATGGATTGTTAGATGCTGGGCCAATGCCTTTCTGTACCATCAACACACGCAGCCGAGCTAGATCCCTCAGCCCCAGCCTGTAACTAGATGACGTGAGTCTGGCTCCCCACGGACATTACCAATGTGTCAAAAAGAACGGGAAGAAAAAGAAAAGCCCTGAGATGTGTGCGTTTGATCTCGCTCGTGTTTTGATAGAGATCAGTGGTGGGCGCCATGCCATGTCAGATGAACGCCTTACTTGGTGGGATGCATACGCGGAGCTAGGTACACTCTCGGGGCACTGCAGGGCCAAAGACAACGCACTGAGAAACCGGCAGCGCAAGGGCGTGTTCGAGAATCAATCCTTTTGAGGAAGAGGGAGCCCACCAACAAACCGGGCAGTTGACAAATCTTCGTTGTTGCTGACGAAGTAGTTAACTTGACATCTAGCACTTGTTTTAAAGGGACAATTTGCAAGTATGCTACCAACAAAGGAGAAAAGGTGGGTTTGGCTTGAAGAGTTAACCGGAGCCGGTGCTTTGTCCAGCTCATCCAAGGACGCGCCTTGTTGCTTGCTGAGCGAGCTGGGAGGGGGGCGGATGGAAACTAGGACATGCCTTGGACCAAAAGTGCAGCAAGCCTCGAAAATCTCGGTGAGCAGAAAAAGGCACAAAAATAAGGGTTTTCGGGGAGAAAACTTCGCCCCTATCTACACGTGAAGTGAAGATGCAACTTGTGGAGATTGCTTCACTTTGGTTCGGATACATCGTCATCCACTCCGTGTATCACCAGCAGACCAGCAGACCAACAACCCCGTATCAAAAAAAAAAAAGCCTTCCACCCGCAACTGTGCCTAAACCAGCCCATCCCACAGATATCAACAGAGTTTTTACCCGACCAGAGTCTTTGCTCCCCTTCCGCAAATTCTCGCAGGTTCTTTAGATATGTGACCACTGCCCAAGCTCAAGCATGCAGTCCTTCGAAGCGGGGTTTCAAACTCATCATGATCAAAGGTGTCTCGCCACTTTAGGTACCCCTCCATTCTTCTCCTTGGGGGATTATTTGGTGGGAGGCCATGGGGAGGGGCTTGACAACGAGCCGTGGCTGTGATTTTCTTGACCTTCCATCGGGCTCTTCCGCCTTTCGTGCTTGTGGTGGCGGCATAGCCAATGACCTCGCTTGCACTTTTGAGGTGGACATTGCAGATTGAGCTGCCGTGTTGTGAACATGAATGACTGCAGATGCAGCATAGGCATGGCCGCCTACCCTTTTTCTTGCTTTTTCCTTTCTTCCCCCTCGTAATGGGGCGCGGCCTATCTTTGGCGCGGACTCAATGCAAGGTTGCTTGCTGGTAGATTGAGGGCGAGAGAACATCACTTCACACATTCAGGCCCAAGTTATCCAATCATTATGGGTTTTCGACAGGGGCTGGATCAAGAAATGATATCCAAAATGAAATGATCAACCCTATCCATATTCGGGATGAAAATGGCCATCAGCCCTGCCCGGCATGTTTGGCAAGAGGTGGCCAGCAACGACCTCGGCGGGCTGTGCCTCGCGTGGTTGACAAAAGACATTCGAAAATACGGACCGCCGGTGTCTGTGACAGCCCCACACATCTCCGCTCGGCTCCGATCCGTCCGATTCAAGACCAGATTGCGTCCTTGCCCACAACTTTTGCTAGGAACATGCGCAAGCCGATGACCAAACGTTACATGGATGTACTAACAAGAATATCGGATTGACCATGGACTTCAAGTTCAATCATCTTTGAGCCGACTCGAGTAGATACCTTTCAATCGGCCGTCCCGTCTGCGCTGGAGCCAGCGGTTACTGTGTATTTTTTGCACATCAACCACGCTTGACAAGCCTGTTTGACTGAATAATAACGTAAAACGTTCAAGTCATGCCTTTTCCTTTTGAAGTTTACAAGATTCCGAAAAGTCTCGTGACCGACTGGTTTTCTTCGATTGAACAACATCTCCTCTTGCGTTCGCAATCGTTTGCCACAGCGCTCAGCGTCACGAACGCACGTGACTTCCCGTAAATTGGCGTTCGAACCACCCATCACCCTTGGAAAGCTCTTCGCGACCGACTCTCTTTTTTTTTCTTCGTAGCTTTGCCACTGAGGGGTTGTCTATCACCCACCAACTGCCCTATTCCATACAGCAAAGGTTCGGCGTGCGCAGAGGAGAATGCCGCGCACTTCTCCCTCTCGCTAAATAAAAAGCACCCGCTCCTAACAGCATGCCTCCTCGACCGACAGGTATCCCGGCCGTCCTCAAGGTCCTCCTCGCCCGACCCTTAATTCCCACCCGCCCATTCTCCACAGCAGCTCGCCGCCTCGCGCCCGACTCCTCCTCCCCGAAGACCCATCTCCCACACTTAGCCCCGAAGACCTCCCCGCTCCCGTCTCAACCCGGCACCAGACGACTACGCGGCGCCCAACTTCGCCGACAAGGCCAAGCTCGACATCTACGCCGGCCCCGGCGGCGCCGGCTGCATCGCGTTTCTCCGCGAAGCCTACTTCCCCAACGGGCCCGCCAACGGCGGCGACGGCGGCCATGGCGGCAACGTGTACATTCAGGCCGTCAGCGGCGAGACCTCCCTGCACAAGATTTCCCGTCGGCGCTTCGTGCGCGCCGGCCGCGGCAAAACGGGCCGCGGCGACGCCCAGGCGGGGCAAAGGGCGACGACGTCGTCATCACCGTGCCCGTCGGGACCGTGGTGAGAGAAGTGAGCCGCGAGGACCCCGTCGCCGAGGAGGCCATGCTGTCCAAGATTCGGTACGTCCAGCGCAAAGCGAAGCGGCGACAGGTCCTGGCCGAGGGCGGCGAAGAAGCCCTCGCCGAGGAAAAAGGCGCGAGCTCGTCGACCCGGACAACCCGGACAAGGACAAGTGGGTTCTGTACCCGGGCCTGTCCAAGAGCGAGTCCCGAAACATCGTGTTCCCCGCCTGCCCCGCCGCGAGCGCCTCTTCGCCCAGCCCCCGGCCCCATACAGCTCGACCTCTGCCGCCCCACCCCGCACCCCGTCCTCCTCGCCGCCGGCGGCATCGGCGGCTTGGGCAACCCCACTTCGTCTCGCGCGAGCACCCCCGGCCCCTCTTCGCCACAAAGGGCGAGGACGCCGTCTCCCTCAGCATCGAGCTCGAGCTCAAGCTCCTCGCCGACGTCGGCCTCGTCGGCCTCCCCAACGCCGGCAAGAGCACCCTCCTTCGCTCCCTCAGCAACAGCCGCACCCGCGTCGGCAACTGGGCCTTCACCACTCTCCAGCCCAACATCGGAACCGTCGTCCTCGACAAGAACTCGGGCCGCCCCGCCGTCCGGTCCTTTGTCCGCTACCCCGCCGCCCCGGAGCTCGGCCTCCCCGAGGAAGAGATCGCCGTCGAGCCCGCACCCGCTTCACTATTGCCGATATTCCCGGCCTCATCGAGGGCGCGCATCTCGACCGCGGCCTCGGCATCGCCTTCCTCCGCCACGTCGAGCGCGCCCGCGTTCTCGCCTTCGTCCTCGACCTCTCCGCCGGCAACGCCGTCGCTGCCCTCAAGGCCCTCTGGAACGAGGTCGGGCTCTACGCCCAGATGCGGGAGGAAGAAGAACGTTCCCGCGAGATCGACGCCCGCGTCGACTGGCGCCTCACCTCTGATCTCTCCTCCGACGGCTCCCGACCCCGGGCGTGGTCGGATCCTTTCTCCCCTCCACTGCGGACTTCCCACCGCCGCGGGCCGACTTGACTAGCCACCACATTGCCTCCAAGCCATGGTTCGTCGTCGCGACCAAAGCCGACCTGCCGGAAACGCAAAACAACTTCCGAGAGCTCAAGGCCTACATTGATGATGTTGGGGCTGGCGCCCAGCCCCACCCTACCGGCCTCGAGGGCGCCTGGACGAAGAGATGTGCCGCGATCCCCGTCAGCGCGATACATGGACAAGGCGTAGAATCCATCGTACACTGGACCGTTGGACTTCTTGATGATAACGAATGAAGGGAAATGGTCCTTCCTCTCTCCATCCCACCTTATTCCCCCTTCATTTTACATGGATCGCGTGGCGTTGTACATTACATATAGACCTTGATCATGCGAATCCTCCAAACTGTATAATAGACGACATGAGCTATCTAATTGAAATTTCTGCATCTGTCCAACATTTGACAGGCTGTGAACAAGATCCCTTTTAGCTTTTATTTTACACGTAGAAATGCATATATATCAGAAATTGGAGAGAAACAAAATACACCCTGCAGAAATGTGAGAGAGAAAAACAAAAACACCCATCTCAGAGTTCCCGATAATTCACAAAATTCAACCCTCTTAAGCCGCGGCTACGGCATCTTCAGTCTCGCCCTCCGCGTCCGCCTCGTCCGCACCATTCTGGCCCTCCATCTCCGCGTCCTGAGGTTCTGTTTGAGCCTCGTCTGCATTGGTAGGAGTGGCCTCAGCCTCGGAAGCCTCCCCGCCGGGTGCGGCGGCAGCGGCAGCGGCGGCGGCAGCCTCCTGCTCGAGCTTCTTCCTCTTTTGCTCTTCCTTGTCCTTCTGCATTTGTAACCCGTTGTTCACCAGCGGCGTTGTGTCGTTGAACAGCCGGAGTAGCATGGCGGCCCTATCCTCCTTGGGAAGCATAAGATTGAGGGAGTGGATGCTCTTCCACAAAGGAAGCACGATACGCTCTTGGAAGCCGTCTTCGGTGCCGTCAGGCTCAATGCGGAGCACAGAGCAGCCCATGTCCATGTCTCTAACCCGCGGGCCAATCTCGCCGAGGCTTTCCCAGCCGCCCTCAGCAATCTTGGGGAACATCTCGATGAGGAGCTTGCGCAGAGTCTCACGCTTGTGTAGGTGGACGACGCGCTTCTCACTAACATATCCTTCGAGAATCGGCATACCTTCTGATTGAATGCGCCAGCGGCACACGTCGGGGCTCGGCACGTCCTGCTTCATAAACATCTTGACACCGCCGCTGATGAACTTGACGCCACGGCCGTCGTTCATGCTCAGGATATCCTTAGCAAGGGCGGCAGAGTAGTAGATGGCTTTGGCCGGCTCGCCCGTCTCGTTACGGACGAGGAAGCGGTCGAGGGGAAAGCGGTCAGAGAGAGAGTAATTCTTCTTGACCTCCGCAATAGCGGCATGGTCAGGAGGGAGATACACGAAAGGCGCCTCGTATTTTATCGAGGTGTCTTTTCGCTCGCCGTTAGCAGGACGTGCGGCCTTCTCGGCAGTGGCCACAGAGGTAGTATCATCCGCAAGCGGCGCGACCTCGGCGGCATCAGTCATCTTCACATCATCACCCTGTATCCTAGCTTTCTTGGTGTCAGACTCTGCATCCTCGTCGTCGTCTCTCGACCTCTTTCCGTTGGCCTGGGAGTGATCGGGAGGGGTCTCCACCGGCTCCTCCACAGAGGCCTCCGCAGGGGCGTCATCGTTAGCCTCAGTTTTAAGCGCGGGATCGGCCTGGGCTTCAGCAGCGGTTCCCTCTTCGTCGGCTGATTTGGTGGTTGCACGGGGCTGCTTGAGATGAGATTCGGGCTTGGCCTTGAATTCGGCCTTCTTTTCGAGGACGGTGATGAAAAAGCCGCCGGTGTCCTGAAGATGGGCGTACACGCGCATGCACCTCTCTAAAGGAAGGTCCTCACCTCCGCTCCTGGGGAACATGCTCTCGGTGAGCCTACCCGGGGCGACGAAGTCGGGATCTTCCTTCATTTTCTCTTCAATCTGGGCCCACGAATCCCAGAACTGGCCAGTCTTGTCCATGACCTTCCAGCTCTTGATTCCAGGGCGGCGCTTCAGCTCGACGAGCTTGTCCGAGCAGTCAATGATGTCGATTTTCTCAAGGCCACCGCACCGATCAACCGCGGCACCAATGACGGCTTCATTCTCGATAGGATGCATGCTGCAAGTAGAGTACACCATTCGGCCACCAGGTTTAAGCATTTGCAGTGCCTTGACCAATATCCTGACTTGGGTGAGGTGAAGTCAAGGGCGCCTCCCGGAACCCAGTTATTCCAGATATTGCCATTCTTCCGGAGAGTACCGTCACCCGAGCAAGGTACATCGGCAAGGATGCGATCGAATTTCAGGTAAACGGTTCGCTTAGGGTTGTCCGGGTGAGGAGGCAACTTGATGGGTGGGTATTGGGTCGCATCATGGTTGGTGATGAGGAGGTTGGCGGATGACAAGCGCTTGAGCTGGTGGGTAAGCATGTGGCATCGCTTGTAGTCGGCATCGTTGGCAATCAAAAGACCGGTGGCGCGACCAGCGTCGCTGGGATCGGCAGACATATCAACATTGGCTTCTTCTTCCGTCTCGGGTCCCAGATCGAGGCCGTATTCGGCGGCGTGGCCTCGCAGCGCCTTCTTTATCCGCGCCTCTTCTCCAACGTGCAACATCTCCAACAATTGTGACGACTTGCTTCCAGGCGCGGCGCACATGTCGAGAACAGTCATGCCGGGACGGACATCGAGGAGGAGTGGAGGAATCATGCTGACGACCTCGGCCCTTGTCATGTGGCCGACGCTGGTCTCGGAGACTAAATACTTTTGAAAGGCGGAGAAGGGACCAAACTTTCGGACAACGTTCTTGGGGGTTGTCATCCACCAAGCTAGTTCATCGGGGTACCATGGAACAGGTCTCGGCAGGTCAACTTGTTTGCCCTCGTACTCGATCTTCTGGATCTCGGGAAAGTAGCGGGTCTCAAGAAGGTTGCGCACAGCTAGCGCTTGTCTGCGAGCTCTCCGTTAGCAATCGAAACCTAGAAGAACAAGTTCGAGGGGAGAGAAGAGAAAGGAAGAAAGAAAACGCCGTGAGCAGCCACCTACCCCTTCGAGCCGCAAAATCGAAAGCTGTTGGGCAGCTCACGCTTCAAGGCATCCCAGAACTCGACCCTCTCCTCCTCAGGCAGGTCCAGTAGAGTATTATAGTGCCTTTCAAGCTTCTCGTTATTCTTGACAATGTCGGGATATCTCTTATGATTATCCGCATCGTCGCGATGCTGTCGCCGTTTTCCAAAACCTCCACCGCCACCACGGCCCTAAGAAGAGGAAAAAGATTAGCGGTTCGTCCCCAGATTGCTTTAGTCCACAAGAGGCGACCACAGCGCAAAAACCGCTAGATAGAGAGCAAAAACGAGGCACGGAAGCCCAAAGAGAGGCGACATATTCTTACTTTTCTACCATGCCGACCCATCGTGGAGTCGCAACCAACAACAGGGGAGTACGGAGGGGCGCCGCAACGAGACGGACAAGTGCACGCAGGTTCCGCTCAAGCAATTGCCCTTGCGGATAAAGCTAAAATACGGCTGTGGTCTAGCACTGCGCAACTGTTGAAAGGATGATTTCAAAAAGATCAGCCGGATGGTCGTAGCAATGCTGTGGCGCATTCAATTGCACTTCGCGATAGTGAAGCTTAGTCTTGGACAAATGGAAATTTGTTGCCCCTCGCAGGCGAGGAAGCACGATGAGAGAGTGGGGTAGGCAGGCACAGGCCAGCAACAGAGTGTATCAGCGGGTGGTTGGCGAGGTACTTTGGCTCGTTGGCGGTCCCTTGCACTTTCCTTCACTTGGCTGAAAAAAAGCAATCGCCAATAAGAACGCACAAACAATTTTTCTTTTTTCGTTTGAGAGATGATTCTGCCGCTACAGATGACTGGTGCTGGTCTAAGCTCCACTTCACCGCCTTTTTCAGGCCGTGTATAAATAAGCAGGTTCCCTCCCTACTTTTCTCAAGCTCTCCTTTTTCTTCTTTTCTTCTTCATACTTACCTTGTCCCGTGCTCGCCGAGATCAAGAATTCGGTAGTGCAGTGAGGATGACCTGCATTGCACATCGCGGAGTCGGCCTTGCTCGATTGTCCTTCGGGGCCGTCGGGGCGCAATTTTTGATTCTTTCATTCCCTTTTGGGAGCTCTTTTTCATCATGACGGCGCTTGATGCGTCTGCCTGAAGAAGGACGAGTTAGACGATGTATAGTTGGACATAGAACATCGAGCATACGTGAGAAACCCTTGCCGTATCAAGAGAGGTGCTGGGCCATGAGAACATGTTTCGGCTCTGCATGGGTGCGCCCAGGCACAGAATACACGGAATGCTTTGGAAAGAACAAGGCCTACCTGCGAACTTGGAATGGGAATAGCTTCAACAAGAGCTCACAAGTTATTCATTACGCATCTGTTGCTTTTCGTACTAGAGTATCTATATAGCAGATCAAACTAAGTAGTCGTGAGAAGTGTGTCTTCACTTCCCAGTGTACAAATGTAATCGATCAATATTCTTAAGATCGACAACAGTTGATTTTAGGCCAAGCCACACAGATAATTCCTACATGTACCCATTTGAAGGGTCAGTGTCGCTCATTGAGGGCGCTCGTGCTTGCTGACTGTTGTCGAAAGCTGCCACTGCTGTGCCGAGAAAGCTCGACCCCGCACTCCCCACCATGAGCTAAACAATCAATTCCGACACAAAAACAGGCGAACGCGAAGGCCAGCCACGCGTTTCCTTCGCATTGCTTCCCACTTTTGTTGAATCTCTGAACTTCAAAGTGCCGATTCGAGAGCTCTTGGAGGGAAAAAGTCATGTCGCGCCAAACCTCTGCCCCTCGCAATCTCTCGGCGACTGAAGAGCTAGAAAAGCTTGAACAATCAATCACCCTTACGCTTCAGGGTGTGTCACCACTCTCCCCCTTGTTTGTTAGCCTTTATCGTGTAAAAGCAGCGACCTCGTGTCTTCTCTCTCCCGTTTTCTTTAGGTGTCCGCCTACGGCCGTGTGCGCGAGGTCAGCTTTTGGACTAACAAGTACCTATGCCCCTTTGTTAAGAAATCGACCAGAATTTCAGCAAAGCACATCGGATAGTCACGACCAGCATCCTTCCACTTGTTGAACAATATGGTGAGCAATCGCGCGCAGTTTGGGACGCTTCCAAGGTACGTCAATGCAAAGTCTTGTGCAGTAGTGCCCCCATGAGAAGAAAAGAGTCAAGAAAAAGGACGAGGGCCTAGCGCTGACCCGCCTCTTAATACAATCGCTCTTTAGTTCTGGAAACAATTCTTCGAGGCCTCGGCCAACGTATCCCTTTCCGGCTACGAAGAGCTCAACAACGACGAAACTACGGCGTTGGAAGAAAGTACAGCGCAGCATGATACGACCCTACAATCCTCCCGCCTGGACATGACGCCGTCGGCGGCAGCAAACCATAGTTACAGCCAGGATGAATCCCTCCTGGACGATGCCGAACTGTCGGGGAGCACACCACGTCCGCCGTCGACGAAAACTGTCAAGACGCAGTTTGCAGACCTACGATCGCCATATGAAATCATGCGACGCGAAATGCGAGACGAAGAGGAGGGTACCGAGGTGATTGAGAGCGACCACGGAGACTCGGGCGGAGACAACGATGAGGAAGAGGGCAACTCTACACTCCTGTTCCAGCAGAGGACGGCACGCCTTCCCGACATGTCGATGACGCCCAGGTCATCTCTACCAGTGGCCCGCAAGGAAGTCGATCAAGGCAAAGACCCGGTATTCCACCGCATGCTTGACAAGACGTACAGGCTCAAATCCACGCCACACAAGAATCCACCCCCGTTGTCGGCTCAGAAGCACAAGGCTCAGGCGTGGCATGACTCGCCCATGTCTTCGCCCGATATTGCGATGCCGAAACTGAGGAGCGAAGCCTTCATGTCACCGTACAAGGGCATGGTGGCTAGACAGCGGCTTCTCGAAACAGCGGCGGCGCCCCGAACGCCAGGCGTGAGCGTGCAGACACCAACGACGAAGAAAACAAAAGACGTACTTGGAGGAACAGGCCAGAGCTTCGCAGAGCAGAAGATTCCGAAATACGAGATTGACTGGGAAAGTGATAGCGAAGATGGAGTGGGTGGGATCAGTCCGCCAAAGACTATCCAGTTTGCCCTTCCACCATCAAAGCTACTACAAACACCAGGTAGGTGCCGATATTAGAAACAGGGTTACATATCTTTTAACGCCCGTGCGATTCGCTAACGAGCATATCACCTGGTTTTCATAGCTCGAGAAGCCAGTAGACGGATTGTCGACGACATACTCCTCACAGCCGGGGCTGGTCGTGACGGCGACACGGAAGAGTTTAGCCCCACCATGGTCAAAGTGAGCAAGGACATCCTTGACGATACGTTCTAATCCACCATAATAAAGAACAGCAGTTGCCAAGAGCGGGCTATTCCGGGATCTCGCAGATCATGAAAAGCGCTGGCCCTCGTGACTGATGTCTAAAGTTGTATTATGAAATTATCGATATTCTGCAAGGCAATGCCAGCACAAGCAGCCAACAGGGAAATGAACGGCCGACTAGCCGGAGCCGAAAGGAATCAAGCTCGCTTGCTCAAGCGATGTGCCGCGCTTGCCTAAAAGTAAGGGTGGGACAAGCAGTAGTCGAGCGTGCTTGCTCCGTTCTTTGCCGAATGACTCCCTGCCGCCTCAACTCATCAAGTTAAGGGCGAAGCAAGATGACCACCCCTTCACAGAATGAGGGATGTCCGGATTATTCCAGGGACGGGTAGTGAGGCACACCACTGCACATGAACCCTCTAGCGGGTTTTCCCGGCCGACGTCTGAGGGACCCTGGAAGTCCAAAGGGGGAACAAAGGGAAAAAGAAAAGAAAAAGTACAGTAGGGGTAGAAAAACCGGTATTGGACATGCATTCTCTCAGACGTAGAGGCATGGCGGGCTGGCAGTTCCCACGTCCCGCAACGGGAATTTTTTTCTGGTCATGCGAACTCTACAGTGTAAAACCCCCTTTTTTTTGTTTCCATTGAGGTCAAAATGAAGACATGGTATCACACTGCGGCGTGGGATTGATCAATGGTGTGTTGCAAAATAGAGCCGCTTCTTTCATCCGAAGGGCGGTGCATGATGCAATGAGTGGCCAGTGAACATGCCAGGCTTCAATTGGGAGTGTCAAACGACCGGTTTGGGGGTTACAAGACAGCGAGTGTAACGTGGGCCTTTTGAGGCAAGAAATGGGGGCATAGAAAGGCAGTACGTTCGATATTCTTACAAGTTGCGCCAGACGAAAAGGACAAGATTAGCAAAGTTCAAGCGTTGGGGAGATCCATATCATTCTCTGGTTCAATTTTATATTTCGAAGACTATCTCGTTGGGCATAGTGACTTGAGATCAATAATGACCGTCATCAACATTCAAGTGACGCAGGACATTGATCCTAGATGAACCCGTCTTACGACCCCGCCCTCCCACGCTTTTCTTCCGCTTCAATGTTCCCAAAACGGAGTACAGAGTGTTCCCGCCAAGTCACCAATCCCAAGGGCCCGGGAACAACGGCGGATAAGAGCAGTGGGTTTTTAAGCGAGACCGAAACGCATGAAGTAGCAGACAAGGCAACAGAGCAACAGGTCAGAATTGGCTAATAGAAAAGGCTTTAAACAGGAATAAGTGACATTTAAGAACAGCAATGTCAAGGAACCAGAGCGGAACCAAAAGCAAGGTAGGAACAAGTCGAACGGGGAAATTGAAGAGATGGAAACGGGAAAAATGAAAAAGGAAGAAAAAAGCAATCAGAAATGTGCCAAACAGGCACAGGACATAATAAGCCGGAGCAAGGACTATAGCTGGTGCAGAAAGTTGGCGAAAGGCACCGCAAGAATGTCAAGATAAAGAAAGAAAGAAAAGAGAAAATTTTTTTGAAAAACATGTTTTTGACTCAAGATTGATGTAATAGATGTAGGTGTGCGTGTGTGTGTGTGTGTGTGTGTGTGAACAGAGTCTAGTTCTGCGTGTGTTTGTATTCTCCTCATCCCTAAACGGGCACAAGTTGATCTTCAAGCGCATTGCGACAGATCTACGCCCTCCCCGGGGGCGCATATTTTTCTTCGTCTACCCTGCGGGATACCTATCTCGCCGCGCCGTTCTTGTCGTAGAAAGACCGAGTAGACGGGTTTCGGACTAGAAGGGCATGGTGGGCTGTCTAAGGTTGAAAGGCTCGCTGGGCAATCGAAAGGACTTTGTCCTCTATACCAGCAAGAGAGCACTTGGGAAGAGGGCGCTGTTGTCGATACATTTGCCGAAATAAACGGGAGAGGAGAAGAATGATTGTAGGACGGCGAGGTGGTGGATAAGAAAGGCAAGGGGAACATTAGGATGGAGAACAAGGAGAGTCGAGGAGCGGTTAGCCATGATCGTGTATGATCATGGCGGCCACTTCTTCGATCTCTCCCTATCCCCATCCCCACCACCTCCCCTTGCCCTTGGCCCGATTCATATGCGTGTCGCTCCATGATTGACCTCCTTTTATCTTTGCGTGCTTCCTGATCCAAGAATGATCAGGAAAGCACGACCACCTCTTCGACGCGAAATCAACCCCTTGCATTTATTTCCGCTCTCTTGTAGCCTCTCTCTCCAAATCCAAGGAGAGGGAGGCGGGTTCAAGAATGAAGGCGGAAGCTCGTTGAAGCCATTGTGCCGCTTCAACCTCTGGACTTGCTAAAGGGCTTGCTCAAAAGGCTCATGGTGCTCGCAAAAGAGCTCCGAGAGCGAACACTGGCGCTATCGGAACGTTTTTGAGGGTCCCGAGAGGAAGACGAGTACGAAGCGTGGGAGGAGCGGGAGTATGAAGAACTCTGCTGTTGGCGGGAGCGGGTGCTGTGGAGGATGCCCTCAAGAACGGGCTGGGTCTGGCGCCTGTCGGCGGGGACGTTGAAACCGTAGTGGCCGAGATTGGTCATTGTGAGAATGAGTTTTAGTGGTTGTTGGGGAGTTGGGTCTGGGTGTTATTGCGAAGCGTTGCGAGCTGTGCTACAAACAGATTTTGAAGCTAAAAAAGCGTGAAGGGGGACAAAAAGGAGCACGAGTTGGTTGGTTGGGGCTTTTGCAGCGGAAGGCTGTTGTGGTGTAAGTGAGGTTTGAAGAGTGAAGTCTGAAAACTGGATGCCTGAGAGAAGAAGAATGGGCTTGGCCTGGGAGACAAGGCTCGACTTTAAATACACGATCTAGGGGTTCAAGGGGTGTGGGATGCTGGCAGCCCTTGCAGTTGATGACATGGATACATCGAGGGGGCAGGGCGAGATACGCAAACAGGATAACGCTCGACTACCTCCAGATGGGAACGATTCCCGCAACGGAAGTACCGACGCGGTGAGGGCGAGCAACAAACACCGCCTAGCCAGCTATAGGTGTGCATGCTATATGGGAACAATGGCCTTTCTTCTGCCACTTTTGGCAGCCTAAGCTCAGTCGACGATTGCGAGCACCAAGGAAAACACCGATATTGGTGCCTCAGCCACGGCTGGTTGCACCGGCCTTTCGTCGTGGACGCTAGGCACCCGAATTAAGAAAGGGAGGAGATGAACATCCCCCATCCCAGAAGGGAGCCCCTCCGCCGCGGGCCATGTCGAAAATTTTCAGCGTGAGAGAATGCATGGCTACTGCTCCTTCAGACGCACCGCGCCCAGATACAGTGTGATACTCCCTTGTCGGTTGTGAAGGGGGGGTGTTGATCAAATTGATCCTTTCCGCCCACCCATCTATTCTGGATCTCTCCAGTCATATCCACGCCCCGCTTCTTTCCGCCGTGTAACTATCCCACGGGAATGTGCCGGTTTCTTTAGAGTCATCCCACCCCACCGCTGGCGGACAAGGTCAGCTTTTCATGGGGGCTACAAGCCTCCTCTGCTTCCCCTCTCCCCTCCGCCTGGTACTCTCCGGCTCCTTAGGAATCTCGCTCATGACCGTCCGCGCCACACACTCGGGGACGCGGTCGGTCCCGGGCTTCGCAAGTCATCCGCGCAACCGTGCTCTATTTCGGACGTCAATTGATGTAAGCCTGGCGAAAATGAATCGGCTCTGCTAGATACTGAGGCTCGGCGTTGGTCAACACATCTAAAAGTCGGGAGGGGAGTAGTTGGAAAGTATACGTGTGCTCGGGATACTTCAAAGCATCGTGAATTGGGAATGCTACCCCTTCACACTCTCTCACCTAGTAATTCTGGTATTATCTGGGATCCGGGATACGGAATACGAGAGTGGAAGCGGTCGGGTAATAAGAGCCTTAGGCACCAGCAAAAGAGGTTCCTGCTAGCCGCCTCCCATGCTCCTTCCCCGCTTCAATGAAACTGAAGAATTGGCGAAGATGGAGGAAGGCGCATTGAAGGCAGCAGAAATTACCCCAAAAGCTACGGAGTACATGTAAAAGATGCAAAGACTTGGAACCACCAAAAATAAAAAAATAGAAAAAGAGGACTGAAATTTACAAGTTCCCAAGTTGGACAAGAAACATCAAGCAACTACTTTGTAACTGCGAAGTAATGAAGTATCCCCTAATCAATGTCATCCATTCATGTCTCACCCGGTTCTCTCCCCTTTTCCCACGCGATCCGCGTTCTGACGTTATGAGGACGGCCACGAGTCCAGTCAAGATTTTCTCTCGCCAACGTTGCCTCGATGGCAAACTATGGCCTTCCTTACCAGGCAGCAGAATTTTGTTAGTGGGTCGCCCGAGGATCCCCGATCAACTTTCAAGGCCGGCCGCATCTCCGTGTCATTCCTCCCGAGCAACCATGATGGGTGATGGGGTGTCCTAGCCCACGAATGCTTGCTTTTTCGTCATCACCCTCTCCTTGCCGGGCCTTTGACTGCGCCCTAATACCGGCTACCGTCACCTTGAACCCCCACACGTGCGTGCAGCCCATCTTTGGAGTCTCCGCTTCCTTTACAACCTCCGTCTTCTCGGGAATATTTCGACTTCGTCTTCTTGCATTGTTTCGAGGGTACTTCTCCCACGCCGGATTCCTCCGTCTTGTAGAATGCGAGGCTCAGACTGGGCACTTGACCTAATCGCACTTTGAAGCGAAACAAGACATTCTCGCCCGTCGTGAGTCAAACAGTTAGCAATCAAATCCCTGGCGGTCTTTTGTTCGTGACGACCATCCGTGTTACCAACCCCCGGTCCAAAGCGGGGCGGCTTCTAGGCAGGCAGTCACTCCGCCTGCTTGTTCGGCCGTTCCCTTCCGTCCGTGGAGCGGCACCAAGTATTGATGTTTTGCAGGGGTCCCCTTCTCGATCGATCGATCAGTGAGGATGGGGGACGCCACCAGGACAAATGAGAACTCGTCCGATATTTTTTTCCTAGTTTCTCCATCTATATGTCACCCTGGTTTGTCGATTGGCTTCACCTTCTGCCTCTTTCTTTTTCAACATTCATCACCCTGGCCACTGGCTGTGCTTCGCCAAGCCTCATCAGCAGGCCCCCAGCTTCCCGTCCAAGGAATCCCCAGTCTCGACAACGCTTCAAGGCTAGATCTATGGGTCTAGGATCCTTCTAGATTTCAAGCTTCTTTCTGATCTTTACACCCTTGTCCTGCCCCGAACTTGTGAGGTGGCCGTGACTTGCTGGCTTTGACTTCATCCCCGTTTTGCATATTAGTTCGAGAGAGCTTCAGATGCTCCGCCCCATTCGGCTAAGCAAAGAAGCCTTCGCCGAACTGTATTTTGTTTTTCTGTCTCTCTTTAGCCATAATTCCTAATTCTTTACGGCAGGAGGTGCTACTCTAGATTAAGTTGGGATGGGCAGAAGATATCTGAACAAGTGCAGCTGTAAGCTCTGTGCTTCCATCCTCGTTGACCTCAGGTGGCTAGCCTTACTTGTCTTCCGCCACTTATAGCTCGTTTATAGCCCTTATATAGCGTATAGCCGCCTAAGGAAAGCACCTATGCTAGACTTAAACTCTAGGGCGAAGACTTATCTTTTCCCGCCATCACTGAGAGCTTCGGGGTGGGCTGGCCACATGTCCTCCTAGCAGACCAGCTTGAAGCGGTGTGAGAGCACTCATGGGAAATTGACCTCGTGATACCAAGGGTAGATTGATGCCGAAAAAGAAGAGGCCCATGTAAACTTTACTACGTACAAAGAATCGGCAATGAGAGGGCGTGGCGCTCTCTCAGTCAAGAAGGCAGAGAGAGCAAGGGGCTGAACGTGTGCTCAAACGCGAGGATCACTTAGTGTTAGAGGAATTCAAGATAAAAATAAAATGGAAAAAAGTTCCTCTTCTTAACAGCGCCTATCCTTGTCATCTCCTGAGTTAACTTCGCCGCAAGAGTGCATTAGTGCATTAGCCAGCCGCCGCAGCTGATCCGGCATCTTTGTTTAGAACTAGGTCCATCCACCTCCCATCTTAGCCTACTCCAGTAAGAAGACCACGCACAAGAAGAAAAGAAGAACAGGGGAGAACAAGAGAGACGGGGGTAGGAGAGGTAGATCCTCGGGTGTCTTGGCCCATCCTCTTCACCGGTGCGCTTAGAATATGGGCTACTGGTGCGTGAATAAAAAGGTAGGCCACTTAGACGCTTCCTGGTGTCACCCCGCAGAGCATAGTAACCGCGTTGGGCTACGTGGTTCGACTTGCCACTTCCGCTCTCGCATCCTTTGTGCAACGGGTGGCCCCCTTTTGAGCTCTTCTTCTGTCTCAAGGATGCTTCGATTGCCACCTCATATAGAGGCGGTAGGCAGCAGTGTAGCCAAGAACTGGCCCATTAGTACAAATGGCCTAGGCTAGGATCTTTTGCAACACGGCACATCCCTGATCTCTAGCGGCACATCGCTCATGATGGAAGCTTGAAGTAAACTTTGGTTCTCATTTCGCTGCTGGACACCCTCAGTACTACTCGACCAAGACACAGACTGTTTCGTTTGCCTAGGTTATCCCTGATATCTCATATGATGGACGCACGTGGAGGGCCTATGTCCTTGGGCTTCTCAAGAACCCCACTACACCACTGCAATATCCAACCAACCCATCCAACCTGCTCCCCTCCCTCTCCTGGTGTCCCTTCCACACCCCCAATGCCTCCATCACGACCTCATGCTCGGTGATCTCGTCAAAGTGCAGCCGAAGGAACACCGTCATCCATGCCTGCGTGAGTTCATAATCCCGCCTCGCCACCAGGCGACTTGTGAGGGCTCGGATAAAGTGGAGTAGCTCGTTGCGTGATTCGTCACCGTTGTCGTCCACCGAGAGCGAGCGGAGCTCGAGATCTGCAGCTGAGGGGGTAGGGACTTTAGATGATCGATAAAATCGTCGTCTACATCGTAGATTAGTAGATGAATAAATAGAACAGTTCTCAAGGAGGTGGTTTGGGGGAAACAGCGATGGGGCAGGTAGAATCGGGAGATGGGGTAGCGGTGACAAGAACGGCGGATAATTAGGCAATAACAAGTAAATAGAGAGTCACAGCGGCTAGTTGTCAACTTACAGTTACCTGTGGAGGCGCCGGTGAGAAGCTTAGTAGCGAAAGTCTGCTCCTGGCGTGCCGCCATCTCAACCCTAAGGATTCGAGACTTGGATCCATCATCCTCGGACCCCACTGCCGCACCCTCAATCTGCTTTGGGCCGCCCTGCCCGCTGGTAGACGGGAGGAAGAAGGGGGCCTTCTCTGGCGCCTTGGGTGCTTCTTTCGGCTTGTTGCGCTGCTTGATGAGGTCGAGGTGAAGAAGAGTCTGCCACCTAGACTTGGGCACCAGGCTCAGAGTCGTCATCTCAGAGCTGAGCTGCTCCACGTCGGGCGTGATCACGGCCGGGTCCTCCTCGGGCTCTTCGGCGTCCTTCTCGAACGCGGCATCGACAAGGCCATCGTTACCCTCACCCGAGATGGTAGGCACCGCGGCGGTAGCGATGTCCTTGGCCGAGATCTGCCGTGTCGGTACGTGGCGGAATAGAGACTTATTCGTCCAGATGCTGACACCCATTTGACCCTCGATACAAGCAGCTAGGTACTCCCCACTTGACGACATGGCCACCGCCTTACAGGGGCTTTCGAACCGAATGGCGTCGATGAGGTGGCTGGTTGGTAGATCCCACACTCGGAGGGTACAGTCGTCCGAAGTAGCAATGACCCATCGGCCGTCGTTGGAAAAGCAAAAGTCCGTCACGTCCTTTTCAAAACCTAGGAACTCTCGAATTGTCCTTTTGGTCTCCATATCTACTACGCGGATCGAGTTGTCATCGCACGAGAAGGCGACAAGGTCGTTGGCGGCGTGGTACCGAACACCGGTGATGGCGGTCATGGGAGCCCAGTCAATCTCGTCCATAAGATTACCTGTGAGGAAATCCCAGAACTTGACCTTTCCGTCGAGAGAGCACGAGACGACTAGCTTGTTTGTCGAGTCGACAACAATGCCCGTGACCGCCTTGGTGTGCCGGCCTGTTCCAGGCATGAAATTGCCCGCTATGCGAGTTTGGAGGTGCACGACGTCGTCCACTTGCTTAAGCTGCTGCAACTTGAGCTGCCTTGCCTGCGCGGGGTGAGCTTGGATGGGAACTGTTGGCGGTGAATTCCGGACTGTAGGTTGTACATGTCGAGGGTTCCGCCGGCCGAACCGACAAGGGCGAAGCTTCCGCAAGGGCTAACGGCCACGGCAGAGACGTTACCACCATCGCCGGTTTCGAACATCCAGCGTCCAGCGCGCTTACGACCCCAGAACCACGTCCTGGCGAAGGCGTCACTCTTATGACCGGTAACGACGCTCTCCCATCCGGTCATGCCGCTGATTTCGGCGTCGAGCTTGACGTCTCTGGCTCTCTCCTTCCTCGACGCGCGCTTCCATATCGCCTGCTTCCCAGGCAAAGCCCCCATGCCTCCATCACGGTTGAGGGAGCTAGCGATGCAGGTGATTTCCGGAGCCTTGATGTCGTCTAGGGTCGTGGTGGGGCCGTGTGTCAGGGCTGAGGTAGAAAGGATACCATACTTCTTGGCCTTCTTTCGAATATTTCCCTGGCTGAGCTCAGTGCTCTGGCCATCCCTGCGCATGCTCCAGCCCCACAGGCTCCTATCGCTACCACCGCTGACGAGCCACTTGTTGCCGGATTCGGCGCCATCGAAATCTGAGGGAAGGAACTGTAGGCAGTTGACAGGGGCGGCGTGGCCGCTCCGGGTGTGGAGAATTCGGGGCACCGGGGAGAAGGGCGTTTCGTCAAAGATCCAAGTCTTTAGCGAATTGTCGAGGCCGCTAGAAACTATGACGGGCTGTCCGTAGAGAAACTCAATCTTGCTGATGCCACCACCGATAGCTGAACCTGATCGCAAGGGGGTTATGGGCGCTTCGCAGGATACCAGACACCCTTCCGCCTCCGTTGAGATCCCAAAACGTGATGTCACCAGTAGCTGATGTAGCGGTAGCCATGATGCCATCCTTGCGACCGTCCTGGCCGGCCCCTAAGCCATCGGACCGAAAGGTGATGGCACACACAGGCGTATCAGGTGTTCCAGCGGTGAGCTGGATGAGCGGCTTGTCGTGGAGAACGTCATGGATAACTAGAGGGCCGTTGGAGTAGGCGACGGCGAGCAGGGCGAGGGCCGTCGAGGGTTGAAGACATGTTACGGAGCCAGCATCTTTAGTGGGGGACAATTGTATAGATGAGCTTGCCCGTGCTGACGTTCCAGATCTCAACCCAACCGTCCTTGCGCCCGACAAAGATTTTGTTGAGAAAAGTAGCCATGTTGGTGGCCCCGCCAGTAAGCTCGTTACCTCCATCAGGCGCGGGCACGGTCCGGATGCTCGTGTAGTGCTCGAGGGTCGTCGATTTCCAGACTTCTACTCGAGTGACGGCGCTTGCTACAATCCACGAGCCAAAGACGAGGATGTGCTTGAGGGGTTCATCGAGGTCTTCGGGGATTTCTAGTTCGGCGACCTTCTTCCCTCTTTGAAAGGCCCACAGGCCCTGAGTTCCACCCTGGCTGCGATCTCCCAAGCTGCGAAAACCTTTTGTTTCCAGGCTACTGTGGCCGTGATATCACACGGAGCTTCTGGGCGGGTAACGAAAACGAGATTCAGACCGCGTTTCAGATCGTAAGTCTGCAGAGACCGTCCGACCGAGGTCGTGATTTGGAAGGTGGTCTTGCCAAGAGGAGTTGAGGTGAAGGGCACGCGAGTAGGGGACACTAAACCGATCGTCTAAATAGGGACCAAGGATAGATTTTTGTTAGAATTCCGAGTAGAAAAGAAAACACAGTGGTATTGCCTTTTAAAGATTATTCCAAAAAGAGCAAACCCGCAGTGAAAGGCAACGTACCCGGAAGGGAGCAAAGATGGCAGAAGCCTTCTTTGGGCCAGACTGCGAAGCTGCAACCTGGGCATTTCTCTTTGGCGTTTGGCCAAGTGGCCGCCGTGATCTGAATGTGGCATCGCCAGTGTTTTGGAGGGGGTGTTGCTCTTTGAATTGCCGAGCGGTTCACCTTGTCGTGTGGTTTGACTTCGGACTCAATCGACGAAGACGCCAAACTTTTTTTTCTTCGATCCTCTCTTATCGTTATCGGAGGCTTGTCAACCCCACCAAAAACCAACCACTTTGTGCACGGACCATTTCAATTCTGATGCATATTTTTCAAGCTGGCACCGCTGAAGCAAGCAGGCAAGCAGGGCAGGTCTCTTTTCCACTGGTGACGACAATGAAAGAGTCATCCATCCAGGATCCATCAATTGATGTAGGCAAGAAGAGATGCTTGCGTAACTAAGCCAAGGTTGTCGGGATAACCAGACCTGTAGCTTCCATCATTAATCACTTGGAAGCTCTGTCAAGTAGTGGACAGAAAGAGGTTTCCTACGAACTGCTCGCCATTTGATCGACGACATTCTTGGCCCCCACCATCCGCACGCCAGAGCAAAGGAAGTGGTGGATTGATCCAATGGATCCATGGATCGGTTGAATTGATTGATTCGATGGGCTATTGCTTCTTGCTCTTCTCTGGAGCACGTGTCCCTCGCGGCGGCTCAATGCCTCAAACGTGGGAACCGACACAGACCGATGTGGTCAAGTCCTGTGCGCCGATTGGATGCGTGTCCCGTTATGAGGGATCTCGTGGGTCAAATTAGATGCCTTTTAGGTCTACCTCGGTACTAATAGGGGAAATCCTTTTAGATCAAGGAGTGGCAAAGTGACTAGACTTGCGAGGCTACATACTTGTGGTAATCTCGAAGCTTTCCGTCGCATGGATGGATGAGGGTTTGCATCAGGAACCGTCCCTTCCACTTTGACGTTCGCAAGCGCTGCTAGCCACAGACAGCCCTCACCTCACAGTCCGTTAGGCAAACGCTAGGAAAGCAAAACTCTCTGATAGACCGCTCTTGAAGTTCGTACAGTTTTATCGCTCCTTCTTGGCGAGACTAGAATACTAAAGGAATTGAGCGCTCGAATACCTCGTTTGAATGATCCTGATGTACCAATGCCACCAACTCAAGCTCGCCTAGCCTGAGCTGTCCAACACTTTATCGAACAGCAGAGCAGACAGGCTGGTGTGTTCGAGGGTTGAATCAATCGCATTCGCTAGCGCTGGTTCCACCACCAGCACGAAGGAGAGCAATCTCAACCCACATTGGTTGAGTAGTTGGTCAGGTTCATGGTCAACGTCAACCGCATTTGCGCCACTGGTTAAACAGCTTGGACAAGCGGTTCATCCACACCATAATAGTGTCATAACCGTCAGCAAATCGATCAGTCAATTGTGGATCCATTTCATCGGTTGATCCATGCTCCTGGTTGCATCAATTGGTGAATGGGCTGCATTTGATTCAATGTTGTTGATGTCACTGCAATTCCCAGTCGGCAGAGCTTCACCGACCCTCCCCACCAACTTTGAACACCACGTACTTCGTACTTTGCTCAGCCCAACTGATCCTTCTGCCGATTCAATTCATGACGCTGAATTAATTGGCTGGCATCTCCATTACATGCAGGTCCACAGCGGGCTCCCCGTTGGCTATTGATCATACCAGAACCGGCATAAGAAAACAAAAACCAAGTCAACGGGTCTTCATCTTGAGATCCGGAGATAGAGAGTTGAGAGCCTCTCGAGGATACACATCACCCTCGCGTCCGACTTCCTCCTTCTCGCTGCGATTGTGATTCCCTGCTTGTCTCGGGCCAGGAAAAAGCTGGCGCTGGCCTTGACTGCATCGTGTGTGCGCGCGGGAACTTGTAACTAGGTTTGGAAGTCAATCTCCTGGCTCTCAAACCCGCAATCCAGGTTTGGATGACGAACCTCGTGGATGGATAAATGCCCCAATAAATTTTCCAGTCTCCCGATTGTCACTTGCCCCATCAGAGTCTCGGGCTAGCTACAGCAGATTTTTTTCTTTTCCCCTCCCCATTTCCTCTACCCATTGCCCTGAGACCTTCACCATACATCTCCTAGTAGAGGTGCCATTGTTCAGAGGTTGTCCTTGCCCTTTTCGAATTATTTGGCATTATTGCCCATCTCCCCGCCACACCCTCGGGGGCTTCAATTCCAACCTTTGCAACTACCCTTATCCCACACTCCAACATCTGTGGGCACACCGTCATCGACTTGACAGGTGTAATCCTCACCCGTATCGTTCGCCACCCATCCCCACGAGTCAGCCAGCGCCATGGACCCCTCGAGCTCTTCAAGCTGCGATGACCAGGTTTCCTCGCTCGGGCCACAGTCGGAGGTCTCCTTGCACCCTGGCTCAACAGACAATGGCTCCTCACCGTCCCAGGACCCCCGTCCTCCCCACATCTTCCGCATCCGGCGACCTGCACGCGACAGATACCCAATTCCGGAACCAAGTCGGACAAGAAGACGACCCTCTGCCTGACCATGTGTCCCTAAGCCATTCGTCCTCTTCGCAGTCCCTGCAAAGGGCGTCAGAGCACTTCATCTCCTCCTCCTTGCCCGAGAGCATCCCCGAGTCCCCCACGCCGACCCAAGACCTGGAAACCCTCACCCTGTCGTCCACTCGCAACTCAGCTGCGGATCTGAATGACCTGGACGAAAATTCAGAGACCCCTCGCCTCATGCCTGGTGTGAGCCACGACAACCTCCATCACTCCAACCTCCCTCACCCTGGGATGACTGCTGGCTCCTCTCTGTCTGACGCGGACAAGCGTCTGTCCATGTCTTCCCTCGCGTCCTTCGCCTCGAATCGGGGCATCATCCCCAGCTCTGCCGCCTCTGCTAACGGCTCGGACGCCGGGACCGTCCCGACTCGTACGAGAAATCTTGTCAAGCTCCCGAGCAAGTCTTCCATTTCCGATGCAGTGGCTAGCGGCGCCCCCATTCCGCCCGCCTCCTCCTCTCCCTCCTCCGCCAACTTTCCGCTGCAGCAAGGAGACATCCCGTCCAACCGTCGGACTTCGGGTCAGAAAGGGGATCCTGCCCAGCGACCCCAACCCCACCGCTCGAGAAGCCGCGCCCAGCATCGATTCAGCGGCTCCCACAATACCAACACACACAGTCCAGCGAGCGATCGAAGCCCCAACCAAAAGGATAAGGAAGAAAGTTAGTCGTATACATGATTGGCAAACTATGCCATGGATGCCCTACCTTTGGTCTGACCGCTGGCCCTCAAAGCTAACCACACTATAGCTAAGCGAGCCTCGTACGGTGTTATCGGAATCTGCGCTTTGGACATCAAGGCGAGAAGCAAACCGAGTAGAAACATACTGAACCGGTTGATTGAAAACAATGAGTTCGATATCGTCGTCTTTGGCGATAAAGTCATTCTTGATGAGGGTAAGTAGCCTCATGCACATCCCTATCCGTTTCCAGGTTTCTCGAGGCAGAAGAATGCTCGAATTGGTATTCTCCGATGGAGGTTTTCTTTGCTCCCTGTTGTTCCCCCCTCGGCTTGAGATGCACGTTCTTGGCTGACATGTGTGTGCTTGCTCAAATTGTAGAGGTTGAAAATTGGCCAATCTGGTGAGTTCCTCCCGCTGGGTATTTATATATTCACCCATCAATTTGTCCCCCGTCGTGCATCGACACACTGTACCCGACTCCCAGGCATCCCTCGGTGAGAGGAAACGGAAGAGCCGCAGGGGTTAGCGAAAAATGTCTCGGAGCGCTCGCCGTGATTTGCAGGGGATATCAGAGAAAAAAGCCCCCATTGCAATCCCTGCTTCAGGTGCGCATAAGAAAATCAGCACTAACGCCGTGTCTTTCCTAATTTTAGCGATTATCTTATCTCATTTTATTCCGATGGTTTCCCCTCGACAAGGCCATCGCCTACGTCAAGGCGCGCCGCCCCTTTTGTGTCAACGATGTTCCCATGCAGCGCATTCTATGGGACCGCCGCCTGTGCCTCCAGCTCCTCGATAGGATTGGCGTTCCCACCCCCGCGGGTAGACGTGAGCCGTGATGGCGGACCGGCGCTGCTGACGCCCGAGGTTGCGAAGCATATCCGGGATATATCCGGCGTCTCCCTGGAGCCCGTCAAACCCGCAAGCGTACCCTCCCCAAAGATAGTCGAGCTTCTCGAGAACGGCGATGTCTTGAGCGTTGATGGTGTTACCCTGAGGAAGCCCTTTGTAGAGAAGCCTACCAGTGGCGAGGATCACAACATCATCATTTACTTCCCCAAATCCTCGGGCGGAGGCGCAAGAAAGCTCTTCCGCAAAATTGGCAACAAGAGCTCCGAGTATGTGCCTGATCTAGATGTGCCTCGTGCCATCACTCAACCAACCGAGAGCTACATCTACGAAAAGTTCATGCAAGTCGATAATGCCGAGGACGTAAAGGCGTACACAGTTGGGCCCACGTATTGCCATGCCGAAACGAGGAAATCTCCCGTTGTCGATGGCATCGTCCGCCGCAATACACACGGAAAGGAGATCCGCTACGTCACCGCCCTTAGCCCGATGGAGAAGGATATTGCGAGCAAGATATCACTCGCCTTTGGCCAACGCGTTTGCGGTTTCGATTTTCTCCGGGCAGACGGCAATAGCTACGTAATTGATGTTAATGGGTGGAGCTTTGTCAAGGATAATGACGACTACTACGATCGTTGCGCAGGCATACTGAGGGATATCTTTTTCAAGGAGCGCGTGAGAAGGGGTGCACCAACTCCAATCCCCTCTCCTTCTGCCTCGGACATTCCTGATCCGCTATCTCGCTCATCCATGACCTCTCGGGATAGGGACTTTGCCCGCCCCACGGGAAGCGCCGGGACTGCCGCAGGGAGCAAAAAGAGCTTGGACATCCGGGGCAACGAAGGACAGCCCGGAACAAGCTTCACCGTCCTCAAAACCGAACCAGCTACGTCGAGCCACAAGATGCAGGCTTCGACAGCATCCATCATTCTGTCTCAAGAGTCCACTCTCCCCGGGTCGCTCTCCGCAGCCCCTTCCATCATCTCTGCGGCTACTTCTGCACCCGTAGACCCCGAGCAAGCCCAGGGCGAAGAACAGCATACAGCACCACCCCCACCAAAGCACTCATGGAAACTCAAGGGCATTGTCTCGGTCATCCGCCACGCCGACCGGACCCCGAAGCAAAAGTACAAGTTCACTTTCCACACAGAACCTTTTATCCGCCTCCTCAAGGGCCATCAAGAAGAGGTGCTTTTGATCGGGGAGCCGGCGCTGGCGAGTGTAAAACAGGCTGTTGATATTGCTGAATCAGAGCAGAAAGAAGACCCTGCTAAGCTCAAAGCTCTTCGTATGATCTTGGAGAAGAAGGCGGCGCTTGCTGGAACCAAGGTCCAGATCAAGCCCATGTTCCGGAAACAGAGCTCCAAGGATGCTCAGGCGTTCGACGAGATTGCCACGATCCAAGAAGGCGTCGAGTCTGATGTTCAGGGCAGCCAGTCGGAACGCGAGATTGATGAGAACGGCAATGTAAGGCGGAGCGCAAAGAGGCAAGACTCCCTCTCCGGGGTGACCATGTCGAGAATTACTGCTGCCGAGAATAGTCTCGTCTTGGACAAGCTTCAGCTCATTGTCAAATGGGGAGGCGAGCCCACCCATGCGGCAAGGTACCAGGCGCAGGAGCTTGGTGAGAATATGCGTAACGACTTTAAGCTTCTGAACAAGGAGGTTCTTGACGAAGTACACGTCTATAGCAGCTCTGAAAGGCGTGTGACGACAAGCGCGCAGATCTGGGCCTCTGCATTTCTCAAAAGAAGGACCTTGGGGAAGATTTTGTTGCCGTTCGCAAGGACCTTCTCGACGATTCCAACGCGGCAAAGGACGAGATGGACAAAGTAAAGAAGAAGCTCAAGGGCCTCCTCAGGGAGGGGAACGCGCGCCCCTCGCAGTTCGCCTGGCCGGACAAGACTCCAGAGCCCTCCGAGGTGCAAAAGCGAGTCGTGCAATTGATGAAATTCCTACGGCGAGCAATGCAGTACAACTACCAGAGGCTTAACAGTACGACCATCCCGGAGGCCGAATCTTTCTCGTCTTCAAGTCAACCAGCCGAAAAACTACCGACCGAGGCACCGCCAGCCACCTCTACTGCATCAAGTGATAAATCATCGACCAACCTCAACGGCATCCAGTCCCGATGGTGCTGCGGCGAAGACGCCGTGCTCTTCAAGGAGCGGTGGGAAAAGCTCTTTGCCGAGTTTTGCGATGGCGAAAAGGTAGACCCCAGCAAGATCTCCGAGCTCTACGATACGATGAAGTTTGATGCCCTGCATAACCGCCAATTCCTAGTGTGGATGTTTACGCCCCCGACCTCAATGCTTGAGGAGGAATACGGCGTCATGAAAGAGCCAGCTCAATCCAAGACACCGCCGGACAGCAAGGCGCCGGAGGATGTGAAGCGAGACAAAGACGGCCAAAAGAGTGCTTCCTCTACCCCATCCCTGCACACGGAAAAGTCTGACAAAAGCAAGGGAGGAGAAAAACTACCCAACCGGGGCAGTCCAGTCAGCCGAGCGAGAAGGTTGATAAACAGGAAGGTGGCTCCAAGTCCGTGAGAAGGCTATTCCGAAGAAGGTCATTCCTGAATGGGTTGCGTCACAACGGTGACACAGCGCAACCTGAACAGTACTTCCGCCTATACAAGAGTAACCCGCTCGTGACGAAGCAAAAGCCAGATGTCCGCCTCGAGCCTCTCCGTGAGCTCTACCAACTTGCTAAAATTCTGTTTGATTTTATCTGTCCTCAGGAGTACGGCATCTCCGACAAGGACAAGCTCGAGATCGGGCTTCTAACCTCTTTGCCTCTCTTGAAGGAGATAGCACAAGATCTTGAGGACCTGCAGGCCTCGGATGATGCCAAGTCTTTCTTTACTTCACCAAGGAGTCGCATATCTACACGCTCCTGAATTGCATCTTTGAAGGCGGCATAGAGACCAAGATTAGCCGAAGCACCATCCCAGAACTCGACTACCTCTCTCAGATCTGTTTCGAGCTTTACGAGTCGGAGACGAAGGCTGCGGAGGATGCCCCTCCTGGGGATGATGAACCAACGTTTACCTACTCAATCAAAATCACCATCAGTCCCGGATGTCATGTCCCGGACCCGCTTGATGTACAGCTCGATAGCAGGCACTGCATTAGCTGCGCGCCGCGTCGGACCCTTACAGCGCATGCCGACTGGTGGAAGGTGATCAAGACGCTACGAGCCAAGTTCAACCAGTAGGTACCAGACCTTTTTTCCCTCCCTTTTTCTCTCCCTTTTTCTTTTTCTTAAGGAGGGTTGTTTTTTGTCCAAAACGTGGCTTGCAGACAAAATCCCACTCATAAGTACCGTACCATATCGGCCCTTCCTTCCACCCGTTTTCATGTTCTGCATAAAAGAAAAAAAGTCCTGTTGGTAGCGGTGCGCAGGAGAGCGTAAGAGATGGCTTGTCCGCAACTAGAGTGCTGACCCTTGGTCGTAGGGTCAAACTGCCTAAGAGCTTCATCGCCGTCAATCTGTCGGATGCCTTCACGTTTGAGGAGCAGGACAATACGGAAGACGAGTCGGAGCACGCGAACACCCTTGCGAATAGCACGGCAGAGATTGAACCGCAGAATGAATCTTCTCTGCCAGTCGCAGATGTAGAGGCGCCGAGCCAGCCATCGGACGAGGTCCAGAAGGAGGCGGCCAACCCCGATTTGTGATAACTCGGCGAGACACCTAGAGAGGAGGGGTACGCGAACCGCATCCCAGTCCACAACTCAGCAGCGTTATTTTCCGTCTTCGGCCAATTTCCAGTTCTCGAGGTTAGCAAACAATGAGCAGGATCGTCCCTTTCGCCCAGCCCCTGCGGCTTCAGGCGTAAGTCCGGTCCACCAGCAGGCTGACGCGATAATGAGCGAACAACTTCCAATAAACATTCTCTCTTTAAATATCCTTCCCTTTGCCCCTCGCTCTCCCTGATTATAAGTAGTGTGGCGACCAAGGTTCCCGTTCGGCTGTTGCGCCCCAGTACCCTGGCTATACCGGGCGGGTGGGGGCTATGAAACAAGAATTAAAGACAAACGCTGCCTTGGGAAAAGTACGGAAAGGAATTGGAATGGCCAAGGTGATTACCAAAAGCGAGGCTATTCCCACGGGCCGGATGCTGAAGGATTCGTTTCTGTCTAGAGTTATAGTTCAAAGGGCCCCTAGGGGTAGATAAGGGGGTGTAGACGTTGGAATCTTGGGTCTCGTAAAGACGGCTCTTGAGCTCCGGAACGCGCACCTTGAGTTCCCGTCGCCGCCTCTAGGAGGGCTGACAAGGTCGGACGACAATCCTCTGCGGTGCGTATATGTGCGTACGTGGGTGTGTGTTTGGAGGTGTTTTTTTTTTCCTTTCCCCTTTCGCCTGTCTTGACACTTTTCCTTATAGATTACACAACCAGCGAATAAGTGAATAGAACTAGGGGAGTTGGGATATAGACGGCGGGAGAACAAAAGGACGGGAAAGTCGGTCGGGGAGGGGGTGTGCGGATAGCCCTCCCTGTTCACCAGAAGACCAAGGCTAGGGAATTAGGGGGCGAAATGATCAATACTGATGGGAGATGCGTGAGGAGGAAAAAGGAGCCTCGCTCCCCGGAGACGGAAGAACGGAGCGGAAGTGGACGCCAGGCGGAACCGCTGTGGAGGAGAGGGGGTAGATGAACAGCGGGAACGCGTCCTACCTGGACAAGAAGTTCCCTGGCCCATATTCACTATATTTTAATGTTTCAACACATAGAGGTATCAGAGGTTGGAGACCCCTCGGCTGGTGCAGTGGATACCACCTCCCAAGCCGCGTCGGCCATTCCTCCTCCTCTCTCCAATCGAGCAATACAATATTGTTAGAGATATCGTCTTGGTCTTGCTCTGCCCAGCCAATGCCGGACCGTGTTTCTCTCAGATCCAGCCCCCAATCGTCAAGTCTCCGTATCATTCGTCGCGCATCGCCCCCAATCCGCGACGTCGGCTTGGCCCCCTTTGCATGGCGTGGCTGGAGCTTCCTGTTTCTCTCGTTCCTGTTTTCTCTCTCGTCTTGTATCCTCGTCCCCAATAGGCGTTGACGTTAATGGTTTTTTTGTCCTTTTTGCTCTTTGCGTGTTGGGGGCCGGGGAGAGATTCTTCTTCGGTACCTCGAATCATTAGATCCTCGCGGATCGCTATGGTATATTATTATAGGGTATTGATCCGATAGATGTACGTTTTGGGATGTGGTGAGTTCTTCGGGCGTAGGCGATGCTCGTGGAAGCGAGTAGCCTACAACCGCCAAAGTCGGCCAAAGGGCAGGATCCGGCCCGAGAAAGAGAGACCGAAGCCGGATCGGGGGCGCTAGCAGAGAGCATCTGCCCTAACAACCGCCGCCCAAGTCAATAATAGTAGAAAAAAACGTCAATAGAAGGAGATGACTCTTCCTCGGTGCGGCGAGCAGCCTCTAGAGCCCCTTGCTACGCAAGGCATTTCTGCAACGCTGGCAATTCTACTCCCTGTACCTAGGCACGTCTCTGGCCGTCCCGTCATGGTGCTCAAGGGAAGGGGGTGATGTGGAGTAGGCATTCCCCGTCCCTCTGTTGTGCTTGCCCTACAGCCCCCGACCCCAACCCTCCCGTGATCAATTTCTTCCAACCCCAGGGGAAACCCAAGCCATCCTGCCGCGATCCATCATTCTTGCGGGCCAGCCAGGGTTCCGGGGAAGGGGGTGGTCGAGACCAGGCATAGATCGATTCCGCGCATAGCTTCTAGAAGCAGCTGATGTCATCATTGAAATGGGCAGAGGACAGGGTCGACACTTGGATACCAAAAACAGCGCCCTTCTTCCTTGCTCCTGTTAGCCTGGTGAGTTCGTTCATACCTGTTTTCATCCCAATTCGTCCCGCATTGATGGAGGATCATCGGCAGTAGCGTCAAGCGAGCAGGATCGTCGCTGGAGGACTGCCTTTTCTCGCCCTCGCTATGATGCTCTTTAGAGGGCAAATGTCCGATGCTAGGGAGCGGGGAGGCGATTGATCATGCCCGTTTGGTTCAGAATTTGATATTTCGATGCGCCAGCGCTGGCGTTGGGCGGGGGCGAGCGGGAACTCGGTGCTCGCTCAGCGGCTCTCCCTCACCCCATGAAGAAGGAGCGGCGCCACGTTACGCACATCATACCGACACCAGCACGTCGTCCAATTATGGAACCAGGGCGAGCATCGAGATCTTCACTGAGGTGGCGCTGCCCTATCGGAACGCCTCCCCTTAAAGAACCCAATGGCTCAATTAGGCTGCAGGGCAATGGTTCGTGGGTCAAAAGGAGAAGTCGGGTCGGTATGTCCCCCCAAAGTGGGCTTTTCCGTCGGACGATCTTGTGGAGTGGTGCAAATCCGAGCTCCTGAATGGGCATCCGTCCCATGTCGTGCCTGGAATTAGAAAGTCACAGGCGGCCAAGCACCTCTTGTTTGGTTGCTACAACAGAGCATCACCCCATTACCCACAGTCATCCACGGTCATCCATAGTCATCCATAGTCAAATCTCCCTCTCAGCAAAGGACACCACCAAACGAGAAGTGAATCTCTGAACCGAATGGCCAAATCAAGCCTTGCTTTCCACTGCCCTGAAACGCGGGTGCGTGTTCTGGCTTCCGATATATTGTCGGTAGGGAGGGTGACTGTATTTACCTGCGGGTCCCGTCTCTGTTCGAGCTTGAACTGGCTAAGAGAACGGGGTGTCGGGTCGAGGTGATCACTCGAGAATGCTCAAGTGTCAACATGCCGCCCAGATGGAACGCGAGTGCCGGTACAACGGGTGATGTTCCCGGCAGAGCCTTTTTGCCTTCCCCGTTCTCCTGCCCTGCGCCTACGGTGGGACAGACCCCGCATGGCGAGGGTTAGTGAGATACAAATCCAAACAAATGCAGCTTCCGCCCGAAGCAGGCTTCACCAAGCACTCTTTTGTTTATCCTGCTCAAGGGGAAAAACAAAGAAAACAAGGAAACGATAAAGAAATAAAAACAATGCCGACAACCACCCACCCCCATATTCATTCAAGGGGTTGTAGCCATCCATAGATCTAGCTTGACCTTTATTTTGACCACAGGGCCTGCCCTCCCGAATAGTGTTGAACGCAATCTACAAGTAGTCCTGAGACAATTTACTCGTCATACTTCGTATGTCAAGGGTTTGGGAAATAATGATAAATAAGGAAACGGAAAGAATCAAAGAAAAAGGAGAAGAACCACAAAAGGGACGGGGGGAGGGGAAGAGCTCAAGCACAGGTAGTCCGGCATTCCCAGCCCCACAATGACCCATTTCGAGAACATCACAGCGCCATCCAGAGATGCATGTAATAGATGGTGACCCGTAGAATGGATGGATCCATTGTATTAGCGTCTAGGTGGAGCTCAATGCCAGCCCGGCCATGGAATGTTCCTAATATGTTCAGTGGGTCCAGTCTTCTATCAGGGGATCGCTGAAATCACTTGGGGAGATATCATACCAAAAGGGGTTGAGAAGCCTATGAAGCCGCTTGCAGCACGGATCAATCGTCTCCTAGTCTCCAATTTAGAATGCTGTCAGACTAAGGGAGACTAGACAGCTTTGTCTGGGGTATGCCTGCTGCAAACAGCCCCTGTCACCTTTACCGCCTGGGCAGAGGATGCGAGCGCCCCACCCGCGAGGCTCATGAGTGCCACCAAAGCGGTTTCGTGCTCGCCAACGTCTAAACCCTCAGGCGTTCGTGATTTCGAGGACAGAGTGGATGCATAAACTGGCCACGACAAAGTAATACAGGACCCACCCAAGAAGCCATCAACCCTTGCCCGTACGGAGTTTTCAAGATCGCATGCCTCGAGGAAACCGTGGTGTCATGCACTGCAGTCCAGTCAGGGCGTCTGCTCTCGTGATAATACGACAATGGGTCCACTCCAGGCCATGTTACCTGTTAAATGACTTCGTTTTTTTCTTCCATGAAACCAAGAGAAAAGAACCGAAAAAAAAAAAAAAAAAAAGGAAAACCCCCGTGGGCCATGAGCCGACGCTCCTCGGTAGGGAGAGGTTGGATCAATTGCTAGAAGCAGATGCCGAGAAGCCCCGACACGGCCCTGCAGGGACATGGATGGAGCTGCAGCATCTAATCACGGAGGAAGTTGCGCCTCTTGGGTGTTGTTCTGGTAGGTAGGCGCGGTCAGAGTTTTGTGTAAGTCAAATGCGGAAATCGCGGGCATAGGAGGAAGGTCGCTCTCTTCAAACGACGAAGTAGGACAGGGCCACCGTCGCCCCCAACTTGGAAGGAGTGTGCGCGCCTTCTAGTGTGTACAGAAGAGATAGAGCAGAGACGATAGCGTTGAAGAGGGGCTTTGTGGTGCTATCCCCAGTGCTCATTCTTGCCCAAGCTGCGGTGCAATTCAAAAACCGTAACCGGCCTCGCCGGCTGAGAATCCCCATTGTGGTCATCAGCCCTGTGCGTGTCTGTGTGTTTGGCCATGGGCCCAGAAACAGCCACGGTCCCTCGCACTCTCGCCCCGCGAACGGACATTTCGTTTCAGGGGCCATCAGAATCCCAGAATCATGACGACGTTTCGAAGGTCGCAACTTTCCACGCGAAGCCAAGAATAGCACGACCAGGCGCAATCCGCTTCACATGCTTGAACCCCGGAGATCACCGTCCAAATTACAACAATGCGAACGCAATTGATCTCGGTATCCCAAGTCG